GGGGGTGCCTAGAATGAGAGAGTGTTCATGGTCACGTGGTTTATGGACACCATGGTGTCACTAACTTGAGCAGTGTTGCCTGGTCGCCAGATGAAAATGATACAAATTCGTAAATTGAATAGTGCAATTATCAGAGCTCTAAAAATTGCGTAACTTGGTGTATATACTAAGTAGCCTATGAGCATTCCATTTCAAGAATAATCTATCCGTTTAATTTTCGTGTCATAACCCCTTTAAGGCGTCAGATAGCCTGAAGGTCTGCGGCCCGGGTTCTGGACAACAGCCAGTTGAAAACGCAGCGAAAAATTCCTTTTGGTGCTTCATCGTTAGAAGTTAGAACCGTATTCCTGCAAGATATGTCGTGATTTGATAGACCTTAAACGCAGTCCGATCTGAATCCTTGCCCGCCAGCAGCTCTCACGCGAGCGGAAGATCTGCTCGGCGTAGCTCAATCTTGCTCTGGCTCATCCCTTCGAATATGATAACTCTGTTATTCGTAGTCTGATGCTTTGATATTGAGTTGTACAATAGGATAAACTCAAAATTTGTTGCCCCGTTCCTCCGCGCAACTGCACGTCCATTGCATACGCACGTCGCATGGTTCGCACATATAGTTACTATGTCGAGCATGTGTGGGTCGTGCTATAAGCAGTGCTGGTTTGCATTTTGAGCAGCTGAAAGCCACTCAGAAAATATCAAGGACACTATCTTCAGGAACATATGGTACTTGCTTTTTAGTTCTCACTAAGGCCAAGTTTTTGCACCTGTTACACTGTTATCCCATCTACATGGGTTCCTAACCCCTCCTGCTCTTCTGTGCTACTAAGCACAATTGAAATTGCTCCCGTGCTCGTCTAAGATGCAAGCTGAAGTGCAATGAAAACTGATTTGAGCTGCTCGTAGCCTGCTCCAGAATGTAGTTTTGGCTGCTCCCAGCCTGCTCCAAAACAGCAGTTTCAGCTGCTCCCGTGGCGGCTCCCAAGTACATTTCTTGAGTTCCACCCTTGAAGTTTGAAAATCATCAAACTCCTTAGCGTAGGAAGTTAGAAAAACTTCAAACTTTTTAGTGCAAGTAATTCGAAAGATAGAAAATCATTAAATGTTTTGGTTTATCAAGTTTGAAAGTTCGACAAGCATTGAATTTTGCAGCGTAATAAGTTCGAAAGTTCGAAAAGGATCAAACTGTTTAGCGTAATAAGTTTGAAGGTTTGAAAAACATTGCATTTATGAACGCGCAAAGTTCGAAATTTCGAAAAGCGTCAAACTTCTTAGTTTAACAAGTTTGAAAATTCTACTTCCATCGAATTTTTTGATATAGAAAGTTAGAAAATTTGACATCTTTCAAATTTTTCGTACCTCTTGATTTGATCATCGAAACTTCGGTTCGAAAAAAGTTTGCGGCATCCCTAATACTTACAGATAGTGTTTCATGTGGTAAAGTGGTTAGTTGGGCGAGTTGGTAATAATTGTTTCATGCTTTCAGGGGTTTATTTTTCTTCCAACTCTGTGGTGTTTTTTTAGGTTTTTATTTTTGTCCCACAGATTCGGTGTCTTTCGGTGGCAACTTTCGGCATTGGACAAAAAATTGGTTTTAATTGAGATTTCGGTCGAACGAAATAGGACCCAGGGATGAGATTCCCCCACCTCCAGGGAATGTGGACGTTAGAGGTGGTCTGTGCAGGGACAGGCCAGCCCACAGGCCACGGGCTGGCTCGGCCCGCAATCCGGGGTCAGGCTTTACGGCTACAATCATGAAGGGCCCGTGTTGGACACGGGCCTTGCATTCAAGCCTACAAGGCGGGCGGAAACAAGCCAAGCAGGCGGTTACTTTTTTTTTTTTAACAATGTTTTTGTTTGGGGGGTTGGGGGAGGGACCACAGTGGGGGAGATCCAAATGCTGAAACCATGTGTGTGTGCACTGAACGCTCTTCCAGAAGACCAGTGCCGCGTCGTTCATTTTCGTTGCCCGCAGCAGCGCCGTCGTACAGTCGCTTCTCCCCATCAACATACACACATGCGCGCCTACACAATGCTTACCATCACAGGTATACACCATCTGTACTCACGAGTGGACTGTGCATCCACAATACGGACAAAGAAATTCCCCTCAGGCGTGCTTTTCCTAAACTATTTCTTACAGACCAGCGCAAAAAACAACATTTTCTTGTATATATTTTTTTTAATCTGGGTTGTACACATTGTGAGGGGAAATTTAGAACTTGGCTCATTTTTTTCCGAACCCAGCGCAACCTTTCACTTGTACTGCAACTTTGGCACATGGTTTTTTGTTTACTGTTGCTTGCCATTTTTACTTTTCTGTCCTTTTCGATACACATGTTTGATGGAAAAAAAAAAAACGAGGGAGGTGACTTTTTTTTTTTTTTTTTTATGAGCTGCTTAGATTTGTAGGTAGGTCTGACTAATAATAGCAGCAAACAAGAAAAAAGATGCTTACTTCAGTGGCTATCAGGTACCGTAGTCAGCATGTGTAGCAGCGGCAATCGAGCTGCCATGCTGCACAATTCAGGAGCTATTCATCCGTGGCTAAAACAGATGGGGCCTCAGCGGGCCCATGAAAATTAGCCTCGGGCTGAGCCTGGTCGGGCTGGCTGTCTGAAATAAATGGTGGGCCGCGGGCGGGCCCAGGCCCAAGAGACTGCGGGCCGGGCTAGGCTCCTAATTATCGGCTCGTGCAGACTTCATGTGTATGTGAACCGGACACTTGGAAAGCTCCAATTTCTATCTAAATGATAGCGATGAGGGAGAGGGACGATTTGTAAAAGTTTTTCGTTTATATATTTTTTAGTTTCTTTATTTTTCTTCTCTTTTACTGTTCTTTTGCCTTGTCTTTAGAATTTTCCTTGTACTTCGTACTACTCCTTCTACTTATCACGTTCTGAAAAGTCAACCCAGACGTTGAACAGAAAAATGAAGTAGTCGAATACACAAGTGTTGTAAGTTCAGCACGTGTGCTTGTCTTCCTGAGTGTCTGCTGTGAGATTGGTTTTCCCTGCGCTGTCACCGTCAAGTACCATAAGAGCAGGAAACGAGACGAGGGGTGCGATTCCGAAGAACAAAGCAGCCTCATGGGCAGTGCAGTGGAGGCTCTGTGTTGGGTACACACAAATTAAAATTGTAGACGAAGGATTTTGGTCCTGTGTAGCTTGTTGTTTTTTCCAATTTAAGGACAGCTCTGATTCTGGGTTTTTTCTGTCTTCATAAACGGGCTCCAGGTGCTTACTTTGTGGGGTTTGTCGGTATGCACCAAAAGCATGAACCCCTACTCACTGTAACTAGGACATAGACTTTACATTCTTAGCCGAAAAAACATTCATAAACATCCATCGGTGTTTGAAATAGAAAAGCGCTTAAGAGCGAAAAAGGCCGGCAAACGTCCATCAGCGTTAAAGGGCAAAACGGTAGAAACTCGAAAGCTCAGATTTCTGGTAATATTGTCTCCAGCCGAGATTGTTTTTGTTGAAACCCTCCCTTCATAGACTCAAACTCTTAGTCTTTAATGATATTTTTTCACCGATGATGACTGTTTTTAGAGTCGTTATGGAGCACATAAAAAATAACACTGATATTCATAAAAAAAAAGAAATGCAGAAAAACATTTTTGGATTTCTTTTTTTAGAAGTAAGCACTGAAAAACGACTTACAAAACTTCCGTAATTCTCGATCGTCTTTTATGTGGAAGGTTGAGCACGGTGAAATGATTACATAAAAAACGAAAGATACATGCCAGAGACAGACCCAGACATCAGTGTCGTCTGCGTTTATCTCGTTCGTTCATATGGTTAATATATTTTGTTCCCATCAGTTGAGTTGGCTGCTCTGACCGTCCCAAACGAGAAAGACGTCAAAGAGCTAGGGTGAACCCTTGTGGGCACTTCTTTATGACTGAAACGTAAGATCCCGCCGCTGTTCTGGGTGTTCACGTGGTTCATCATTCTTTTTGTCATTGGAAGAGTTCTTTTTTTCTTTGCTACGATTGTTTTTGAGCCATGTTAGGTGCGTCGCTGTCCCCACTGCGGAGCAACTGGATAAGAATGGCTTGGGTAGTCCTTGTGTAATCTCTCACTTCAGTCCGACAATAGGCGGAACTCGCAGGTGGAAAGTACTCCAGTCTGTAGCCTTGTGCCTTTCCTTTTGTCCTCATTGTTTTCTTTAAACATTTTTTAGCACGAGTTGCTTCGGAGCACAGGCGTAGCAGAAATTGCATTTGGCTCATTCACTGTTGGTCTTGGGCCGTCTTGGAATCTTTTTACATGAGTTTCTTTGACGGCATTGCTGGGATTTGGTTTACCATGTCAAGTTTCTTTTTGTCGGCTTGAGTAGATTTTTTTTTTCTCGATAGCGGTGAGATTTGTCTATTCTGAGGAAGGTAAATATACTCGTGGAATCAGAGTTATGTTTCGGGCAAGTTTTGGGGCCATTTGAGCGTAAGTTTCTCTGTGTAAAGTATTACATACAGCTACTAAAAAGTTGTAGTTGTCTATCAAACTAAATTTTGGTATTCTGTACTCTTGGTTTAAGTGGGTCAGTCTTCATTGTGCCAGCAGTACGTAGCACCAGTTTAGGTGAGAGTTCTGTTTTTCACACTGTGGTAGCCTGAAAATTTTAAAAGCACCTGATCGTGGAGTTTATGGTAATTTGTGAAACATTTAATTTATTCAACTATCATAGAGTACAGGAGCTGTATATACTGTATTTTGGAGCACTTTTAGTGCCTCGAGGGCATACTTTGTATTGTTGGCTAAGCTAGCTATTGGGTGTCGCCTTGCGTAACAGCAGGTAATAATCTCGGGACGCACCTTGATTACTTGTCTTGGCCGCACGATAAGAAAGATAAGCTCGAAAACTGCGGGTTCCTCTTTACTCGGTGAACGTAAACTCTTGCCAAGCCACGCCCATCCCCGTTGGTTCTTCGCTCTGCTAATACTAGCTGCTGGGGTATCAATCTTGAGGGGGAGAGTTGTGTCTTTCGTCTGGGATTTCGTACTTCGGTGTGGAGTCGGAGTGGTGGCTGTTTCGAGCTTGCCGGATAGCTTGTCCATAAGCGCCGTTGTGTCGACGACGACAGGTGGAGTGGCGGGCAGACGAGGACAATTGAACGTCTTGCGTGATCTTTTTGAGACAAGTGCGTCGTGAGGAAGGAGAACATGGTAGACGCGGCACAGCCACCCGGCGTGTTTGCGATGGACGCCGATAGCGAGATGTTGGACATTTGGAACCGCTACTATGTTTGCTCTGAGGAAGAGGTACGTTGGTGATTTTGGTTTTGGGCGTAGCTTGTCGTTACACCTGTGTTGTTGCTGTGCCTTGGTATTTTTTTTTTTGGCAAGTGTGTGGGCATATCACGAATGTTGCTTCTGTGAGCTGTTTGTATGTGATAGGGCTAAAAACTAGCCGTTGCTTGTACACGCGTTATAAATTCGCAATGCCTTGAACGAAAAAGTTTAGGTTTTGCCAGTAAACGACGCCATCAGGAAAAGAGTAGCAGGGCAGCTACGTTGCAAGAAGTTGCAAGGCAGGTTAGAAAACAATTGTTTTCTAACCTGCCTTGCAACTGTTTGGGAGTGCACAAAAAGAAGTAAACAAAAGTTCAATGTGTCAGTTGTGTTTTTAGGCCAACTGCTTGCAGGTGTTCTCTTGCTTTCACAGCTGTCAGAGTTCAAAGAACCTCCTGAAAATCACATTGCTCAGAAAGAGAGAGAGAGAGAAATCGGCAGAAGTAAACAAGGGGTCATTGGGGCGATGCTAGATTTTCTCTAGATACTAGAGATACAGAAATTGCACATATTTCTTTTGGATCGGAACACTTGTATGGTGGTTAATAGGAAGCTACAACACTTGGAACACGGTAAAAGCAGTTAGCTTTTTTTATTTAAATTAAATTAGTTTTAGTTGGTTATGGTTATTTATTTGTTGTGAGCGGCATGGCGTAGAGTACTAAAATGTTTTTGTCAGCAGAGCAGTCTACTGTTCAGGAGGGAGTGGGTGAAAACCTTACCTGTTGGCAGTGGTGTTTGCAATGTAGCGTCCGCAGCTGTTGTTATTGGCGGCGTTTCTAAGGGTGGGAGATGCCTCCAGCATTTTTTGCTCATCCGCTATTGCTTTTTAGTGCATTATTAATAGCGTAAATAGAACATGATTTCTCTCTTACGCAATATTTTCAAAACACTGCTCATGAGAGATGTGATTGGCTAGAAACACCAGCAGAAACGACAGGGTGAGTTTCCAAACACTTTTCTGACCGACTCCTTCACACAAGTTTGAGTATGCATGACGGTGTTAATGGCCACCGATGTAGTGGTAATTTGAAAGAGGTGTCCATTCATGCAGAGTCCCTAAGCACGATTGTGTCTGTACATGACAAAAATAACACAACACATTGCCGCGCATGATGTTGATGCGTGGCAATGTACTCGGCAATACAAGGAGATACCCTTATCATCACATCGATGGATCATTTATAAATTTACCTCTACTTCTCACTTTAAGTTGGAGCACAGCCAAAAGCTAGGACAAGCGCAGACATGCCGACTGAAAGCTAGCTCCTTTTTGCTCGGCAAGATCAGCGAGTAGTAGCTTGCGCATGGGACAATTATAAATGCTGCGGCATTGGGAGTTTAGTGCTGTTCACTGGTCCCATTCACCCGTACTGTGCTCCAACGTGAGGTTAATGGATTTTTAGGATGTTCTTTTCTTCAGTCTAGAGTCACGTCGCGACAAATCATGTTCAGTGGAAGTGCGAGGTGGGTGCTCAAAGATGGTTGTTTCGTTTGTGTCTTTGCAGGCTGAAGCGCGCCTAGCACAGAGAAGACAAGCCCGGGCTGAAGCCAGGGCAATCCGTCTGAGGGAGTTGGAGAAGCAGGCCAGAGAGGTGAGTCGCCCGGGGATTATCTTTGGATGCCCAATAATCTCGGCCAATACCAGTAGTGTCAGAATCCTCGGAGTTCAGAAGGAATGTTGGCCCAAGTTTCCACTTCAGCGACAGAATACAAATGCTGACAAACAAGGCGTCACTTCAAAACGTGCCTGCTCTGCCAAAGCCTGTTCTCGATGTAGCAATCATCGGGCAGTGATGACAGCAACACCCCAGTGCTACGTTTGAGTGTCGTAAGGTCAACCTGTCACGAAACATTGACGACATTGCCGATGCTACGGGGGCTGCCTGCCCTACCACGTTTGGGCGTTTCAACTTTCGTGACATCAGCAGTAGGGTCGCAGCACTATGACGGGCCGCGTTCCAAGAAGAAGTAAATCTCGCACTAGAGTAAAGGTTCTTTATTGTGGCGTTCGAAAACCTACCAGTGTCCAGCGTTGCTCTTGTCCGTGTGATCACGTGTTACGACCCGCGGGAGTAACTCTAACGTACTCGAGTAAGATTTGGAACACGGCTGTGGAGGAACTAGTGGGGTGCTATGTTCCAACTAACCGTAACTTGGCGAACTGCGAAGGCTACGGTTCTAGCGAGCCAATCGACGTGTCAGAGAGAGATGCATGACTGCATTTTATCTCGTTAGTTGAGCGCAGTGCCGTCGAAGCCATGTGTAGGAGGGGGAGGATAGCCGCTTTTGTAAGAACTTTGAGCGACGGTCTAATTCAGGGGGATAAAGGCATCACCTGGGACATACAAAAGGGGGTCTGGGTGAGAGGGGAGTTCCTTCTTCCGCTTTTCTCCAACGGCTCGGGTCGCGCTATTGCCTTTCTAGCCTCGGTAAAGGCTGTCAAGTTCTCCACTTCCATGGAGGTACAAAGCTTCTGGAGGCAACGTAACGCCACCAGAGGTGAACCTAGAAGTGTGGAGGGACACACCCCCAATGATCACCAAAACCAATATGGGACGGTCGCCCTTGGGGCCCCCTGAGAGCGTCCAAAACAGCTGTTGAGTCAGCTCTCCTTTTCGTCCAATAGCGTCTTTTGGTTGTGGTCATCGTTAAGGGCGTGTCCCTCCACATATCTGGCTTTACCACTGGTGGCGTCGTGTCACCTCCAGAAGCTTCCCTCCTCCATGTTCGCCTCCGTGGCTCTGATTGACTTGAGGGGGGCGTAAGCTAGTGGTGCAAAACTATCGATAGTACTATCGATAGTCGCCAGAAATCTGACTATCGATAGTGAAAAAAACTATCGATAGTACTATTGATAGTCGACTATCGAAAAACTATCGATAGTACTATCGATAGTCGACTATCGAAAAACTATCGATAGTCGACTATCGGAAAACTATCGTTAATCAAATATTAGAAAACTATTGATAGTCGACTGTCGTAAACCTATTGATGGTACTGTCGACGATTTACTATCGATAGTTTTGCGACACTAGTAGTTTGCGTCGCTCCGTCTTCTCTTTTTATCGCTTTATTTATTATTATTTTTTTTTTCAAATGGGACACCAATTAGGCCAGGCACTTACCATCCCAACTTTCGTTCAGCTTTCAGTGATGACGAAGACGGGAGTTTGGGCGTGGAGAGGAGAAGGGGGAGGCGGGCCGGGGAGGACGAAGCAAACGGAACGCTGGAGAAGAACGGGTGAAACCTTCTCTCTAAAGCGTTCCGTCTGCTTCCTCCTCCCCGGCCCGTCTTACCCTCGGCCTACCTTCTTGAGTTGTAACGGACTATAGTGGTGCAAGACTATCGATAGCACTATCGATAGTATCGTTAGCCGCCAGTATAGTAAAAACTATCGATAGTCGACTATCGAAAAACTATCGATAGTACTATCGATAGTCGACTATCGAAAAACTATCGATAGTACTATCGATAGTTGACTATTGAAAAACTATCGATAGTACTATCGATAGTCGACTATCGAAAAACTATCGATAGTACTATCGATAGTCGACTATCGAAAAACTATCGATAGTACTATCGATAGTTGACTATTGAAAAACTATCGATAGTACTATCGATAGTCGACTATCGAAAAACTATCGATAGTACTATCGATAGTCGACTATCGAAAAACTATCGATAGTACTATCGATAGTCGACTATCGAAGAACTATCGATAGTACTATCGATAGTTCTGAGACACTATCGATAGTTTTGGAAAAACTATTGATAGTCAATTTATTGATAGTTTTGCATCACTAGCGTAAGCCTTTCCTCTTTGGCAGGTGAAAGAAACTATAGTGCCCGACGAATACGCGCAAATGTGGGTGAATCATTTTGTGGTTTTGGGTGGCAGAAAGGCTCCACCATATGCCGGGGAGTTTCCTGGTCTTTGGAGGACAACCGTTTCCACGCCGCGCGTGCAAACCTTTTCTTTTTTCGTTGTGCAGAACGACGAACAGCTCGACAGGCACTATGACAGCAGCAGCGAGCCAGTCCGGCCTGTTCGAACGTCACGAGAGGTGAGTTCCGCGAGCGCGTTGCTGCCAGAGTCTGACGCCCGTCCGGGCTTACCCCCGCAGGGCCGCACTTCGTCTTTTGTATCCAGTTCCTCATTCTCGAGCTCCAGGCGGAGCAGCGAGGACTCCACGGAGGCCCTCGACGGACGAGACTTTAGGGTGAGACTGCTCAGCTCCTTCCGTACTCGGGCGCACTCCTTGTTGCTCGCTTCGGACGCAAAACTTTATTCGCAACTACGGTGCCTGGAACGTGTCTCTGACCGACGTTGTTTAGCGTCCTATTCCGCACGTGCGTCAAAAGCGGTCCCGAAGTGGCGACGAGCGACGTCGCAGAAGCAATTGTGTCGTGCTGTCGGACGCCGCAATCCTGGCGGTTGGTGCTAAAAGTCCCGGTAAAAAGTACGAGTGAAAAGAGATATCGCCGTCGTCCTGAGGTCCCGACTTTTGGCTGCCATACTTTCTATGGACTCTCGGGCTGGAGAGTGACCCGCATCGGGACGGGCGTCTGCCACATCTACCACCGCCGTTGTAACACTGCCGGGTTTGTGACCAACGACGATGCTGCACTTCTACAACGTTATCATGTGGAAATTGAGAGACCATTTCTTAGGACGTGGTGAATGCAGCGGTCAAAGACACGTCCCAGGCACCGATGTCACAGTAGCCCAATGTGAACGAACGAAAAGTGGGGCGTGGTGTAGAGAGGTGAGGGGCAGTGTGCTTCCAGCTTGCGTTGATCGGCTGCACTCGTAAATTGAATACAGTGGTGCATGCCACTGTGCAGCTTGTGCTGTAGCTGGCACTGCTGATGTGTGCAATTAAAAAAAAAACAAAAAAATATTGGTGCTTTTTTTTCTTTCTTCTTTTTGCTACTTGGAGCCAGAGCTATTTTGTAGGTGCAGGCTAAACTCCGTCACTTTTTCACTCTCTGCGTGGGTGTGGCGAAATGCTCTCCCTTTTCCCGAACACGGGAAAAGTAGCAATTTTTAAAGGATCTGTGCAAATGCTTTTATTGTCTTAACTTATTTGTGTACGGAGCAATATGACGAATAAAAATGTGGCCAATTAGTTGTTCTTTTAAAAGGAACTGATATTGGTATAATGTGGAAAAAGATTTTAAAATTTTATTTCTCGAAAATACAATGCGTGTGTGGGAAGGTGTATGAACGCCGGAACTTCTACAGCTTTGTCAAATTAAACAACAAAGAAATGAAAAATCTGAATATACAAAATGTGCCCCAGAAGGCTATAACTTTCGAAAGTTAGTGTACTCTAACCGACATTGTCTCATTTTGGTGCGTCGGAGAGTTAGCCTCTGTAACGTGTGCTTTTCAACGGAGGACTGCTGATATTGATGAAAAACAGATAATACACCTTACATCCCCAGCAGAATGCTGTCTTTGTGTTCTACCTTGGTTTTGTCATAGCCTTGATTGCAGTTGCTTCATATTTAACATTTTTGTCTGCCTTGTTGGGAACATAAAACATGCACACCGGCACAGGACAGCATTGGAATTTATAGTGGTGCTTGTCGACAACCTGGAAGTGTCCCCAGAGCTCTTGAGGTCTAAAAATATGTCAGAATGCGGCTGAATTATGTAAATAATGCCATCTTTATTACAAAGACTGATGCAAGCAGTTAGCCATCCTAGACCGGCGCGACCATCATTTCTAGTAATATTTTTGACAGCCTTGTGATAAAACTCAAATCTACGTTGAAACCGAAACTACAGTTCTTCAACTATCCACGACATTGCAGAACATAATTCTTCACAATAAATTTAAGTTCATGACGTTGCTTGGAAACCATTGATCCCCGGTGATCGATAGGCTATGGGTGCAGTCAGGAAAGAGTTAATGGCATTTTGGGTTGGCCTGGCAAAAGTCAGCCAGTTGTAGGGGTAAGCACGCACCGGGCCTGTGCTCCAGAACAAAGGTGAAGAAGAGTTGGCTCGTCACGTGCTCGGGAAGTATCTTGTTCGAAAGAGTGTAACTGATTAACAAAACATTAAACGGTGTACTCCCCATTTTCAACGTTAACCTGCAGCCTTTACATGAGCATGCCTTGCGTCTGTGTTGCGTGTCGTTCCATCACTTCCTGAGAGCTGCACGGCGTCTGCCGCTTCCTTTTCTCTCGGTCCTGTCTTGTTGCTTCTCGCATGCCCGTTGGCTTCTTCGGCGGCTGTTACTCATCTGTTCACGTGAATGGCGCAGCACCAGCTACAAGAGGTGGAGGAGAGCTTTCGCAAGGCGATGATCAGCAACGCCCAGCTGGACAATGAGCGGACGGCGCTGGCCTACCACGTGGACACGCTCAAGGACGACATGGAGGAGATGGCCGAGAACTACCTCCAGGTCCAGAGGGACTTCCGGGAGAAGGCACGGGTGAGCAGAGGGATGCCCTACCTAGCCAGCGTTTATGCTGTGCCAGTAGCCATACGAGTCGTGCGTGATTTCACGTTGACTGGGGTGACACATTTTAGTTCCGATGCAGTGGTGCAGCCAGAAAGTTTTTGGGGGTGGCTAAAGTGGCTGGGAAGTCCATGATTTGGGGTGTGGAGAGGGGGAAGGAGGGCCAAAATGCTTGTGTATATTATAGGGTTGGCTGGATTTTGTTGGGGGGGAGGCTGAAGCCTTATAAGCCTCCCCCCTGGCTATGCCACTAATGGGATTCGTGCTACCACATTGTGTGTGTGTGTGGGGGTGGAGGGGCGCCTTTCAAGGTTTCTTTTTTAGCCTGTCATAGCTGAAGCGGTCACTTCAGCTGTTTGTTCAGACAACATATACATATAATCCATCTGAGGCACATTTGCCATGGAATTTTTATACCTCTCACTGGCTTAAAATCTAAATCTTAAAAGCCTGAAAAGAAAGTGGAGAAGGCAAAAACAGGACCCTGTCAAATAGTTACAAGACAAACTGGGCCACATTCCGTGGTCCATAAAAAAACCTGTGCCAACCTTTAAAAAAAAAAAAAAAAAAAGGATCGGTTTATGCAGGTTTTTAGTTGCTGGGCAGCAAACCAGGGGCCGGGAGGGGGGGTTCTGCCGCCCCAAGAAGCCGCCAGAGTTGGGGGGCACGCACGCACCCTGCTGTCCCCCCATCGTTGGCGCTTATGTATTGATGTAACTCATTATAGTTCACAGAATGGTGTAGTACGATTCCTTATGGTGTAGTGGATCCCTACAGCAAAGAAGAAGAGGATGTTGGAACATGTCCATGGTCGAGTCAGGACTGTAAAGCATGTGCACTGGGAAACCCGTGTTCATGCGAGTTTGTCTCATAGTTAGTTATTTTCTAAAAGGGATTTCTACAATGAAGAATAATAAGATGTCTGAAGGCACGTGGGGCACAGACCCCAGTTCGGCTCTACATACGCCAGCCGTTCTAATTCCAATATCAAAATAAAAGCGGTTATTTTGACTTAAAATCTAAAAAATGCACAGGGTCTCTTACGTTACAATTAAGATGACTTGAAGGCAAAAGCCCAAGCGTCGATCTTTGTGACAGCGAACCTCCGAAGATAGCGCGCTCCCTGACTACATACTTTTGGCGCCGTTTATCTAACGGCACGCTCTCTCTTCAACACTGCCCGAGCGAGAGTGCCCTCCTTTCCTGCTGAGTTTGCAGTGTTTACGTGCGTCTGCCGATTCTGGCACAAGTAACGCCTTCTTGTTGTTCAGTGGTAAACCGTGGGTTTTGGTACCTTTGGTGTCGCCGACGTGTTTTCATACATTTTGTGTCGTGGACATGTTTTCGCTCAAGGGCCTTGAAGGTTGACTAAACAGTGAGACAGATAAAGCTTTTGCCTTAATAGCTCCCACAATGGTGCAGAGTTCAAATGCCAGCTACTATTTGAAATATGTGGGTATATTAGTTTGATACATATTGAGGCGTACAAGGTTTAATTTTCAAGGTATTCAAGGACCACTGTTTAATCTCAGGCTCGAAAGGGTTATATAATTGAGGCTCCAGCACACAACTGGCTTATGCCACAATAAGCTTCCAACAGTGACTCAAAGTCAAACTTGGTGGTGCTAATTTGTTCTCTCAAAAATACACATTTCGTGTTCTAGAAAGTCTCGGTCAATACCCATTTCGTGTTTGTCTTGGTTCTTTCTTCACGTGTCTGTCACCTGATCAAATATAGAGCGGCAGACTGACTTCTAGAGCGATCTGTTAGAGTACTGTCTACTCTTGCCTCGCCTGAATGGAATTTTCTTGCATACCAGGAAATTACATTTAGTCGACCATGCTCTTCCTTGCAGGCATTGGACCAACTGATAAGAGACTTCCGCAAGCTCAAGGAGGAGAATGCCTTTCTCGAGGAGAGTCTCAAGCAGAGGGACGAACTCATCGAGGTGAGTGCCAGCCTGTTGAATAGTACAATATTTCTAATTGAATTTCTTTGTATTTCTGAATTCACTAGGCGAAACATAACATGCCGAACGGAAAGTACCGACACTGAGGACGCAACGTTTTGGGCAGGTGCCTTCTTTTTAAGTATCATTATGTTTCCAGTATTTGACTTTTCCGTGTTGCATGCTGCGTTTCGTTTAAAACTCGTTTTTAATTCAGGGTTTCTCCCGCTTTTCAATCTCTAGAAATCCCTATACCCATTTTCACCTCAAGTACTGTGGTAAAAAAAGTCTGGCTCCTCACACAGTATTACTAATTTCCCTCTTTATGTTGATAATTAAGGTATGCCCTATGTAGGTGAATTTTAGGTTATATATATGTTATCTTATCAAGGCGTACACAGTCTAAAGCCAAAAGCATAGCTTTTTTTCTCCGACAACCAAATTTCTTAAGAGCTACTTCGCGCTGCATTTGAACAATGCTCAAAACTTCCTTTTTTTTTTTTTTAGGTGAAAACGGATATAGTTCTCTTCATTGACAGCCGAGGAACGCCTCCGAGTCTTGATATTGATGCAATAAAGCAGTTCAGGAGCCTAGGAACCTCGTTAACGGTAATGCACATTCTAGAGAGCATTTGGCTCGTAGTTATGAGCATCAGTGAGTGGTTCAAATTTGCTAAATGTCAACTAAAACAGGAGAAACACTTTACTGGGGGGCAGGGACCCACTTTGAGAACTGGCGGTTTAATCGATCGAGCTAGCCGCATGTTTGTCTTTTACTTCGTACCTCTGGTTGTCACAAAATCCGTTATGTGGTCACGACGTCGTTTCAATCGTGATGCTTCGTGGAGAACGTGGGTGGGCTCTAGTTCAGAAAAGAATATTGGATGCTCGTGCCTGCGGTCTTTCAGGATCGTCTGGTACCTCGTCGACTTTTCGAGCGTGGCCTAGCGAGCGACTAGAAGGGGTTAGAAAGTAATTGGAGCTTCTGGCTATGAGAATTTTTAACGCTTAGTTAGCTGCACCATAGTGCCTGAAATGCCTCTTCCGACCGGAGTGCTCGGCACCCTTCCCCGGCCATACGTCACAGTGTGAAGCTTTCGTGACTTCATCGGACAGAAATCGAGGGACCACGGACCACTTTTAATGACGTGCGTTTCAGGCCCCGTAATTGCGGAGACGTGCGCAAAAGAAGTTAGTGACCGAGGCTCCGTCTCCCAGGACCATGGGCTGGTCCTTGTTGGTGCGGCGGAGCTGCTCAACGGCGACGGAGACTCGTCTTCGGCGGGCAGCAGCAGCCGCAGTTCCCCGGAGAAGCTGGTCCTGGTGCCCAAGGCCCAGGCCGCCAAGGCCGCGTTGGTCTCTCAGGAGGCGGCCCAGCTCCTGGACCAGGCGGGGGACGGATCGCTCGGTGGGTGCCGCCCCCAAACCGCCCCACCCGTCTCGCCGTGCACGCTCCACGCTTCTGCGCTTCATTGACCCCTCTTAAAGGCACATGATGCGGAAAATGACCGAATAAATACTCTGCGGAAACCGCAAACAAAATTCGGACGGCGCTAGGCTTCTTCCCTTTTGCGAAAATCGGAAGTGATTCGAAAGATCTGGAGCACCAAATATTTTTTGGAGGGCAACTCCGTTTTTTGGGATGGCTTGGCGCGAGAAAACGTAAAGCATTGCAATTTTCGTGTGGGAAAAAATGCCTTGTGTGGCTCGCCTTCCGAAAATCGCGTACAAAAATTTTCGGATGGTTCGTATTCTGTCCGATTCTTCGTTCATTTTTTCCCATTATGTGTTGGAGCCTTTTGGCGGCCTATGCGTCGAGAAGTGTCGCTGTCGTCGACGTTCACGACTGGTCAAGCACTCGCCATAACGTTTTTAGTTGGATCCATTTTTCTTTCATGGACGGAAATAAGAGTATTGTCGGACTGCCAACTTTGACGGAGTCAATTTAAGAATTCGCCGCCGCCGAAGCTTTTGTCACGCTTTTTACGCGCACCGTCAAACTGTAGCTCACGACCGACGATGAGTGGTCAGTATTACTGCTCGTCACGTCACGTCGCGGCGAGGCGAATGCCGGTCGCAGTGTCACAAACGGAAGCCGTAAGAGAGTGCAACCGAAACATCTCAGTGCTAATGCTCAGCGTCAGCTATTTAGTGCTACGCTGCCAAGTCTAGCCAAGGCTGCAGCCTCACACTGCTGCAAGAGCACATGGCTTCGTCTTGCGTCTCGTTTGCACGAACTTGTGCGAGTAGCTTTGGCAGCATTCGGCTGGGACTCGCGTTAAATCAGTGGGGTGACAAGTCCCGGCGGAATTCCGAAGCAGCACCAGTGTCTAGTTCATGCCCCGCTTCGGCCCTTGTTGGGGAACATAGAAAATTTAGCACGAAGGCCTCGTTTTCTAGGAGGTGTTTGCGTCACACCCGTTCTTATACCTCTTTGTTTGATATTGTTTGCGAGCTCTGTTTGCTGTTCTCCTTGGTTCATGTCGTTCATTTTGTTTGACTTCTGTATTTTTTTGCTGATATTCACTTTCTTCTATCGCTCTATTTATCCTTCCTTTTCTCTCAGATCCTTCTATTGCTTTCCGTGTTTGTGCGATTAACGTATCGTCCGAGATTAATGATTCCTTGCTTTGGCTGCTGCACGCAGCAGTTGCGCGGTATCCAAGGTCTACCTCTGTCCAGAAAGGTGTCCTCTTCCCGCTTTACTTCTTTGTCGACGAGGTAGAATCTTGTTGACGACACGAGCTTCGGGTCCAACAGGTGACCTTATTCCTTACTAACATTTGGTTTATTTATTAATTGAGGTTACCCCTGAAGAGAAGCATTACATAGGGGGGAGGGGGGCAAAAATATGTTAAAAATACAGAAAAGTGCTTGAATAAAGAATATGAATGTAGCGAGCAAAACAAAATTGTACGGAAACAAAACAAGTAGTAAAGAGGAATATGGGCAGTATAGAGATAAAAGTAGAAATGAGAAGCTCGATGTTAATCTTACTGCATGTGGGTTCACCAAATTTCGGTAGACCGGCTTCAGTCGCTATCTGTGCTGGTAGATTATTCCGATGAGTTGCCATATCGCAACATTTAATTTGCTTTTTCCTCATCTGATATGTGCAGAATGTCCAGTTCCAATTGCAGTCTTGCGTTTGTTGCAGATGTCCGACTGAAGCGGTTTGCCCAAGAAAAGCAAGAGCTCCAGGATGAGGTAGGTGTGTCCGCTCGTGTTGTTCCATTTCTACTAGCGTCCGTTGCATTCTGTATTTAGTTCTTAAAGTGATCGAACCTGAATATATTGGCATTCAAAGGGGATCGTAAAATATTTTGGCATATCGATAATTCAGTATACAAAAGTATTGTAAGCAGTGAGAGAGTGCAGGCGAGCTGGTAATCAATCGTCATCTTGTAAACCCTGAGATGGGAAACAATAAAAAAACGGACGAACACAACAAAATCTTTGTTGTGTTCGTCCGTTTTTTTATCGTTCCCCATCTCAGGGTTTACAAGATGACAAAAGTATGTTAACTTATTTTAATGCGTCTCTGCTGATTTTGAAGATTGTGACCGATTTGGCCGAATATTTTAGAATCGAATATAGAATAGTTTATCCAAGCCTTTCACTACTTATGCTTATACGAAAACCCACCTGAACTCATGAACGTAGTTCCCAAGCTTCCACTTGTCTATTTATGCCGTAAAATACCGGGTAAGTGCCCACTCAGGATTTAGAGATAATCGAGAAAAAATGGGGAATGGGCGCTTGTCCGATCATCAATTTTACGTATGAATGTACTGTGCATATTTTCTCCGATCTTGCAAATTTGGGAATGGGCGCTTAATGTGGAATGGGCGGGAGCACGGTATTCTGCGGTAAGCTAATTTTATTTATTTATTTATTTATTTATTTGATACATGCCCACAAACAGCATGACGCCTTCAGCGTGGTGCACAAAAGGAAACGAAGCAAAGAAAGTATGTGAAAATAGGTAAAAATATTGAAGAAGAAAAGAAAGAGAAACTAACAAATATTATACATGACTGTATAATACATGACTCTACAACACAAAGAAGTACACTGAGGCTTTGGACAAATTTTTCACAGCTCGGGCAAAAGTATCATAACCATCAAAGATGCTCAGACCAGGTGCCTCAAGTGAGTTGTATACAGGTTGTGCTCTCTGGACAGGGCTTTTGGGATGAACAGCAGGATAAAATAGTGGCGAGGAACGACATCGTGTGGGGACATGAAAACTGATCGAATATAGTAAATCGGCACAGTCAACAACACCATGGACAAGTTTGTGGAGAAAGCACAGATCGAGCAGTGTTCTTCTATCGCTCAGTTTGCTTAACCCAATGTGGTGAAGTATTCTATCGTACGAGTAATATACTCTTCTGAAAAGGTAACGATTGTAATAGATTCAAACAAATCTCATCTGTACTCGTTCCAAAAAAAGTGACAAGTAGTGAGGAACAGAGTTCCACACCACTGAACAGTACTCTAGCCGAGAGCGCACAATAGCCCGAAAGAGTGATAAATAACAGCTGGGATTAGTAAACTCCTTCGAAATGTGTGTTATGAGGCCAAGGGACTTCATTGCTTCATTGGCCGCTCTTTCAATGTGGTGTTTAAAACTCAGCGACTCATCAACGCACACCCCCAAGTCTGGGACTGTTGACACTTGAGCAATGTAGCTTATACAAAAATTTAACTTGCACCTGGCGACAAGAGTATGAAATCACATTTGTCTTTGCTGGGTCGATGCGAAGCCCATTTGCTGAAAACCACGATGAGACGGTGTTAATGTCATGCTGTAGAAGAAAGCACTCATCAACTTTATCTATAGCTCGAAAGATCTTAATGTCATTGGCAAAGAGAAGCATTTCAGAGTGTTCCATGCGCTCAGCCAAATCATTAATAAAAATGAGAAACAACAGGGGGCCCAAGTTGCTCCCCTGAGGGACTCCAGAAGTTGATCTAAATTCGCGTGAAAAGCAACCAGAGACTCGTACAACATTTGTACGATTAGACAAATAACTTTCAAAAAGCATCAAGTATGACTTACATATTCCATAGTGATCCATTTTACGCAATAGCAACGAATGAGACACCATGTCAAACGCTTTTGACAAATCAAAGTAGACTGAATCAATTTGGCATCTTGAATGTACTACGGGGATTACTTTGCCGAGAAAAGCACACAAGTTTGTCGCAGGTGAACGATGGGGAATAAAGCCATGTTGTTGTGTACGCAGTCTCTGGGAGAAGTAATTTTAATCTAACTATAGTATTTATGGACTGTAACCTCAGAAAATCTGATGCCTTAAGATGGCAAGTAAATGGTGGATTTGGCATAAAATTAAACCGATAGAGATGCCCAGCTAAACCTAAGTGAGCGGATTTACAAATCTTGCTATATGCCAGGGGTGGCCAGGGTTACCAGGCCTAAGAGCCGCAAACGGAATTACGGAACTTCTAAGAGCCACGTGGGGGGGGGGGGGGGGGGGGCAAGTTTAAATTTTGTTCAGAGTCTGACTGTACGTATGAGTGCACAAGGCTGTACGACAGTACGTATGGAGGTACAAGGCTGCCAAACCGCGATCCTTACTTCATTCTGCCTGAAATTCCTTCTTTTTTTCCAGGGGAAATGCGGGAAAGGGGGGGGGGGGGAGGAGGGGGGTCCCCTTACGAGGGATCCGCGAGCCGCACTTGGACCAGCAAAGAGCCGCATGCGGCTCGCGAGCCGCGGTTTGGCCACCCCTGCTATATGCAAATACTGTACCTAAATTTGAAAAAAAAAAAAAATCAAAAAAAAAATCGCAAATGATAGGCATAGGTTGTCAGGGCATTTTTGCCTTACAGATACTCTTTGAAAACAGCCACAGTTTAATTTTGAAGATTTTACTGCAAGAGCCCAATGTAGATATCAACATTCACAAAGTTTCCGTTTCCTTTTAATTACACTAGGCACACGCTTGCACCATCCCGATTCGGAAGTGTGCTTTTCTCCCAAGCACGCAATTGCAATGTTCATACTTTTCAAAGTGTTGATCCCGGTGGGTTGCACCGTGGAGTTGTGCTTCTTACTAGGGATGTCGCGAACCACCCTAGGTTCGATTTCGAAAGGTTTCGATCTTTGCGAAGCGAACTGAGGTTCGATTTCGAAAAATTTCGATATTTTCGTACCGACCGAGGTTCGATTTCGAAAAATTCGCAACTTTTGACCACAGCGGTGTTTCGAATTCGAAAATTTCGAAGCTTTCACGGTTTCTAAAATTTCGAATTCGAATATTTCGAATATTTTTTACTTCAGGTTCGATAAATTCGAAGATTTCGAAATTCTTTGTAAAAAAAATTCGAAAACTTCGAACGTTTCGAATTTTTATAGACATGAAGTTCGAACAATTCGAAGATTTCGAATTTCTTTTTGCATGAAGTTCGAAAAGTTCGAAGGTTTCGATTCTCTTTTAACGTTAAATTCAAAAAAAAAAAAAAAAAAAAAAAAAGAAAACTTTGAAGATTTTGAATTTCTTTCTAATCCAAGTTTTCAAAGTTCGAAGTCCGATTTTCATGTTTTTCCACTGTTTGAGTATTAAATAACGTTTTCACGACTCACTGGTTTTCACAAAATCAAGTTTAGAAAAGTTAGGGTGTGATATCTAGATTCTGCGAAGTTGGTCAGGCAATTAAATGAGACGACGAGTGTCCCGGACGTGCTAGAATATTTGCCAGTGCAGAATTGTGACCGCCAGCCCTGGGGGGGGGGGGTTTCAACCTGCATCACGCAGTAGTGATCACACAAACACACTGTTTTACGAGACTCATCCAGTTCGAAACGGCCAGGGGCGAGCAGGAGGTTGAGGCTCAGAAAAACCTTGATGCGACCTGGCAAACTAGCTCGCCACCCCTTGCACGCTGGTAGTAATCCGATCCGGTGAAGTTTATAATTGTCCTGGAGGTTTATTTTCTGGGACGGAGGAATCGCCTCGCAAAAAGCACAAAAGCCGACACAACTCGAGGTCGAGGAGCGTTCTACCATACAAGTAGCGTCGAAAGAGGAAAAACGGGGGAAAGAGCGTAGCGAAGGGGGAAGGGGGGGGGGGGTGCTTCAGCATCCTTCTTCCCCTTGCAGGTATTTCGGACTGTTAAAGAAAACAATACGGGGAAAGAGGGCGTGGTCGAGCTTATTTTAATCTGAAATTATTTATGCATATGTATAGCTACTGTCGCTCTTCACTGCATAAAGGGTTGCGTAGATGTTCATTGTTAGAAACTCGTTGTCAGAAGGCACTCCTCGTCACATGCTTAGTGGTTCGGAAGTTCAAAGCTATGCCTTTTCGACCTAAACACCTGTGCCGATAGTAACAAAAAAAAAAAGAATAAATGCGGGAATAAAAAGCAGGAAAAAAAAGAAAAAAAAACTATCAAGAATTTGTCGGAAATGTTCTATTCTTGCATATTCAGAGGTTTAGAACTTCGAAACAAGTTTCTTTTACCAAAATGTGTACAGGCTAAAAGAAACACGTCCCAGGAGCGTGAAGCGAAAAAAAAAAAGTTTTCTTTTAATGACATGCTGAACTTGAACACTATTAGAAATCTTCTCCCATGAGTTAATTTATTTCTTAACGTGAGAAAACAATGAATATATTATTTTGTATTCTGCAGATGGCAATGATATGTACTGTCTGTGGTGTTAATTTAAATGCGGTACCTCAAACAACTTAGACGAAAATAAATATCAAGTTTAGGTCATAATTGCATGCAGATACATGTTTGGACATTTCTTCGAAACTCACATTGAATAACAATAATCACATCTTAGGACGGCACTTACCTATAGGCTATACATAGATCATTCTTAAAAAAAGTATAACATATCTACCATAAATAGCTCCGGCTGCAGCGTGCTTCAAATCTGGCACAAACAATAATCGTCAAAAACCCGTCGTCCTTCCTCGCCCCTTCGGGGATTTATTTCTTTAAACCTAAGCATGCCAGAGCATTGAAATAAACGACATTGTCTTTCGTAAGGAACGCAGCACCGCGTGTAAAAGTTCGAGAAAAAAAATGACGAATGTACACCACTACTTGAAATCAAATGAAACCGTCCGCCGATCTTTCGAAGTTCGACGAACGTCGAACTTTTACCCTAAAAGTTCGAAGTTCGTCGAACTTCTGACTTTTCAGAATTCGAAAGTTCGAAACTTTTCGAATTCTCTTGATAAATAAGTTCGAAAGTTCGAAATTCATCAAATTTTTTGGTCAGTCAAGTTCGAAAGTTCGACAAGCATCGAACCTTGCAGCGCAATAAGTTCGAAAGTTCGAAAAAGATCAAATTTTTTAGCGTAATAAGTTCGACGGTTCGAAAAGCGTCGAACTTCTTAGCTTAACAAGTTCGAAAATTCGACCTCCGTCGAATTTTAGGATATAGAAAATTCGAAAAATGAAATCTTTCGAACCTTTTGAACCGCTTGATTCGATCATCGAAACTTCGATTCGAAAAAAGTTCGCGGCATCCCTACTTCTTACCTAGCGCCGCTGCACTGCAGAGAAGCCAAACTCATGGAAGCAAGTTCGCAGGTGTTGCTTCTCTGCACTGCACTGTCGCTCAGTAAAAAGCACACTCATTGGGGCTAATCGGAACTTCGAAAAATATGAATATCACGGTTCATCTTGAAGCGAATATCGAATAACGTATTATTCGAAACTGTCATTCTAAATTTTGAATATTCGCGTAACACTGCATACCCTTTACACACGCAGATCAACCGATTGCGGCTGGACCTGTCGGAGGAGCGCGAGAAGGTGGCGCGCATGGAGCAGATCTCGCTGGTGCACGGCCCACAGACCAACGGGCCCGAGATGAGGCTCATGGAAGTGCAGAGTGAGTGCCGGCCACAGGCCCGCAGCACATCCGCACGGCGGTCTGCCTCTTCCGGGCCGGAGAAGCCAACGTTGCTAGGTCGGGGTCAATCTCCGAGCTTCCTAGAACACTTGGCGTCCGTTTGTCGCACGCCCGCTCGGTGGCGCCTGCTACGCCGACGGTCCAGGCTATACGGAGGGAAGCAACGGAACCGGCGGGACGTTGGGTGCACATTGCCTGGGGTGGAGAGTGATTCTGTTGCGGCTTTCTAGGCGAACACAAAGTTTGCGGGAACATTTGCACAAAAAGAGTATCGTTCGAAAACTGTCCTTCTCTATTGCCCATGGAAATGGTGGTACTGTATTTGCACGAATGAAGGTCGACCCATTTTTCAATATTTGAAAATCTGAAGTCGGGGGGTCGACTTATGATTGAACCAAAGAATTCCACCGCCGACAAAAATGAAACAATCGGAATATCAACAACACCTCGGCTCGTTACGAGTTCAGCCGGCTCTTCCTGTAGCATTGCACTATTCTGTGCGTTCATTTTACAAATTTTAAAATTTTTTATTTGTGCAACGAGTTATTCATAGCGACTCGCAAATTAACCGAAATGTACGGCGGTGAACAGCACACAACGCGCCCGACTTCCAGGGTTGGCGACACTTCTTGTAAAAGCCATTCCGGAGGCCGCTGGAACAGCCTCACAGCTCACTCTCCGCGGCTTGTTTTCGCAGTTTTTCTTACGATCCACGGTCGCACGTCGTTTGATAGAGTGTCGAGATCATGCTGAAGTGCTAGCTATGTTTTTTTGTATTGACACGCGTTATCCGGGCAGTTTCGGTTTTCGGTGCTCGTTTATGGCCATTCTTCGCCCAGAAGCAACCAACAACTGCGCTGTTAGATGCAAGTGCGACCTGTCGGAGTGGGTGATGCTCCAGTGGAGTCTGCAATGCTGCGGGATCTTAAACTTTGACGGCAAATGAAGAGGCTTCCGCGGGCCAAAGTCTGGATAGGTGGGGATGCCTTCGGGGGTTGGAGGTCAGGCTTGTAACATGCGCAGCAAAAGAGTGCAGTCAGTTCCCACCCATGACGTGTAACGGTATCGCTGTGCAAGCGCAAAGTGTGAGATTTCATTGGACGATGCCGACGATGTGCTTTGAGAATATAGCGATGATGACGACGGGACTGACTTCACCAGTACAGACAAGTCGTAGTCTAGTCACGGACGGAGTGAGAACGACAGGGAGCAGCTTCAGTTGTCCCGCCTCCAGTGTGAACTTCCTAGTTTCGATAACGCCTGGCCATGTCGTGCACCTCGCGCATGCATGGGCAGCCAAAGCACGCCAGAAGGCATCGATCGCATGTTGGAGGCTGGGCTTTCTGAACAGATACTTGCCGTTCTCACATGTTTGCAGTAAAATGCGCATTTAGAGTTTTTTTTTTTTTTTTTGCTGATGTGCAATGGGGGGGGGGGGGGGGGGTCGGCTTAGGATCTTACGGTACTAGAATCACTATTCGCTCGTGCCTGCTCGAGTGCTGGCAACGGAGGGGGACCGTCTTCGAACGACGCTCTTCTGTTTAGCTTGTCAACTGATACATCTAAGAGTGTTGGCAGAACCTCTCTGAGTTGTTGACCCGCATTTCTTTTGAGAGCAAAAGGGTTCAAGCCATTAGCCCATAGGGTACTGTACCGGGTTGTTGGATATCTTTGGTTTTTCCGGAGTATTTACGGTTCTCTTCCCTGGCATATTTGTTTAGTTATGATAAATCGCTGTCTCGCAGAAAACTGAAAATCTAGACCAAAATTTGAGTGTCTTAAACTGTCCACCCAATGGTACAACACATGAACGAATTTCATTGGAGGCTTTGCAGTTGAATTCAGTAACCATCAATAGCCAGTGATCTATCGTCAATGGATTCAGGAGGATAGAGTAATTGATAGTTTGTAGAAAAAAGGGCTCATCTGTAAAGATGGCAATATACTTGATTTTTTTTTTTTGTTTAGAAAACAAGCACCTTTGGGCAATTCTTTTTCATATACGTCAATTAGAGAAGTCCGGTTTGCACAAACATTTAGCTATACTATATTCCTTTATCCCTTCATAAACATAATCACCACAGGTCTTTCCCTCTCCCCACAACACAGATCTATCACTTCCGCCGATCCACAATCGCTCCCTAAAACATCAGTGGTTGAGAACCACTGGCCTAGAACCGAGTTATCATCACCAATGACTCCGCTCCACCAAACATTGCGTGATGTCGCGTGTGTGTTGAAAAAAGCGGGTGCGTACATTTTCTTGCAGAACACGCAGGACTCGAGCCCTATGAACTGCGGAAGGGTCATACCGAATGACAAAGCTCAGGATAGGGCTAGTCCTGAAAACGCAACGTGTGCATTGCGCTGATAAAAATTAACATGTCATTTATTGCTATTTTCTATTATGAGCACGTCGCATATAGACTACTTCCATAAAGTCCTGCATGCAACACGGCGCGCGTTGCACTCTGGGAACTAGTTGGCCAGGGAGGAGGGTTGCATGATTTTGGTTTTGATCGACACGTCGACAAAAGATTATACACAGAGCGCGGACTATTAACGGCCGTTATCTCATGTTTCCTGGTCCCGAGAGCGTCGTTTGTGGTCTCTAAACTAACCTAAATGGCCAGACCTCGAAGCTTTAGCACAAGCCTGAGACGTATAGCTTGTCTTAACACATGCTTGCTGTATTTTTGTACTTGAGCCTTCCTGTTAGCGTTCCAACCGAGGTTTGTGGACGAGCCAGTGCTGGGAATCTCGACGCTGTGAAGCTCGGGGACCTTGCTTGCGTACGAATCAACAAGCTGTAGCAACATGCACACATTGAGCTCGCGCCTTTACATTAGTGTTGTCGATCAGGCAGTTTGTTTGTTTCGTGCGTCCATAGACTAAATATTACTTTTTGCAATTACTGTTTTTCTTAATATGCCTGAGTATGCGAGGTAAAACTAGGAGGCGCCATTAAAAAGCTCAATTTTAACACACCTCTTATCTCTTATCTGTACTGACCCGCAGCACTGCACGAAGTGAAGTCCCCACCCGCTTGCATTCCACTAATATTCAACATCGCGTACGCGCATAAAGTTATCCTGCAATCATATAGGCGAATTCGCACATACAGATCGTTAAATAAAGCAAAAGTCGAGCACTTGTGTGAAGAATGTCGCACCGTTCGCCGGAAGTGCACCGGACGGGTGCGCCAAACGAACGAATTCAAAGCGCGTTTGACGGTTGCTAATGGCCATAATATTTGTTATGTGTTTGCTTTCTTCCTATCTGAGTGTGCCGAGATACGTTCAGACACACCGTTCAGGCACAGATCTTGGGCGTCAGTAAAAGCTCGTCCGAAAAGGCTTACCGAGGAGTAGGGGACGCTCCGTCGTAGCTAGCCGATTTCAGCGTTTGCGAAAAGTTAATCTTCTATCAGCATAAAATTTGAGTGGGAGATATATGATGACACGAGGAAGCCATCATAGTAACTTCTGTGAGGTTGAATTTATTACGTTTCCTTAAAAGTTCATGCGCAAACGCTGGGTTCAACTTTGATACCCTGTGAGGATGCGGCTTGCTTTTCGCCCAATGAAGTTACAAGAAGTGGACGTTTGACAAACAAAATACGTGTAAGGCTCCAGATGAACAAATTTCAGTTTTAGTCCACTGGCACCAGACGGGATTATTGAAATTGAGCTCAAATACGCACTCGTGGGGTGAGGTGACTAAGCCACGATACGTTTGCATACGCACGCACAATATCCGGTGTTTCGGGAACCAAAGAAAGTGCCCCGGTCTTCGTTGTGAATCGCTCGAGAATGAGTGTATTGTATGTTTGTGAAAAGTCAGATAATCGAAAACGCAAGCAGCGCGTTCGGTCACGGCGTGATAGCATGAGATGAAGCTGCTCAGTCGAAACCGAAACTGAGTGGCCAACTAGTTCCCAGAGTGCACTGCGTGGTATTTCGCCGCGATGGGGCGCGTCGGTTTTGGAAGAAGTCCATTTCGAGTTTAATCCTATTCCGAGCTCCACCCACCCCATCTTCCGTCCATCGGGGCTAAGTTTGACATCGGCGAGTTTGTCCAGGAGGTGTTGGTCGCAGCGGGTATGCTGCCCACTGTGATTGGTCAGCACCATGTCTGACACAATGTGCTTGAGTAAACCTAGAGCGGTAAACCAGCGGTCAAAAATGGCACCCCCCCGGTTGCCGCCATCTTACCTGCTTGCCACATTAGTGATCATGTGACGTTAAGATGGCTGCGCCCAAAGGTGGGCCAGATCAGATTGGCCAGATCGCGGTCAGCAGGTGGGCACTCTGGGGCTGCGTTCGAATCTTACTCGAATGGCGCCGAGTTATTCCGGCGGATCAAGTCACGTGACAAGACAGATGCAGCAACGCTAGACGCGGGTAGGTTTTCGAACGCAACGGGTATGATAACTTCACCCAGGAGTGAGATAGAAGCTGCGTTCGATTTACTTGCACCTCCTGCGCCTGTGCAGAAAAGTGTAGGGCAGTCTACTTCCGGTATATGTATTGAGATACGACCGGAAGTATACCGCCCACACTTTTCTGCACGGGTGCCGGAGGTGCAGGTAAATCGAACGTAGCTTCTATCTCACTCCTGGGTGAAGTTATTGTACCCGTTGCGTTCGAAAACCTACCCGCGTCTAGCGTTGCTGCATCTGTCTTGTCACGTGACTTGATCCGCCGGAATAACTCGGCGCCATTCGAGTAAGATTCGAACGCAGCCCCAGAGTGCCCATCTGGTGACCGCGATCTGGCCAATCTGATCTGGCCCACCTTTGGGTGCAGCCATCTTAACGTCACGTGATCACTAATGTGGCAAACAGGCAAGATGGCGGCAACCGGGGGGGTGCCATTTCCGCTGCAGGCAGTGGGTTCCGGTTTACCGCTCTAAGGTAAAACTCAAGCTCGTTGGTCTGACATGATCGCAAATGCTCGGGGAAGTCTCAACTAGACCGATCACGTCACTGTGACGTAGATATCACAGTCTTGATAGCATTTGCAGTCGCATGAGGCGTGGCGCCGACCGATTGTGTGGCAGGGGCAAACTCGCCGATGGGGGAACTTAGACCCCGTCCAGTAGTTCCCCACGCGTCCCGCGGGAAAGAACTTATTATTTTGTTTTTTCATTAAATTATTTATGCGCCGTTCCAGAGCGTCGAGGGCTGAACAACTAAAAAAAATGGACCCGATTATGTTTGCTTCCGAGTAATCAAATACTTATTGAATCAGTCAATCGCGTTGACCTCTGGGCATAATATTTTATGTTTTAAAAGGACCAAAACATCACATTTCCTGCCTATTCCTCGCTTTGCATCATTGACAAAACGAACAGGATCATTTGAAACACTGATCATTGTTCTAGAAACAGCCTGAGTAAATAAAATGGCTGCGCAGACCTTCGCAACAAATGTGTTCAACTTCCGAGATAGAAAATTCTCGTTCAATATGAACGGTGCCACGTAAACCGAAGTTGGAACTAATAGAAAACACAGTCGGGCTTGGGCGGGGTTTGGGTCTGGTTCGGTGTGATTCGGGCGGGGTTCGGGTTGGATTCACGTTGAAAAGAGCAGTTGGGCTTGGGTTGGGTTCGGGTCAAACTTGTTTTTTGTCGGGTCTGGCCTAAAATTCCGGTCCGATGTGATTTCTAGAGGCTTGCTTCTTTCTGTCAGTGACAATAAGAATGTTGTTAAGAGTCCAACCAGCATCGTTAATAGTCTTGTTGCCAACGTTCGCTCTCTCGTAAAATCTCCCGCCAACATTGTTTTTTTTGTTAGACTCAGCTTAACCTTTTTTGTTTTCTCTCTTGTTCCAGGGGAAGCGAACAAACAGGTGGACGACTACAAGTACAAGTTGCGCAAGGCAGAGCAGGAGAACATGACACTTCAGAGCAGCGTGAGTGTTCTCTCTCAGTCTCGGCTTATCGCAGCACCCGGAACACGTCTCGACGGGCGTCTTTAGGGCCCTTTCTCCCCCCACACATTGGAGCATCCTCCAAGTGGTAACAAAATGCCACAAGAGCCACCGAGTAATAGTACGGGTGGTCACAATCCTAACAGTCGGTTGTAAAAGCGCCGGCGAGTGTTCTTTCGAGATATTTCTGAGATATGAACATCTGGCAGAGGACGCGTGCAATGACTTTTGGTCCTTTTTCACCGATGCGGGGACAATTTCGTCCGCTTGGATTTGTACTTATGCCTCGTGCCATGGGAGCCCGCCAAACGCGACGTCCCGGAACATTGTGCATCTGCTACATCGGCGTCGCCTTGTTCTGCTTTGGCAAAATATTTGGGTGGGCGGTACGTCGTGAACTAGGGCGGTCGACTGCACTGGCAGGCGGCAAAACCACTGCCGCCCTCCGTGGGGAGAACCTGCCGTTGTTGCGGCCTCCCAACTTGTGGCTGTTGGTGTTTTTGTCGAGTGATTGACTATGGAGCAAGCTTGCACATGGTGCAACACTGCTAGCGCAAACTTGCAATTGCCAGTTGTTTTTTTTTCTTTTAATCCTTTGCGGTCAGATACTCTGACCAACTTAATGGTCATTCCGGTCAGGACCTATTTTGTACGCATGGGCCCCGGAAAATTAAAATTATTTCGGCGTACAAAGGTAACGTCTCCCACTGAATATAAGGGCAGGAAAGTCCGGGAGATTGTTTGTGTACAAACTACTGATCAATGTTTGTGGCGGAGAGCGGCTCCGCGGCTGCTGTCTTGCGCAGTGTTTTCATATTCATCACTACTTTCACTCAAGTCTCAGATGTCGCCTCTCCATCATCTGATGGAGGGATATAGTCGTCCTCTTCATTGAAATCGTCGTCACTTTCAATTACATCACGCAGAGAGTTACATAAAACGAGCGTGGCTGGAACGTGGCTGGAACCATCGTGCCAGCGAAGTTGACACTTGTGCGCTCCTCCGTTGCGCAAAAAAAAACATACGACATGAAACATGTCTTTACTTTTTTTCTTTATGGCTAGTCCTGCCCTCTATGAGAAGAAACTCTAACCCTTTCAAGAGTGATGTGATTGAAGTGTTTTCCAAGAGATGGCGCCACCAGTCCAGCAAAAAGAGCAAAGGAGCGTGTTTGAAAGGACGCGGGAACACGTGTTGGGCAACGCCCGACACCTGACCGGAAGCGCGTTTCTCCGATGTCGGGCCTGGCCCGACAGATGACTGCAAAGGGTTAAGACTGAACCGTTTCCACAAAACTTGCTTGTGTTTTGGAAAAACATCATTCAGGGCCGTATTCTAAGCGGTAAAGTTTGGTGCCCGTCAATAAGACGTCTGAGCAAACCGCACAAAAGCGCCGACGTTGCTGTTGCGCTAACGGTGTCGCACTGTGTACACCGCTGACCTTTGGGGGCTGAGTGTGACGTTGCAGTGGTGTTGAGCATTACACTGTTGCGATGTAACTAGCTGGAAATTGGCGTGCCTGTCGCCAATTTCCAGCTATCCGGCATTTAGAGTGCCACTCATCTCGTTGCATAGCCTCACAGAGAGGTCTTCGCGTTCTTCGAATCTCGTTGTGCACGAAAATTTCGGATTGGCATCTGAAATTGGCAGAAATTTGTGCGTGCCTTGCCTGCCGATTTCTTCAAAGAACGGCTCTTCCCAAAATTCGGAACGTCGCCGAAATCTGTCTTTTCGGCGATTATGGGAACATATCGACAAGGTCGGAAGGGCTGTCTGTGAGAATAGACATGTTGTGAACTAAATGGTAAAGTATGTTAAGGGGGGAAACTACCAAAAAAAAACAAAAAACCTTATCTGCAGAAAAGGTCAATTTTGTCAAAAAAGTAAAAAAAGACAATGCAACTATGTCATTTTCTTTTTTACTTTGTCGATGTCTTTTATAAAAGATCTTAAGATTTTGTTGACGACATAAAAGGCAGAAAATGTATTTGATTTTTTTTTTCTGCAGTGTTAGCAAAAAATACATTGCTTTCCGGAAATTTTGTTTTCACTGTTGCACTCTCCAGGCATTCTGTTGTGTATTTAGTGGACAAAAATGTTGGGTATTACATTAGTTTTCTAACAATAGTTTTCCTTAACGCCTGATAAAAATGACTAATTTTTTTGCAATTCATGTGCACAGACGAAACTCTGCACTGCATCCTGCCTTGCAACTGCCTGCATATACTGTAAATTTCATTCATTTTAAGCCACTGGTTCAAAAGTTGACCTTTTTTGGTTGTTTCTTCCCCCCAACTCACATTCTTGGGCAGGCTTCTTCATGAACTTTCGTTTCTACGATGGAAGTTTTCAGAGAGGTTTATTGTGGGACCGCTGGGCGACGAATTCAAGTAACTCGGGCGATGTGCCGAGTGACACAAGATCAGTGGATACGATGGGATAGGAGTGAAAACGAGGGATGTTGTAACGACTGCTATTATCGTGGCAATGAACGACAAGTTTTTCGCGTCTTATTAGCCAAACGACCCACGAATTAATAGCTCGGCCGTTACGAGCGGTCTGGCTAGACGGCAGTCTTTGCTACAAACGTACGCGACACTTTGCAATGATAATTGTGGAAGCAGAGACTTTGCGCAACTCGTGTAATGAACAGCTCCGCTTACAACGAAGTCTGTTATGACAAACCCCTTTTCAAATTCAGGAACTTCCGTTATTTCGTCGGGCTTGCCCCGCATGCAAGCGCGTCGGACCCTTTGCGAAGAACTCATTACCTCAAAACCTAACATTGTACGTGGTTGTCGTGGAGTTTCAATTTCGGCCGCTGCGAACGTCGGAAAGCAGCGCCCTGCAGTTCTCATCCAGTCAGTGACCATAGTCTATAGACCATTCGTAAAGAGCTTCTGGCAGGTGCCATATTCGGCTTTTGCTCGCACGGCTCGTGCTTCGCTCGCCTTTGGAAGCCACGAACGTGCTCGTGCTGAGCTGTGGGTTTGTAAGCATTGGAAAGGTGTATAAGTAGCGTGCAGTGGGCGTCGTCCGTGACCTTCGCGGAACGAGAGGTTGCGGTGACCTGAGCCCCGAGGACGCCCGTCTTTGTGCGTGCAGGTGGCTCGGCTGGAGACGCAGGTGTCTCGCTTCAAGACCACCATGGAGGAGGCGGAGAAGCTAGAGGACGAACTCAAGGCCGACAAGCGCAAGCTTCAGAGAGAGGTGCGTCCTCTGCCCCTCCGCTGCCAAGAATCGGATGTCGCGGGGCTACGCAATTTGGAGGCCGTCCTCGACTGGCCAGAGCTGTGTTAATGCCCTTGGCGATAGCATTCCCTCGTCACGGCGTAGGTCGGGACATAATGGAGACCGCTGTGAACCTGTCTCGCGGTCATTGGTTCTCGTTCCTTCCTCAAAGCTTATATCAGGATGCAATGAATCCCACTGCTGAGCAGTAGACTTCTTATCTGAAACATTATCTGGGTTAAAAAATTTTCTTGTCTCAGTCAAAAAGTATATTTAACGAGATTGTATGATCATTAGATTCTATAGTCACAATTAGTCTGAAAATGTTTGTTGCTTAAAGAGTCACTCGGGGGGGGTTCTGAGATTCTCTATTTATGTTAGTAACTCAATCTGCAGGCTCTAAGTATCCTAAAAAATTTAAAATTACAATCTTGAGCGGTCAATTTCCGTATTAAAGATCCAATCAAATATTGCGACATGCCCCTTTTTCTGTGCCTTGGATCAGACACCAGCAGGGTGCCCTCGGACGGCGTTTTCAAACAGTAATAGCTGTATTATGTCTCCTACACCTAAGTATTTGATGTTTTTATCAAGATATAATGCACAGTGTGCCTAAAAAGAGCAATACTGGCAATGTTTAGAATCTCCACAGAATTAACTATTTTCATTGGTCAAATTTTAGTGAGGCAGTGATGACCTGGAAATGGGCCCCCCCTCCCGAGAGAAAATAGTGCCTGTGTATTTCTGTTGCTGTGAGTTTTACTAGTAAGTCTAGAACTGATAATTGTTATTGACTAAAGCCTAACAAACAATATGCCATCAAAAACAAGCTTCTACAAAAAGCACTTGAGTGTCCCTTTAAGCGTGAATTTCTAATCCGTGACACAAATGGTACGAGTGTAATGTTGACGCCCCACAGAGTAGATGTGTTAAAAATAATGGTTGCACCCCCTTCGGTTGTTTAGTTTTGTCTGACTTTTGAGGAGCGAAGTGGGTGTGATGTCTACAGCAGGACTAGCAGTAGCAACTCTGAACTTGATTTCGTACTGACCGTTGACACTGTTGTCAGATCAAAAATCTTACGGACTTGGTGAGTGCTACTACGTAAGTAAGTTTTCGGGTGACTTCATATTTTTTGGGGGAGGGGGGTGTCCAGGTTTTGCTTTGTTCTGTTGCCTGGTGCCAGGCCCTTTCTGCTACATTTGGAGAAACCTCGGTGCTGTAGTTACCTTCTTTAAAGGGCAACTCCGCTCAATTCTGAAGATTTCGGGATTATGAGTGATTTCACATTAAAAAGCACTAGTACAAGGCACTATGTCATTTGCTTCACGAAAAATGTGATATATCTTGTGAAATCTTACTTTAAACACGAGCAGAAACCGAAACTTTGGCTCTGTCGGGCAACATTGGCCCCGGGCTGTGAAAAACATGGCTCGGCTCCACACAACGACGGGTGAGATTGGGGTGGGCCACCCTTGGGCTGGCCGTGTGCGAGGCGCAGGTGTCGTCTGCACCGCAGTCTTCACCACGTTTTGGCGTCTGCGCTGTCCGACGACGTCTGCACAACTGCGGTGTCACTCTGTGCATGTAGTGTGAACGAAACTCCAAGAGACAATAATCGCGGCAAGCGAGACGGCAGGACAACGGCGATTGGGACGCGGGAGACAGTCACGCCAATCGTGTGGACACAGCGCTGAGCCAACGCAGTAGGCCAATGCCGAGAGAAGACAGTGCTGACGTTACCTGTTGCACTTGCTTGGAGAAGTAAAAATTAACAAAAAGTAGCAATGTTAATGACGTTTAGCTCAATGTTGGCTACGCCAACACCTTGGCCTTGACTGCATTGTTGATCACGCCTCAATTCACCCGCTAGAGTCAGCTGATTTCGGCAGCTTGGTGTGTTCCAAAGTTCAGTTCAAAGAGCGTTTACTAATGCCATAAGCGGGGAAAGGGGTGTAAGAATGCAAAGTTTGCCGGACCGTTTAAGGAACATCAAGACAGAATTAGGTCGTGATATTTGACGTGTGGTCTTTCTAGATAGCGCCAGAAAGGACTGCATTGTTTTTTAAAAAACTCATGAAGCGGAGTCGCCCTTATAGAAATACTGACAAATTAAAAAAGTCACAAATTTTTTCATGCAAAACACTATATACTATTGTTGTGTCAAGGCGCTACCGAATTTTTGTTTCTAACTCTAGAGATGCCATTTTCTGAAAAAGACAAAAAGTACCTAATTTTCTATAATTTGCACCCAATGCATAGTCTGCACCCCATGCACAGTCCACACCAAAAATTATCCTACTCCTTGGGAGATGCCCGCTTAGTTAGCTCACAAAAAGAAATTGGATCATAAATAAATAAGAATTAACATACTCTCAATCACAAGATCTCTCGTGCCTCATCATAAGGATTAGCTTAGAAAAAGCACAATCTTGCATGGTGCGCACAACGTAAAATTCCAACTTTTAAACATTGCTGTCCAGAAAATACGGTAAAACTAAAACGATAGAACCGGTGCATGCACTATGACATTGTGACGCTAAAAGTGCCTCTAGATCAACCCATATTTACAGCGGAGCTGTTAAGGGCTAGTTTTCCCAGGATCGTGTCCGGTACCAAACAAATGTCGACACAGCACTCTGGTTGCTGCCGTCGCTCATAGATGGCGGTAGCAATCCAGAGTGTTCTGTTTGCCGGTTGTCTGCTTGCCACCGTCGCTCATAGATGGCAACAACATTTCTTTGGAGGAGGAAGAGCGGGAACGGAATGAGTGGCGTTCTGTGCAACTGCGCAAATAATTCCGCAACCGCCGCGAAGCCGCTGTTGCCTAAAATTCCACAGCGTCGAGCGCTTCAGATTACCTTGCCAAAGAAGAGCAGATCTCTCTCCTGGAAAGCCACCACAAAGAACAGAAGCTACAGCTCCGTTGCTCTCCCTTCTTCACCAAAATAAAAATGCTGAAAGTTTTTTTTTTTTTGCTGGTTATAAAAGTATTGTTTCAGATTCTATACTCTCGTTAATGATTGTGTGCCTTAGACGAGCTACAAATTCATGAATATAGTTCCCGTGCCGCGACCTCATCGCGTGTCGTCGTGAAAAGAGGGGAAGCAGTCTTGGACACCCGATTCTCGAGTGGCGATTTCTGTCCACAAATAAAGCAGCTTTCTAGCAATAAATATTTTTTTTGGCTAGTTGGGCCCTCATAGATTGGGTTTCAGTGAAACTCTCGACAAGCGTAGATACTTTGTCAGTGTCCCTTTAAGGGTTGCGTAGCCTACAAAAGCTGGAAGAAACATAGTAGTTTGGAGACGTTTTTGCCTTTTGAACAGTAATATTGGGGATCGACGGTTTACGTTTTGATTTGCGCTTGGTTTATAGTATTATTGTTACGATCGTACCCAATAATTATTGCATAATCAGATGTTAGTGTTAGTGCTATTAATAATGATTTTCTAGTGAGTGTGTGTTTCTTATACATTTGCCATATCTTACGGTGTATGTCACTTTTTCTTTTTCTCCGAAATTTCCTTCGGTGTGATTTATGCAGCAGTGCGAATTATTAACCAGAAAACACGGTACTGAGATATACTGGGCATTTCGCTGAGTACCGACCAAAATTTTCGTGACAAAGCTGTGCGTCGCCCAAGAAAACAATTGGTGTCATATTTATTGCTGCTGAGAGAGCCAAAAGTGTTTTGGATAACTAAGCACTCGATTAGTTTTGTTAAATACAATTTTTTGTGATTAAAAATGAACATCTGATTTTGATTAGAAACTTGCTGGGCATCATTTAAAACCACTAAATCAGCAATCAGAAATAATGACAATGAAGTTACACGAAGACAACTTTATTACATTTTCAATGCACTGCTCATGTTAGTGAGATACAACTGAACCTCGCTGTCATTGCTGACGTCTGTTGCATTGGCGAAAACTCTGTTTTAGGTGTTGGGAAAGGGAAGGGGGGGGGGGGGGTTAACTTGCGTTTTTGGGAGATTTTCCTGTCAATGACACAACCGTACGAAATTTTCCATATCTGGGAGTCTCCAGGGTAATACGGGGCACTTGCCAGGAATGTGGTGGCATAAAAGAGAGAGCTAGATGCAAAAGATGGGTTGCAAAAGATGGATGGTTCTTGTCACAACCCAGCAAAGGTGGGTTATGACGAAAAGATTTTATGATTATGCTTATTTTTCATACTTCATCCATAAATTTTTTTTCAATAGTAGTCCCATTCTTCCCTTAAACCTTCTGCTTGTTGCTTCCACAGCAAACTGGGAGGCTTTGAAAGAACGTTTCAGTGCATTTACAGTCGGCTACAGGCTCAGAGTTCCGTAAAAGCTCTGCCTGCTGCAAGCACTTGTTGCCTCGTACCGGGCTCAGACTTCGCGTGCGACGAAGCATTATTGAAGGCAAAGCCTGCACTCGAGGCTGGCCATGTACCGTGTTCTTAACCCGTCGCCAACTAGAGAGAACTCGACCGGTTCGTTTTTTGAACGGCAGCTGCGACCAACGTTGGTTGCGCCGGCTGCTCAAAATGTCCCGAATTCCCCTTCTCCCCTTGCCCCGTCAAGTCACGGTGCCTTTGTCGTCGGAGATTCCGTTCCCGACGTCACAACTGCATTATTATTTTTGCCGGTTCCAGCACCGAGAGGCCCTTGCCAGGATCGAAGAGCTCGAGACAGCCAACAAGCACCTCCAGAAGCGGATAGACAAGCTCAAGTCGGCCCGGAATGCCCTCAAGTGAAGCAGAAGGGCTGTGCCACGCCCACTCGTCCTCCGACACGCGTCGGCTCGACGACCACCACGAGAACGGCACCCGTCTCTGCGCAGAGGCTCATATCAAGCGGGAATGAGTACGGCACGGACGCGCGCGTACACGTGCGGAGCTTTGGGTTCGTCTCGTTTTTTCAGTGGGGCATTGTATCGGGGACGTGGCGAAACGCGTCGCGAAGCTGCGTAGCCGACGAAGATGGAGGCAGACGGTACGCGAACCAACGAAAAGAGGACGGGCGTCGTCGAAAGAGACGCGAGGGATACGGCGCCCCTCGTCCTCCTGTACAAAAAAAAGAAAAAAAGCAAGCCGTGAAGTTTGTGTAACCTTGTTTTTTTTTTCTTCCTAAGTTATTAGCGCTTTTCTTTTTTGCCCTTCTCCTTTTCGCGTGACGCCGAAAGCACGCCCGGAAAGTTGGAGAGGAGGAGAGTGCGGGAACACAGTGCGAGGTTGTCTCTTTTTCCTTCCTCCGCTTTGTTCCGACCTCCATTTTCCTCTCTTTTCTGTTTGGTGACGTGTTCGTTTGTGTGTGTGCAAGTCCCTCCGTCTTTTTAAAAGAAGTGCCATTTTTTGGGAAAGGGGAGAGCATGGATGGGAAACTGGATTTATTGTTTTTTCTTTTGTTTGCTGTCCTCCGGCATTCTCTTTATCTTAATATCGAGAATTTTCCACCAAACTCCTCAGCGGGAATTCATTCTCCCGATCGGCTCGCCCTTTCCCGGCTTTTTAAAAACGATTTGTCTCGGGCGTTGTAATCAAAAGGGAGCTTTGTGGAACGGAGTTCCTCTTTTTTTCGCTTGTGTCGCAAACGTGTGCTTTGTGGAGCCGCCCTTTTTTTTTGTTTCCTCCGTCGTTTAGTTTATTTCGAGACTAACTTTACCATCCTGGGGGGCGCATACCTGCATTCCCCATGATTACGCAATGTCTGTGCCACGAGGGAAAAGGGGTTTGGACGCGCCGCCAAGCCCACACCCCCGCGCGTCGACTAAAACAGCAACACGCCACATCGATCGGATCTCTTGCGAGATCGAAAAGCGTACTGCGACACCTCGGAAGTATGCAAAGCGTACGCAAAGCTTACAAACGCTGCACCTCCGTCCCGAATTTGGAAGTGTGCGCATCGGCAATCCTAGCAAACGCGAGTAGTGCATATACCTAGACCGATTTGTTCGTCGGGCGTTGGTGTCTGGGTATTTTTCTACAGCATAAATGGATGTGAGAGCGTAAAAAAAAAAAAAAAGAAAGCGATCCCAACAAACCTACGCATGCTCCCATGAACGGTGAAAATAGTAATAAAAGAAGTAATAATGCATTCTGGCACATGTGTTCCTTCCGTGTCTCTAGTGCGAGGGGGTATTGCACTGCTGCTCTGAGCGTGTGGAGCGGAAGCTTGCGCCCCAGAACCGGGGGATCCTGGGCTCAATCCCCACTTCTGACTGTTTTGATCAGAATGAGTGACGTACCGGCGGGAGTTTGTGCAATCACTACCGAGTGATGCACGTGAATGACCCCGGCATAGCGGTGGCACTGCGCTGGCTGCATTTTTCATCCACAGCAGACATCAGACATCCAGACATTTATTCAAGCAGACTCCCTTCCCGCTGTATAAACATACAACACAATTACTTTTCAACAATTACTGGTGCTTTTTGACTGTTGAGTGCAGGGAAAAAGTTCTGTTGTACTTCTCAGGTTGGTATGAAATTTAAACCGGGAAAAAAAAAGGCAGCCCTGAAGTGTTCTTTTTTTTTCCACATGTTTTTTTACTGTGTTTTACACCACTTGCTAAGACATGGTTCTGCCAGCTGCTCGGTGTTTGACCGAGAACTAGGCTTTAACAATTCCTGGCTCAGTAGGAAGCGTTCCATTCAACTTCCACATAAAGCATAGTATGGTTCAAACATTTTGAGCTCTGTAAGAAGTCTGGAAAAACATTGGTGCCTGTATCGAGCGAGCTCAAACTTTTGTAAAAAATGTACAGGCTTTTTCTTTTTTTAAGTCTGATTAATAAAGAAAAAGAGGGGGGGGGGGGGGGGAGGGGAACTAGGATGGATTTAGAAAAGGTTTGTCCACAGTAACCCACATTGAAATAACTCGTTTTTGGTCAAGTCATCAAAAGCAGAGGACAAGCCAACATATTGTTCCTGGATCTATTTAAGGCATTTGGAAAAGTTCTCGACAATAAGCTTTTAAAACTGAATGCAGTTCTTAACTCGCACAAACTAGTGAAATGGCTAGCCTCATACCTAGAAGGAAGAGAAAGAACAGTATGTGCATTTCAAAGAATCGGACTTGTGTTTTATACAATAATCTTAAGTCTTCTTAAGATCAAACTATTTTAAACACTTGCTTAGGAAAAAAATACTCGCCTGTTGTCGTGATTGGCAAATGAAACTAAATAGCTCAAAAACAGTGTCAATGTCAACCGCGCATAAAATGCGTGCCATGGAGTTTTCATTCACCATTGATGGGCACTCCAAAAGGTAGGGGATTAAAAGTTCTTAGGATTAAATTCTAATAGCAAACCATTATGGGATCAGCACATCGACTCTGTTGTGACGAAAGCGACCTTGGTCCTTGAAACGTCTCCCGAAGTTTTCTTAGTATAACACATAACTGACCGTTTACAAAACTCTATTATGACCTTTTAGTATAGTATGCCAATGTTGTGCAGGATTCACGCTCAAAAATCGACACCAATAAATCGGGAAATGCACAGCGAAAAGCGCTAAGGTTTATTTACAACAAATGTGACATGTTGAGCTTGCCCTCAGCATTATTGAGGCAGGCACACTTGCTCGAACCGAGTGAAAGAGTGTGGGCAGTTAGGCTGAAGATTTTATTCTTAATGATTCGAGGAAAACTGAATGTTTATATTGCAAAATATATAACCTTTTCAGGCTGCCTTGGATACTAAAGTATCCAAACTGGATACTAGAGTATCCAGTTTGACTCGACACATTCAAACACCTGTTCGTTTTTTCCTCAAGCCATTGTCGAATAGGACAAATTGCCTGCATCCCTAACAAATTCGGACTGTTGACTACGTCATTGATGGAATTGCTGTTTTCTTTTCTAAGTAAACTATGTTTTAATTTGTCATAAGGGCAAACATGTTTGTGTTCTTATTGCATTGTATATAGGGTGTGAAATTGTTTAATGTCTCGAATCATGTTGCCATTCCTTTTTTGCCATATTTAATTAATGTTATGTTGTGCCTTTACCATGGCCCTGATTGGGCCAGGTAGTATCATTAAATAAATGAATAATTAGCTAATTAACTAAGTTTCCATAATTATTTTTTTTATTTTTAGTATTTGGTGTATAACATACTTTGAGAATTTACATTTACAATCTAACCGTGACGTGAAATGTCGATTAAAAAAATTAATAGTGGGAGCTACGAAGAAGGGATGATGAATTTTTTCGTCAAATTTTCCCATCATGGCTAGACTACCGTATAAGGAGTTTCGAGCGTAAATTCTGCAACTACATTATAGCCCAAAGCGTGAAATTTTAAAAAGGATAGTTAAAATTATATTTAATTGGCTAGATAATTAACCAATTTTGCTTATTTTCCAGTGGACACATGAGGAATGGCAATATTTAAAGTTGGTGGCCAGAGGTGGTGCTACCTACACCCTAGTTTTACCTATTTAGTATACAATGATGTACAATGATGAACATTGACAGATCGCATCTCAAAATAGAAAAACAAGTAAAATGTGCTGGAAATTGCATCGCCCAACATGACGAACAGAACACTCCAAGAATGATAGAAAGACAACGCAGACAATTGTTGAGTGCAAGTTTTTCCAGCATGAAACACATTTTTTTTTGTTTTTGCTACTACGCTCACGGTGCCAATTTTGCTTGCATCTCAAACAGGTGTTCGATTTCACAAAAAGGTTTCTGCTTTTCTGTTATATGGGTCGCAGCTGCTTCAGCATTATCCAAGCACACGTGCCGAGAGAAGCAGTGGTGTAGTACTAACCTGCCAGCATATGTTTTGACCAAAAGCTAGAGAAAGTCCAGGCTTCATACAAGTACTCACTACTGCAATGTCCCTCACCTTTGTACACTTTACAAAGTTCCTTCCCAGATTTTACATAGGATGCTACAAATATTGGTAGGTGCCTACTTCTTACTGAAACAAACATTGATTTATCACGCAGAGTCCCGCAAAGGGAAATCGGCACCTGCAGACAACACAGCATGTGACACTGAAGGAAAAGATGAGACAATTAATTGACGTTACCACTTTGGAGCCAACTCCAAATCACGAGCAGACATTGGCCTAAACTTTGAAAAGCTTTGTAGCACCCCAGCTTACGACATCCTTTTCGTGCTTTTTCATTTTGGTTTGTTTGGACAATGGAGATTGTCTGCAGCACAAAAGCAGAAAACCGGTTGGTACGAGATGGCTTGGATGACGTTTTCTAAAAGAAATACAATAACAGTCGCTGTAAGCCGTCGAAAGTAGAAGAGTGAGACTCTTCTGCACACCGCAAGACCACAGTTTGCATTTGTTTGATTGTGTTTATATCTTGACTAAAGTACAGTGCTCGCTGCTGAGCAGGTTCTTCAGATTATGGCTGTAGGGTCCCAGCAGTAATGTTTGTTCTGGTTGAGCCCAGAGATGGATGCTATTTGGTCTTCGGACAGGGAAAAATCGAAAAGCTTGGAGTTCTCTTCGATGCGCTCTGCTTTGGTGGACTTCGGAATCACGGCTGCAAAGTCATCACGAGGACGCACGAATCAAGAAGTTGCACATTGGCAGAAGAAACAAAAAATGGAAAAAAGAAAGTGGTTACCGATGCCGAGTTGCAGAGCCCACCGAAGTACGACCTGTGCCGGCGTCTTCTGGCACTTGTTTGCAATGTCCACGATCACAGGCTCGCTAAGAATCTGGAGTCGGATTCGAGCAATGTATGAGAGACTGGATATATTGTAGCGCAAACATCCAGGTGCCATGAACAAAGTGAGCCTTAAAAATCAATGCCTGCACATGGTGTGGTAAAATTTTAAACAGATTAACTTTAGTGTTGTTGATGAAGCCAGCTCAAAGATATACACAAATACAGGCAAAAAAGTGCATGGACATGCCTCTTCTTTCTTGCACACACAGTGACCCCACAATGACATAAAGAAGTAATCAGCTCAACTTAAGCCTGTGACAGATTTCTGTAGTGCACATTGTTCCATGAAATTTCAAATGTTGCTCCGTTCCTGTAAAATGAAGATGCAGACAAATTTTGAATGGTTTCATCAACTTTTCTTTTCTCTCAGAATGAAGGGACATGTTGAAAACATCAACGATAAACTGACCACTGCAATAAACACTTTTGATGAAAACGTTGGCTTACTAGATGCAGGTGCCAATTTTACACGGTATCCTCCGGATGTTTGTGTCGCCTTAAGTAGTGAAAGTAGATCAACCTTCTCTTTATGGAACTTACCGCAGAAACTCCATTGGCTGCTCCAAGAGATGAGTAGGCTTGAAGGACAATCTGGTGATCCTTGCAGTATCTCAGCAGATCTTCTTGAACCAAGTGGGGATGGAACTCAACCTGTTGTAATGAGAGAAAAAAAAAAAATCCACCGGATATTTAGAGTTTTTCAAAGTTTGGCCGAAGTTGGAACTTACCTGGTTGACCGTTGGTCGCACGGTGCAATAAGACAGGAGTTCCTGTAGATGCCTCACGGTGTAATTTGACACCCCAATGGCACTCAGCTTTCCTGCATATTTATCATCAAGAATCGGGCCCCGTGAGCGAAGCTGTTAGCTAAGGTTAAACATTCAACATGGGAAGATCTAGTTTTAGGTATTGGTCATTCAGATCGGAAGAGACCAACGATGGGCACGCAAAGGCTGAGCACTGATATGCCACAAAGACGAAAGGAATGGCAAGATATTTGCCTTCTACAGTGGTACAGATGGGAACGTTTGGATTTGTTCATGTGTGCTTGCAAGCAGTCAATGTATTTTCTGCTGGCACCAACATATACCAGAAGAAATTGAATGCTATACGTTGTCAGTCTCTCTTGTCCGAGACTAGTGCTGATGTAACTTGGCGAAGTAAGGTAAGTTTATTTGATTTCAGAAAAAAACTCTCATACAATCCAGCCCGCTTAAGCGTAGGCACGCTTAAGCGGGGTAGAACAGGCAATTACTAAAATGAATAAACAAATTTCTAACCTTCCTTGTACAAGCGTTCCATTTCTAGCCAACTTTCTTTCCTGAGCTCGGCTTGCTTGGGGTCGCTCGGTTTCATGCCCTGGACACCAGGCCAGTGTAGGAGAAGCAAGTCCAACTTGTCAATGTTCAGTCTCTCGAGGATGCCCAGCGCGGAGCTTCTGCTTTTCGCCGATCCGTGATCGATGGGAGGCACTTTACTGGCCACAAAAATGTCCTTGCGCTGCAGACCATACTGAGGTAGGTCCCGGAGGAAAGCGGCCAGTACTGGCTCGTTCTTGTAGAGCGGAGCTGTGTCTAGATAATGAAACGGACAAATAAACAAATTATGTGGAGCGCAAGTTCGTCTGCTTCTTTTGCAGGGGTTGTGGTGACGTCAGTACACCGAGCTCTGATTGAAGATAGTGGGTAGACGTCAAGACAAGCTGCCTCGAGGTCTACCCACTATCCCACAATCAAGGCCAATCAGAACTCGGCGTCGTTCTGACGTCACCGGAACCCCGGTGCAAGAAGCAGACGACTTGCTCGCCGTATTGACTCTATCAGCCCCTCCAAAAATGATGCTTTTTTGGGCTATCTGAAAATACTACAGAGTAGCGTGAGCAAAAGACGCCATAATAATGGGAAGCCTATTAATTGTATACAGTCTCTTAGAAGCGAGTAGCTTGGTGGTGGTTTTTGCGCACGACACTGCAGTCTGATGTCGTGTCGGTGCATGCGATCTTCGACCGCATGCACCGACACGACATCGTGGAGAAACGAACTTACCTATTAATCTGTAGCCACTCTGCACGACCGGTCGAAGGAGCTGACTCAAGTCTTTGTCGCGAATGCGGTAGGTGCCGACTGAAAGTACAACGACAATGAAATTAGTAGTTATTTATACGACCATGCCCCTTTACATCGGCCAGTGGAGAAATCAACGGGTCAGAATTGGCCCGGAGATATGAAGGCCGTCAGATACCCTCCTTTCTTTCGCGTGTTTGATAACAAAGATTCAGATTCCGCGATGAATATTAGCTGGTCGTAGGTGCAGCGTGTTTTGTAAGGGTATTTGAGGTTCTCGTTTGCAAATGAGGAACACGGTACTTGCATCCTACGATGGGCAGATGGGCGCCGTTGTTCAAAATTTGCTTCGAGGAGATCGAGCGTGCCATGGTTGTACGATCGAGGTCCCTCGGGTGTCCCAGAAATACACCCAAAGAAGAAACACCGCTGTGGATATCACGAAATATGAGAGAAGTGATGAACCAGATTCTCTCAGTGTAAAGCGAAAACGAAAACAAAGTACACGCTCAATGTTTGGGGATCATAATAACGACAAAACAAACCGTCCGCTCAAGGTCGTTCTAAACTGCGCAGCAAACTTAAACAATTAAGTATAAATGATAGTATAAAAAACCTATAAAAATATTTAATCATTTTTTATTCAGTAACTAAGCGAGCAACTTATCTGAAAAAAGGCAAAAAAACAGTAGAAAATATTTTATTGTTTTAGACCTAGCTTGTCAGTTTGCTAGCGACGCCAAGCGGCAGAAACGCTTTTTGCGAAAAAAGGCTCGCTTTACCGCAGTTATGGCGGCCGTCGAGAAACCTGCGGAGGCCAATCCGAGCCCGCAAGTGGGGATTAAAGAATTAGCGGAACGTGAGTACCTCAAATCCCTTGACGATAACCATCCCTAACCTAATCCCGCTCGCGCCGGTAAAATTATTTTGGCGAGATACTCCGTGAATAGCCGGGATTTAACTTTATCTTAGCTGCAACTACGCTGTATAAACAGTACGCAAAATTTCAAATCGTTTATTTTTTACTCGATCGTTCGATGCTTTCAACTCGATCCGAGTTCTTATTCAGTGTTCAGCCCGGACTGATCTGCGTCCTCGATTTGAGATCCGCGGTCTTAAGGCTGTTTAGTGCGGCAACAATTCAATCACTCCGCGGTTTTTGCCAACATTGTCCCACGCGCACTAGATAAATTGTTTGTTTACCCCCTGAAATGACTTTAGTAGAGCTTTACGGCTGATGTCGGCTCTGGTTGCTTAGTACTTTGTGAAAGCTGCCAATGATTGGTTCATTGAAGCAGGATATTAATATATCACCTTGTCTCTGGAGCGCGATTGTAGAAGGTGCTATGTGGGGGGAGAGGGAGGGCAGGAGTGAGAGGAGGTGGAGGAGGTGAGTCGACATTAACAAAATGATAAAAAAGGGGGAAAGAAAACGATGACAGTTGATGAGAAAGCGCGGTCGAGCTTGCGTGAAGTTGTCGTGGCTACTCAAAACCATATGCTTGAAAGCTGAGCATCCCGAGAACACATAGTTTTTGGGGGTTTTGTGGTAAAATAGATAAATGGGCTAGTTGGTACATCATTGAATGGAAAGCGCCGAATAAACAAGGACCAAGAAGGGGACAGAGACGAAGCGCACTCACAACTGAAGGTTTATTGAAAACTACATTGACTATTAATACCGTCTATCAGGGTGTTGGCTCAAAAAGAAAAACTCTTTATCAGTTAAGTGCAGTGACGGCGCACTAATACACAGACTCACCCCTTGCTCTCTTATGCGGAATGCCTCGTGTATTTCTCGCGCTGTTTTGTTTTCGTATCTGCCCAGAACTGTTGTTTTTTCCAATTCCGGGCTACATGGGCACCTATCACAATGCACCGCAAGATTGCCCGACGGGGACTGTTTGACTGACCAGGCATGTTCTCTGGCCCTTTCATTTATGCAACGCCCCGTTTGGCCGACATACGATTTCCCGCAACTCAATGGTATGTTATACCATAAGCTGTCTCACTTGTGTTCAAAAATAAACAACAAAAAGGGAGAGGGTAAGGTGTGTCAAAAGAAACACGCTAATCAATACGTGGAGTGTGCAACGTCAGTGGTGTATAACATACCATTGAGTTGCGGGAAATCGTATGTCGGCCAAACGGGGCGTTGCATAAATGAAAGGGCCAGAGAACATGCCTGGTCAGTCAAACAGTCCCCGTCGGGCAATCTTGCGGTGCATTGTGATAGGTGCCCATGTAGCCCGGAATTGGAAAAAACAACAGTTCTGGGCAGATACGAAAACAAAACAGCGCGAGAAATACACGAGGCATTCCGCATAAGAGAGCAAGGGGTGAGTCTGTGTATTAGTGCGCCGTCACTGCACTTAACTGATAAAGAGTTTCTCTTTTTGAGCCAACACCCTGATAGACAGTATTAATAGTCAATGTAGTTTTCAATAAACCTTCAGTTGTGAGTGCGCTTCGTCTCTGTCCCCTTCTTGGTCCTTGTTTATTCGGCGCTTTCCATTCAAGGGGGTTTTGTGTCGAACGTCCCTTTCTTTCCCCCCGCTCCGGGGTTATTATGTCAACCTTAAACCATCTCGCCTGTACTCTCGCTTTAGTGTCATTAATTCCCTGTTTTATATATTTATTTTATTTATTTATTTATTTACATACCCTCAAGGCCCTGGGGGTGTTACAGAGGGGAGTGAGTGAAAAAAACAAACAACAGTAATAGAAGACATGATAGGTCACGGGTCACTTTCGCAAAAATAATTAGCGACAGCACTTTTAAGCACATCTAACGAGGGTAATAATATTAATGACGTTGGAAGGTGGTTCCGCTCTGACAATGTCCTAGAAATGAAAGAATCGTGATAGGCTGAGGTTCGAGAATGAGGAACGCTGACTTTGTACTGATGATCAACATTTCCACGACATTTCAGTTTGACGAGATATGTGCAGCTGTCTGTTCTTGGGGTAAACATATGTTTGATTTTACACGAATGGAGCAGAACCTAGTTTCTTGAACCTTGTTGAATGAACCTGAGACTGGGGTAGATAGGAAACATCAAAACATAGAAGAGACAGGATGACGTAATGCAACATGGTTAATATTCACCAGCTTGCCTGCACCCTTACAATATTTTCTCTATTTTCTTTGCTTTTAAAAAAACATAAAAAAGAACCGCCAAAAAATGGCAAGTTTCTAAAACAATCCTCTTGCAGCAGAAAAACAAAAAGAGTCTTAATATGGTGTGCCGTAAAGTTCTGAAGGAATGGTCACCCCCAAAATATTAGCTATCAAAATCTTTTTCTACTGCGCGAGTCGTTGGCCCTTTAAAGGGACGTCAGAAATCGGTTCCACAACTTATCGAACAAAGGTTTCATACAGAGTTGGCCGATGGTGCATTTTGTGCATTGAAATATTAAAGAGCGAGCCGAGTAAAGAGTAAAAAATAGAGAAAATATGTGGGCTGCGTGCCCACAAAAAGAACAACGCAAGTGCGACGGGCACCTTGGCACGCGCTAGAGCCTGAACCCATTGCTGCCACTGCATTTTGTCCGATTCTGTATATATGTACAGGGTGTTGAAAAATAAAATTTGCAGTCTTTTTCTCCGCAAAAATAAACTAGGCATCGCCGAACGCTCATTCTCCGCCCAAAGGTAGCGCCAGAGGTCACGACCAGAAGCCAAAGTTTCAGCCCGATCCGATAACTTAATCAATAAATAACAAATATATTTGCTACATTTGTACTGTTTTAGGGGTGGGTAAATACTGGGCTGACTTGCAAGGCAAGAGAAAGCCACGCCATGCTAGCTTCCTTTGCAGTTTTGACGCTAGGAATCACACTGCACCAATCAATTCAGGACACCATTCGTACGCTCCTAGTATCTTTATGATGCCAGAACCTCTAATGCCTGGTTTCGCACGACCAGTTTATAACAACTTTACTCATAGGTGATTATATATATGAGTGATAAGAATCCAAAATTTGAAATCATTGATCACATGCCCCTTTAGGTCAGAGTTCTCTTCCAATGAGACGGATTGCTAAAAGTGACAGCATTTCCCGACTACCGTAATATCCCGAGTCATCGCCCACCCCCCTACCGCCTGAAATTCATTAAAAAAGTGGGGTGGGCCATGTCTCGGTGGGTGAGCACAAACACTTGAAAAAAAGCGGAAAAAAACGCCTATTTTTCTCTGCGTATCTAGCGCTGATGCACAAGAGATACATCAAACTCAAAACTCGATTTAGTTTCATTGTTTTATAGAAAAAAATGCTCACGAAAGAATATTTTACTATAGCGAAGTCCGTTGCTTGCATACGCGCTAGAAACACCGCCGATTTGCATATAGCGCGAACGTTTGTTCCGTGAAAGAATGTCACCACTATGTTCTAATAGTTAGTAAAAAAAAAAAAAAAGAAAGAAAAGTCTACAAGAAAATAAAAAAAAAAAAAAAAAAAAAAACGACCAGGCGCAACCAGCGAGCGAGCGGACCAAAGAAGTGACCAAGAGCAATGCTGGGAAAGCGGGAAAGCCGGTGGTCGCGTTGGCAAATACTTTGGCGTCGGGCCAAGTCGGGCGCCTTGTCAATTGCAAGCTCTTGCGCAACTTTCTTGTTTGGTGCGTACATACGTGCGTCCGTGCACGGCGGGCTATCAATGCACGGTTGGGACGCTCTGCAAACGTCTGTGTAGGGTGTTCCAGCAAAGCTTTATTTACGCGTTGGCTTTGCCTAAAATATTGCACAACCGCGGTCGCGACGGGCGGGAAGAAGGAGCGGGTTCGCGGTGACCTTACTTCGGCGGAGACAGACCTTGACCTAACACTCCGCGGTTACATTAATAAACTCTTATTTTGTTATCTCCATCGTTTTCTTTTCGCACGGATACACGACCACTTTGGGGTCGCTCACGGAGGAAATGCGTAAACAAAAAGAAGTGTCTTTCCCTCCTTCGTTTTACTTTGTCACGGACGTCCTCCAACTGTAAGGTCCGCGGCCGCGTCATTCGGGTAGGATGAGTGTTCGCGGATCGCAGAGTCTGCGCTGGGGTATTTGAAGGGGTGGGCGATGCCTCGATGTTTTTTCGGAAATCGATATTGGCCCAAAAAATGGGGTGGGCGATGGCTCGGGGATGGGCAATGACTCGGGATATTACGGTAGTGATTTTCTGAAAATTTCAATGGGAAAATGGCGGCCGACGGAGTTTTCGAACACATGGGGCTCTATGGCACCAGAAACCGAAAATGGGCAAAAATGGGCTCCATTTTCCCATTGAAGTTTTCAGAAAATCACTTATAATATTTGATTAACTTATCGGATCGGGCTGAAACTTTGGCATCTGGTTGTGACCTCTAGCGCTACCTTTGGGCGGAGAATGAGCATTTGGCGATGCCTAGTTTATTTTTGCGGTAAAAAAGACCGTGTAAATTTTCTTTTGTGACATCCTGTATATAAGTCTGTTGGACCTCTATAAGGTCTCTACGTATCAGTGCCCCAGAGGTTACTTGAACAGATGCAGAGGTATCTCAGAGTTTCCTACCTATGGCGGCCGTCGGCTATAGAAAGGTGCCCAATTGGCTGTTGGTTGTCCAGCTGCCCCGGTGATTGGCAAAGACAATGCCAAGGAAAGCCCCATGGAGAACCTTCTGGAGAAGCTGCGAGCCAAGGCCAGCCAGTACAAGCCCTGGGGGGACATGGCCAAGGCGTTACGCATGGCACTCATGGTGAGAGAAATATTGGGTGGCTGGATGTGCATTCTTTTCATGGTCTGTACAGGATGGAGCAGAAAAAAAACGCTTGTGGAGATAGTCGGTACAGCTATTGAATGTTTTCAGCAAATAAGCATTGTTGTAATTATTCTTATTTTAGCATCTCTGCTGGCGTGAAACCTGGAGATTCAGGTTATCAGCTAATTCCTCAATTTGATACTGTTGCGTTGCAGGAAAAGCACCACCTTGTGGACAGTGCCGACCGTAACCGCCTCCAGAAGTGTCTCGACACAATCCAGAAGTCCATCAAAGGTGGCCGTGATTCTTTGCTCTTGTTAGTGTGAGGTATTTACATGTTCTAATTGGGGATTCCTGCCGCTCCCCGCAGTCACATCCATGCAGTCCATGATTGAGCGACTGGACACCATCACGAGACAGCAAGGGTATGTGGAAAGACGCACTTCTTTCTACAGTTTCGACAGATTCAGTTCTGAAGCTGACAGTTCAAGAGCTGTTGGAAAAATTGTTTTTTTTTCTAGAGTCTTTTGCGGTGTAACTTGTCAGGCTGTTTTGTCTTGTAGGAATTTGCGTACCGCCTCCGATTCGCCATTTCCCACGTGGTCCGTCAACAACCTGAGTCCAGCCTGGTTCTTTCACGGGAGCGGGATTCCGCTCCCCGTTTATTGGTACATAGAACACAACGCTACAAAACACCCAATCTAAACTACAAATACACGCGACATTGCACAAATATATACAAATGCACGTTAGACCCAAAGCTAAACACAAAAAGGGCCCCCAGGCTTCTTGTCCCGCGATTACCCTAGATCCGGTCGCCCTACACTTGCCTGGGCTCAATAGCGTCCGAAGTTCTAGGAGACTCCTTGCCCCCTGTCTACCGAATATATTTCGATCGATGGCGAAAAGGTTTTTCCTCGCCCAGCATGGGGCGCCTGCAGCGCCATCCAGTGGCTAGGAGAGAAAGCGGCCCGTCTGGAGCCGAATTCGAGATCCCGATCGACCCCGCGGCAACACCACCATGTGATCATGTCTGAGGCGAGGCAACTGCATAGCTGCCTCGCGGCCGAGTGGTTTGATGGGCGCCCTTGTGAATGCATGGTGCGCCATAGTCTTGGGTGAACATTTTCACGATAAATAAGTTTGGTGTCTGTAATTTTGACAAAAGGTTTTTCTGGAGGAAAGACACAAAGAAAACTTTGTGATGCTCCTGTTTTGGCGCATAAAAACATCTCCATACAGAAGCACGAAAGGCACAGGTGTTAAAGGGGCCCTGCAATCATATTTGAGCGTCTACGTTTTTTGCGGTTTCCACGTCTCTTGGGGTTCGGGCAAGCCAACGGGCACGGAGAGTAACTAAATATCAGTGCTTCATTTTTGAACCGGACGACGCGGAAACCTCCTCCACCTAGCGGGGCGACCTGTGGTGACGAAAGCGTGCAGTATGCGGTCTTGGGTCCTGGGCTTACGACTGGTCAGAGCTGCTAAAGAGCTTCTTTTCAGTCGAAATTCAAAACATAAGTGGCGCAAACCGTTTGAATTATTTATGAAAGTAGTTTTACGGCGGAGCTGTTAAGGGCTAGTTTCCCCAGTTTCGTGTCCATCACCAAATAAACGTCGACACAAATCTCTGGATAGCTACCGCCATCTGTGAGCAAAGGCGGCAACCAGACAACCGGCTTTCCGGTTGTCTGGTCGCCGCCGTCGCTCATAGATGGCGGCAACCTTTCCAGCCTTTCCAATCTGGTTTTCATCAGAGTGGAAAGGCTTAATTTCTCTAGGCGTCGTCCTAGAAGTCGTTCTTGAGGTCGTTTTAGTAGTCCTTGAGATAGTCCGAGGTGTTGTCCTTGAGGTCGTCCTAGAAGTCAGCTTTGAGGTCGTCCTAGATGTCATTCTAGAAGTCGTCCTAGACGTCGTCCTAGATGTCATCCTCTTGGCGGCGTCCTTGAGGTCGTCCAAGAAGTTGTCCTTGAGGTTGTCCCACCATAGCACAGCTTCTCTGATCTTCCTTCTTCACCAGAGTGGAACGGCTGAAAGTTTTTTGTTTTGTATTTTAGATAGAAGAGAAACAAATGCAGTTTATAAGGTATGGAAACAACAAATGACCCGTTGACATACTCGCCACCAAGCCCTGGAAAAGGCGGCGCATACGAGGAAGGGGTCTGGGATCAGGCACCAACGAGCGGCGAGCGTAGAAAGGTCCCGGATGTACGCGGCGGCGCTGCGGTCGTATACGGGCTCATGGATCTGAGCGTTCCGAAGGCCTTCGGCGAGCAGATTTGGCTTGCGGTTTGGCCATAAGGCGGTATGGCAGCTCGAAGTGGCTCTCATTCTAAACTGATCTTTACCCCGTGTTTGCTGTTATTTGTGGCCAATGAAGGGTCATGCCGAATTAGTATTTAATCTCGCAGCAAATGCAATGCGAGCCGCCCTGGCTGCCCGCTTCATATAGCCTATCCAGCACATGCTTTAGTGGCACCCTCTGGAGCCGTCGACACGGAGTGCGGCAGCCGTGAGCGCTCGCTGAGCTCACTACCCGTCCTCTAGTTCAAGGGCACTCAAGCGACCATGGGTGTCGTGAAGGAGGTTATTTTTTGCTTGTTTTTGTAATTTTAATTTGCCTATAACTTTCAAAATAAAGCAAAATTCGAGAAAAGAAATGTTTCATTAAGTTACTACGTTCAGTGCACTCAGGTTGGGTGCAAATTAAAAACCAGTAAAAAAGTCGTTGCAGGGCCTCAAGGGGTGACACCACCTTCAAGTGTCGACTTTTAAACCAGTCGCTCTATATTGACGAAATTTGGAGCGTCTATTTATCTCGTTGCCTAAATGCACTCTGAGAGCTTTCCTCTCTGTAAGGCTATTTTCCGATAAGCTACAGCGGGAAGTACACAGCTGTTGATGTAAGTCACCTCACTTGGCAAGGAAATCTATTGTATAAAACTGCTGGAGAATACTGAGCATTTTTAAGCTTCAGCCTTAACTAGAACATATAATGGGTGGGGCTATCTTTTTTTTTTTACCTTAAAATCCATTGTTTTTCTAGGCAAAATGTCAATTTCAAAAGCATTCCACATAATGGGGCATTTTCTCCCCATCAAAATTCAACTTTTTAGCAATAAGAACTTTACGTAATCAGAAAAATAAATATGTAGCCACATTCCTCATTAAATTTCAGTTCAGAAACATCCACAGCCAAGAATACATTCAGCGATTCATCGAAATGATAGATTTTCTAAAACGAAAGTTGCTGCAAAAAAGTGAAACTGAGAAAAACCTGTTTAGTTTCCATACCACTAGGTTTGCTTTTACTGGTGGTGGCGGCAACTAAAAGGCACCAAGAGCGTAGATGGTGCCTTCTGCTTACACCCAATCTCCTGCATGGCTTTGCTGAGTGAGTCTAAGCTTATAATGCTTTCTTTGAGTGTCATTTTGGTGTCGGCATGTGGACATTGATTGTAAAGCGAGTGGGGACTTGGGTATGCTTGCAATACACGAACCAGCATCAGCAAGTATGGGCAGGGCAAGCATCGTCAAAATACAGAGCAGACAAGCCCATGTGACTTTTTTATAAATGAATACTGGTTTCAGTCAGTTTTGTGTTCAGTCAGGGTGGGCTTTTCGGTTCTCGGCAGTATGCATAGCCTCTTCTACGTGAAAGCTGGACTTCAATGGTGTTCTTGCCCAAATAGAGTTTACTCTCAAACAAAGATATTTAGTGTACTGAAACTGTGAAGAAAAGCTCTTTCCGAGAGTATGATCATCATTCTAGGGCATACTGGTGCAAAGCTTCAGCAGTTTGAAAAAGGAAACATAGAAGTTTCACATTTCAAAAACATGATTTTGCATCATTGGCTTACCGAAAATGTTTTATTTCTCCGTAAATACATCAGGTATTGCAATAAAAATTTGCAAGAGTATACACTATTAGTTGTGAAACCACAATACATAAAAATAGGAGAATTAATTTTTTTCTAAAAAATTGCCATTTTAAGGTTGTACTTAAGGGAACGAGCACTCTTCAGACAAAATTCTCGTTGTTCATAACATCCCTATAGCAGTGACGGAATTTCCACATTATCTGCGCCAAAACGCTTTGCTGCAGTAACCCTGCCATGTTAGGTTACATTTCACGGAGATCTGAGTGTCTTCTTGAAATAAGGTAATGAAGTGTACCAAATGTTTTTGCCTAACTTGCTGTCCAGGGTGACCACATTTCACCACACAATAGATTTGATTACAACCTTTCAGCTGTTGTAGAACTAGAAAAACAGATAACTGCTTGTTTGCACCAACTGTGACGCATTCTGTACATCCATAGGGTCGGGAGAACATTCTCTGGTTTGTGTGCTGGTCTCAAAACGTTTAGCTGGCCTTAGTTTTGATTGTTATGCAGAATATCTGACCTCGGCTGTGTTGTGAATGTGTTTGACATCTTGTTTGCTTCTAGCTAGTGCTTCATTGGAAACATGTTGTTTTACATTCTGTGAGCACATTTTATCTCTAGCTCCCGTGGTCTGTTTTTTGTCCCGGGTTAGAGTGAGAGCTTTTAAAGTTGCTGATTGGACGTGTCATCACGACTTTTTGTTGGGTGTGCGGTATCAACCAATGAGACACTTTTGACCCATCTGCAAGTCCACAATCGAGCAGTATTTTGGGGAGAACTTCTCACCAACACGCAGATGACAAGAGAGGTTGCGTGGCCTCTGATGTGCTTTTGCTGAGTGCTCTTTTATTTAGTGGTGAATTCCAGCTTCTCTGCGGCAGCAGAAAAACTTGAGATTCGAAGAGGAAGCACAAGTTATTTATCACTTCCAAGGTTAACTCGCTGACCATTGCAATTTCAGCCTGTATCCAATATCACTTTGCCATGGCATTCAGTTTGTAGCAAACACCCATCTTTTTTTTGTTCTGTTAGCACATGACTCAAACATGTTTCCTTGTTTTTGCCTTCATTTGCGAATGATGCTTTAAAGCAGACAAATCCCTTTATTCACTTTCGTTAGCAGAAAAATTGTCTGCGAACAATAGCTTGGCTCACTCTGTGAGAGCCAAATTAGATTTTGCTGTGATCAAAGTTGCACCACTGGCTTCATTTGGGATCATCGTTGCAATGTTTCGATTCCAGGTTGATCTTCACCACCGGGCCGGACGGTCAGGAGTGTTTTATCAGCTCGGACATGTTCTACGTCGAAGTGCTGCTCGAGACGAGTGGCGAAGTGAAGGATGTCAAGATTGCTCACCACGGAGACCCCGTGGTGAGAATGCTGTCTTAAACGTTATTGGTTGCCTTTCCTCTCTGAGCAGTGTTCGGCATCGCTTAAAACGAGTTTTTCCCAGCGCTAAATTCCCCTTGCATCAATCTAAAAAAGGAAGTAAGTCGCTGTTTTGAGAAACGTTTGACACTGATTCGTCGCACCTAGCTGCATTCACCGAGTATGTTAAGACGCATCTTTTTCTGACCGTTTAGAATGAACAGCTTCTACATGTATGGGCATTCAAAACTCGCAACAATAAAATAGCAACCCCATATTTGCAATCGTGAAATTAACCCAGATTTCAGTGTACTGTCGAGACAAGTTTTAACGAAGTCTACGGGAATTGGAAATCACTTCGCTATATTCGCTATTTCGTTATAACCGAGTTCGGTTAACGAAGTGCAAAAGGCAATGGGAAATCGTGATCGGTTCGCTGTAGCCGCTATTTCGTTATAACCGACTTCGTTATAACCGGTCGTGACTGTATTCATAAATTTCAGAAATGCCCGGAGTAGAGAAAGTGCGCGTAGATCCAGAGCAAGCGTTGGAGTCTCGATTTGGTCGGAGTGTTACCAGGCTGAAAAAACAATGTTTTCATGTTGCATTTTCAATGGACTTAGTCTGTCCGTGTTGCACCCCTGATGTCGCTTCTCTCTTCCACCTTAGAGCTGTCCCGAGCTCACCCAAGTACTCCTGTGAGTAGAGACATTCACTTCACACTCTATGCATTTTCATACTCGGGGCATGTCAGGTGGCCACCACGCACAGTGTTTTTGTGTGGGCCTGCGCAGGCACAATTATTGATGTTGTCTCAGTTTTCTCATAATTTTAAATTTTTGTTAGATGGGGAAGTGAAAGGAGGCGTGTAGTCACATCCCGAAGACAAAGAGAGCACCACATTATGCATTGGCCTTGCCTAGTCCATGTGACTACCGTGAGAGGACGGGGTCCCCCGTCTTCTACAGAACTGAGAGCTGTTCTGCACCTTGGTTTATATATTATTTGTTTCTTTATGTAGATCGACAGCTCTCATTTCCCACAGGACGCAGTGTGAACGTGCTTTAGTTACGAGGAGCGAGTAGTGCAAAGCGATCGGGAAAGGCACTTTTGTATATAGCGTTTTGCAGCCTGTTGCAGGTTTAGAACAGCAGGACAAACTCCTCCCACAAAGCTCTCTGCTCGTCACGATTGGTGGTTTCCTTCTCTCCACTCTCCCCCTCTCCAGCATTCGCTCTGCTAAAAGGGACGGAGTGGAGTGCAATGTGGGAGGGACTTCTCCCGCTCTTCTTAAAGGGAAGATGGGGCGGTTTTGCATTTGAGAAAAAACACTTGAATTGTGTTCATTTGGTTGTTAGAATAACAGATATCACAATTATATTTCAATGCGACATGTTGGAGAGCCGTAAGAGCAATTTCAAAATAGGGCTGAAGCCCCGCCTCCCTAGCCTTGGGCAGCCAAAAGATCCGTCGATGACGTCACGGACAGCGACTGTCTTTGGCGTTTTCTCGTGTTTAACAAATCTTGCGCAGCAAATGGTTTGGGTATTCGGGTTCATTAGGTAAAAATCTACCAGAATTCACTTCTAACTCATTTTTTTCAAGAAGCTCCATAGCTTACTTTTAAGGGAGGACACTACCCAAAGGGTAAACCTTTTGAACGTTTGCTTAATAGGAATGAAATTTACAGTATATGCTGGCAGTTGCAAGGCAGAGTGCAGTGCAAAGTTTCCTCTGTGTACACAAATTGTAAAATAAATTATTGTTGTTTTTGTCAGCAACGTGTTTACATTGTTTAGAAAAACTGTTCCTGGAAACCTTGTATTATACCCAACATTTTTCTTCACTAGCTATGCAGCAGTATTTTTTTTTATAAACATTGTGCTGAAAAATAAAAAAATAAAAAATTAGCCTTTTATGTCGAACAAATTTCAACATCTTTTATAAGAGACGTTCACAAAGTTAAGAAACAAAGCCACATTTGCATTGCTGAATAAATTCCAGTTAGCAAAAATAAGGAGTGAGCCTTTCCTTTTGTCCTGTTATCAAACAATAGTTTTTCTGAAGTGAAACTTATGCCAAAAGGTGCAATGGAAAAAAACATGTTCAAAGTGCTCTAACCTCTAACTTTTCTTTAGCATTGGTCGATGAAAAATAATGTATAAAAAAAAATACATATGCAGCATAAACAAATCAAACTTTTTGGGAATACTCTCTAGATGTTGGTAGATATGGCACTTTTCAAAATCAAGTTTTTTTGGAGAATTTTTTTTTCTTCTGGAAAGTGGACTTATAGCATTAAGGAAATGTTTCTGAGAACAAAGGATTCATCATGTCCATGGGTCGGCCATTCGGAGCCTTCGGTCGGCATGCATTCATGTTTTTGACGCAAGCTTTACACAACCTTTCCAGGAAAGGCGACTTTGCGGAGTTCACGAGCCACCTGGAAGGCCTGGCCTCAATTTACCAGCTCAACGCTGACAAGTAAGTAGCCGCTGAAATTGCGTGCACGAGCAACCAAAGCACAGCGAAGGGCAATGAGCACGGGCTCGGCAATGAGCGTGTGCTCGAGGTGGGGCATCGAAAAGAGACGTCTTGTCGTTCTGGCCCTGTCCGCGACTTGTATATCACAATCCAAGTAGAGGACTTTTATGGGAGGGTAAGGCACGTTCGCGCTTTGAAAAGCAAGAAATATGACAAAATAGAAGGACGTTGGTGAGTGGGACTCCGAGCCGGCGCATCCCTTGCGTTTTTCTCTGCAGGAAACAAAAGACGAAGGCGTACCTGGCACTGCAGGCGCTCGAGACGGACCTCAGCAACGTGTCCCAGCTGCAAAGGCAAGTGAGGCTCGATGGCCGCTCCCAATGTCAACGGCTGAGAAGGCGCGCACGCGATGCGGCGAATTTTGAGCTCGGGTTGTCCGTTCGTCAATCTGTCGTGCTGCCTGGTTACTGTACAAGGATCAAACCTTACTCATGCAGAATCGCTTTTTTTATGGGAGCGAACCCGGATTTTTTTGTTGTCCGAAGGGGCGCCTTCGGAAAGACGTGGAAGGCGTCCTTCCTTCCTGCCGCCTGCCGAACACCCGCGTGTCTAACTAACCGCGCATTTCGCTCGCGTCACATGTCGGCGCTTTACGAGTTGCCCTGTCCGATGGTTCTCGACCTCACTCTGTGCATTACAGTGTAGACCGCATATAACGTATGTCGCGGGAGTCGCAAAAATCAGCACTGTAAGCGGTACCGCGCTATAACCAAAACAAATTTTTCAGGCCAAAATACATGCCATGAGACAACTTACTTTTGTAAAAGAATTTATTTTATGTTAGATGAAAAATAAAGCTTAGTTTGAGGAAAGTCTTTATTTCACCAGACTAGTACACTTCTCTCTCAAGTGTGTCACACATTTTGAAAGAAATGAGCGACTCCTGCCTGGCGCAGCCTTTGCGAGTGTTCAGGATTGCTAACCCTGATCACTTTTTTTTGGTGATGAAAACGTGTGAAAATTCGCATCCTTTATATGGTACGCGCCAGTAATACCTACAACTTGAGCGCAGGCATGAAATGCTCCAAATAAGAAGTCCGGGCGATGTTCGAGGACACAAATGCTTAGAAATCACCACTGTAGTCGAAGTAAACAAACACGACGACACGGGCATTTCTGCCGTCTTGAGAGCGCCGCGACGACATTGCTGCACGAGTAGGTGGATCTTCCCTTCTAGTACGTGCTGGGTTATCATAGCAACACACAAGGAAAATTCACAGTCAAGGATAGCGCTTTTACGCGGAACGATGAGCTTCCACCACACCGTCTACGTCGACGATCACAACCGACGCCATGTTTGCGGATAGAAGAAGCCGGTCCGCGACCGGCATGACCGGCATGCAACGCACGCGAACACTTCTCCTCGACCTGCGATTGGTCTGTCGTTGCGGTTGTTTCCAACCGTATTTCCCGTATTTCTAACGCAGCGGAGGGACGCACGTACGTGAACGACATGTGCGTGCGTCCCTCCACCGCTATGGCAACTGAAGCCTCTCTCTTCGCTTCTCCCCGCTTCTTCGAGCAACCTCCTTGCCCCGCGAGTGCCGCTTGCGGCTAACACCGTCAGCGCCGTTATCTTGTGTAGCACAGGGAAGTGTGCTCGCTGCGCCGGTCGTCGGCGCGGTCGGCGGGCTGTTTTAGAAACCGCACTATAACCGGTATTTCCCTTCATGCACCTGCATTTTAAGCGGTATGTAATTACATGGAGTTCCATGGGAGGCGAACCGGTGGTTTAAAAAAACCGCGTTATACCCGGTCCTGCACTATAAGTGGTTACGTTGTAAGTGGTCTATACTGTATCTGCATTGTTGCAATAAATATGAGACACGACGAGGAGGAATTGCGTCGAAACATCGTAGCAACTCTACGGAAGACAGTTTGATCAATAAGTCAAAATTCAAGTGCGAAATTTTTTAGGTTCCCAGTGCCAATTTTAAAATACAAGTTTCCTCAAACTGTATCTTTTTTAAATGAAAACCTTTCAGCCTTTCCACTCTGGTGAAGAAGGAAGACCAGTGAAGCTGTACTATGGTGGGAATGCAGTAACGGCAGGCCGCAAGTCGGCAAGTCAGAGTGGAAAGGCTCGGAAGGTTGCCGCCATCTATGAGTGACAGAGGCAATGAGAGAACCGGCAAGCCGGTCATCTGGTTGCCTTTGTCACTCATAGATGGCGGTAGTTGCCCAGAGTTCTGTGTCATCAGGTCATTTGAGGACGGACACGATCCTGGGGAAACTAGCCCTTAACAGCTTTGCTGTTAAAAAGGTAAAGCTGTTTTATTGTGTGCAGCTAGATTTTGCACAATTAAAACTAGACGTTTTGTGCCTAAGAAGGGCTGTGTTGGTTGCAATTGAACTGCTCATATCATTTTTTTACCTACGGGATTTTGCTGGGGTGCTTCGTATGTCTGCAGTACATAATTTTCGGGTGGAGAGGAATTAATAGCGCATGTTTGGAACGCAAGCACCTTGTCCTTTTCTGTTTGACCCATGCACAAAGCCACTATCTGGGGCATCATGTTCAAAGAGAAAGCAAACATTGGATGCAGTGTAAAGAAATAAGGTGAAACCGAACGCGGACAATCCTAAATGAATGGTTTGGCGATTCATTGTCTTACTTGTTGTCAAGCAAATGGTTCCGATTTACTTGTCGCCTTTTTGTTTGGCTGAGTCATTTTGGCTCGTAGCCACTCTCAACTAGAATTTAACTAACGTTGGAGGCGACAGTAGCAGTTGAGCATCCATTTTGCATCTCTTCTAGTTTCATGAACGAGCCCAGCAACCGGGTACACAAATCGCCCGTCGGCATCCTTCAGCCACGCAAAGGAGGTGAGAAACTCATGCACTTTTACTCCGCTGAGAGGGACATTTGTCGCAACCCTGTAAGTTAGAGCGGGCTTCCGAAGATGCCGTTGGCAGTTCCTTACAAATCGATTCAAGCGCACTTTGGATGAACGCGGGGCTGTGTTGCAGGGCACCCCATGAAGCTGACTTTCTTCATCTCACCTTACGACCTACTCGACCTCGAGAGCAAGTCCTCCATACCCCTCACCGTCGACGGTAACTACAAACAAAATCTCTCCGTTCGCAGCAACTTGTCTCTTTAGCAGCCGTTTGTGTCAGTGTCCACCAGGGTGTGGGCTGCCAGCAGAGGGTATTGGCAGAAGAGCGAACAATTAAATCCCCGGGGAACCTAAATTGTTGTTCATGTTTTCCAGCACGAAAAAGGTAGATACGTACGTTTGACTTTAATGCCGCAACTCATAATAATGTGTGCCTGTTCAACGTCTCGATTCAAGCAAGCTTTCGAGTTCTGATATGTGTCCGGGGACACTTTCGGGTGACACAAGTGGCTAAGACGGCACTTGTCTCCCGCTAACTCCTTTCTGCCGAACTTTCGAAGAAGCTCCGTTCTCAGCAATGTGACATTTGGGAGCTTTACGAAACACAGTGCAGAAAATGTTTGCCGACAACTTTCTTCTGTGCTTACGTTCTTCATCAGCTTTGCTTTTTTCGAAGTTCTGACTCACAATCTAAATGTGTGGCCAAAAAAAAAATTAAGTCTTAAGCAAGCAAGTCTAAAGGGGCACCAAACCATTTTCTGCGATAGTCTATTTATGGTCATAACTCAATCTGTAAGCTCTAAACATCCTAAAAACCAAACATTACATTCATGCTTGGCCTATTTATCTAATAAAATCGGTATCAAAAGTTTGATTACCTCGGAACCATTGCAGACACCAGAGGGCGCCGTCGCACGAGGAAGGGCAGGGCTGTGCCCTGCCCTTCCTCGTGCCAATGGCACCGTCTGGTGTCAATCTTTTGATACCAAGTTTAGTAGAGAAATTTGCCATGCACGAATCTAATGTTTGGTTTTTTAGGATGCTTAGAGCCCATAGATTGAGCTATGCACATAAATAGACTATTGCAGGAAGTGGTTTAGTGCCCCTTTAAGTCACCAAACATTGTGCAAGATAGCTTTGAGTTAGCTTTGGCTTGCACAGTGATTGAACTGAAATGAAAGGAATGTTTTCTGCGTGGTGCATTCTTGTTCTATTCGGCGCTAACAAACCTGCGACTTGGGACCCAGTCAGCAGGATGTTGACTGTACTATACTCGTTTTCAACTCGAGAAAAAAAATCAAGTTTTGTGCATTGTTCATACGCAGCGTGAAGTAGTTCCTACAAGATTTGATTTGGCTGTCGCTCGAAGGAGCGATGCTTTTGGCGTTTGAAACGTGCACGTCTTGATAAAATAAATGAAGGGGGAAATTAGTAATACTCCCAGAGGAGTCTGACTTTTTTTCTTTACTACGGTTCTCGAGGTGAAAAGGAGCGTAGCACTGGTAGCCCAGCTACATGTCGATCCTCACCCTTCGCGTTCCATTCGTCGGCTGGGACACCGAAACTTTGCCGTGACCGACGGGCATTGTTCGTCTCGTGGCTGGTTGCAGCTATTCTGGAGAAGCAGCTTGGGCATTCCGTATCCGTCTGCATCGAGAGCTCCTCGGCCCACAAGTTGCAGACAATGTCTCTCATCAGTGTCACAAACACCCCGGAGGGGAAGAAGTAAGTCTTCTGCGAAGTCCGCACTTTCCTTTTGGCGACTGTTCGTGAATTCTGCTAAATTGCAGGAGTTGCGCATCACGTAGGAAATTCTGCTTACACCCGAGGTCAGGAGACAAGGTTTCTACCACGACCTACTGTAATACTGACCTGCCCACAGAAGAATGTGCCAGCGCGCACCTTGTAGTACAGGACTGCGGCTGCACCATTTCATCACGCTATGACTTCGCAGCGCTGCGTAAGGCTTTTCTTGTTTCCTAGGGTATCCGCTTATCAATCGAAGGCGCGCAAGACACGGCGGCCTTATCTGGTTCTGACCTGCTCTCCTTGCGTGATCGAGTCAGTTTGTGGTCGCGTGACAGATCAGTCGTTAGAGGCACCAGCCGCCACAACAGATGCTATTTATGGGTAATCTGAGATAGTGCCTTAGTTCGACGATGGTACAAAAGCAGTCAAAGCTAAAAGAACCCCCTTGCGCTTCCGAGCCTGAGAAATGCGCTCTTTCGATCCAAGCAGACGTGAGAGTGATGCACCCTGCTACTTGCTACTGCAGCCTGCTGGCGCTGCGCTATGGTAGGTGTTCCCAAGAAACAGATATCGCCAGCCGCACCAGCCCTGTGCCGTGCGCACCGTGCGCTAGGCAGGTTGTGAACTGAATTTGGGTCGCAGAAAAGCCTTTACCGTGCGCTCTCAATCTTTTTTTTTTTTTTTTTTGCTGCACTGCCATACTCTGTGCTTGCTTTTTCGTAAAACTTGATCCATGTATCCCTCCTACCTTGGCTGCCGTACGGCGGCCAGTAGTATAAATATAAATAAATAAATAAATAAGACGATGCACTTACTCGGCGACAGCGTCTTCCATTTTGTAGGCAGGTCAGGGTTACAGTGTGTCGTGGTTTTGACATCCAAACGATAGTGAGATGTGCCGGCGTTTTGGGTCAAGGCAAAATCTAGATTATTAGCCTGCTGAAACTTTGTCCTATTGTTGTAGCCTGAAGATAGTGCCGGCAACATTTTGGGGGTAAACTGTTCAGCTGTTACGGCTTAGCTATTATGAGAGTATACATCGGCTAAGAGCTTTTCGTTTTTCAAATTACTATCAAATTGTGCAGATATTTATTGAGTTGACAGATTCTTCCAAATTTTGTCTCATTCTCTCAAACTAGACTTCGAAAGATCCTGTTTCTTGTTCAAAGTATTTTTTGTGTTTAAGTCTTACTCTGTGTTTATAAAATACTTAGTGTTTTCAAGAAATACAAAACAAAATGTTTACCTTAGTAAAAAAATTAAACAAATTATTTTTAAAGGCAGAAATTAAACAAAGATTGTTTTCTTTCCGATAAAAACTGTTTGCTGAACCATCTTCGTTTGGAAAACGAAGCGGAATCGGCTTGTTTGCGTAATCATTTCCTAATTGCAAATGAACCGAAATTGGTTTGTTTGCTAATAGTTTCCGTCTCGGCAAACAAACCGGGATGGGTTTGTTGCCCGAGCCATTTCTGCTTTGGCCAACGAGCCGGGAAGGTGTCACCATTCTGGTCGCTCGTGTTGCAGTCTTCCATCGTTTGCTGCCCTGAGCAATCTGAACAGCACCACTCTGCCGGCCAGCTTTGTGCTCAAGCTGCCCCAGCCCATTCCCATGGCCTTGGCCCTTGTCAGGAAGATACATGCCATCACTAGTGAGTGTTCGAAGGAACCCAATCTTCTTGTTTTTTCTTTTTCGTTTTTTCTGGGCAAAGTTTTTTTAACGGCAATTCCAAATTTAGATTTTTGAGGACCGATGGTATAAAAGACTGGCCCACCTTCGAAATTCGAGGAATCATTATTATTGTTATCTTTTATTTTTATTTTCTTCGAGGGCCAAAAATACAGATTATATGATAGGGTGATGAAGAATGCTGGAAAATGCATGGATGCTGCCTGTTGGTGTCACAACTTGTAGCACAAGCACTTTTATTTTTGTTTCTTTTTGTTTTTTTATAGTCTTGCTGATAGATCGAACCACTTTCTCCTCACAAGTCGCAACAATAAATGATGAATTTGCTTTTAGGACTGCTCCTGCTGGCTATCCATACTTCTAGAGGAATTATGACAATGGATTGGTTCTCGCTTTTTTGTTTTCGTTATCTGTACCCTCTGACGTTGAAAAAACTGGAGCAGTGGTTCTCGTCCGCCAACGTTTTTGGGGACCCCTTCTGAACCAGTGGAAGTGATAGAAGGACCCCATCCAGCCGGGGGGGGGGGGGGGGGGGTGACGGAGGTGACGGGGGTGACGACGAAGGGGGGGGAGGGGAAGAAGAAGAAGGAAGGGAAAGGGAAGGGGAGAGTTGGAGAGGTGGTCAGTTCCAAAAAAGTAAATGAGAAAAAAACAAAAAACAACAGGTTGCACGCAAACTTACGTTGTAGCTTTGAAACATAGAATAATCGGCCCCACTCACTGGGCAAGCGCGGTTCGGTCCAGTTAGCTTCACTGGTCAGCCGTCATTAAAAAAAATGAAAGACGTTTACAATCCCCTGTAACGCCGCATTAGAGTGCAGCCCTTGAGGAGGAGGAGGGGAATGTACGGAGAGGAGGGTATGCCCCTCCTCCTCTCCTGCTCGCCCCCATTTAGGAAGAAATTTTCCACTATATTTAGCAAAAAAATTTCCCCGCTACACTTAGCGAAAAAATACCTCGCTAAATTTAGTGGAAAAATTTCCCCGCTACATTTAGCGGAAACATTTCCCCCTAAATTTAGCGGAAAAATTTTCCTGCTAAATTCAGCGGAAAAATTTCTATGCTAAATTTAGCGGGAAAATACCCCGCTAAATTTAGCGGAAAAATTTCCCCGCTACATTTAGCGAAAGAATACCCCCGCTAAATCTAGTGGAAAAAATTTGCTGCTAAATTTAGCGGAAAAATTTTGCTGCTAAATTTAGCGGAAAAATACCCCACTAAATTTAGTGAAAAAATTTCCCTGCTAATTTGAGCGGAAAAATTTCCCCGCTAAATTTAGCGGAAAAATTTTCCTGCTAAATTTAAAGGAAAAATTTCCCCGCAGATACGCCGACGGCGACAGCGACGCTGACGCCGCTCAAGCCGGAAACGGGCGCCTAAGAGCTGCGCTCTAAAAAGTTTTATCACTCAGCTTGAATGAAGGCTCAGTGCTTCTCAGACCCTAAAAATGCCTTCAGAGACTCCCCCGTTTGAGAACCACTAAAGTAGAGGGTTGAATGCGTCACCGAACAAATAAAGTAACAAATCTTGTAAGCCAATATGCAGGCCGCCGCACCTGCGCAGATCGGTAGCCATTGTCGCATCCGTGACGCTCGTGTTCTTCCACCGAGCGCAGGCATTGAGTGTGCGGACACGACCTGCTGCCAGTCCCTGCTGTCACTGATCATCACACAGGCCTCAGAGGGAAAGCTTAACGGCTCCAGCGATCGTGGCCTCAATGTCGTAAGACATTTATTACTCTGTTCTTTTGTTCCGGCTCGTGTCAGCGACGTCAGAAATCTAAAAAGTCGGCTTTCATTGGCTGGGTCGGGCCCGACTCAAACACCTAAAATTGCAGAAAAAAATCATTCGAAGAGGTGGTGGTGTATGAACGCAAGTAATAGTGCAGTAGGGTAAAACCTTCTAAGAGATGTGCTTCCTTTTGTTTGGTTGCTCGAGCCTCTTTGATTGCAGCATGCCTGTAACTGCGGAGTTGTTCTGGCTAGTGTCTGCTGTCCTATAAACCCTCTGTACGGTACAATCGACTCTCATTAATTCGAACTTGCGGATAATTCAAACTAACATGCAGGTCCCATCCTATGCGTCTCTATGGGAGGAAACTCCTAGTAATTGAAACCTTGCTTTATTCAAACAAATTTTCGGTCTCCCTCGAGTTTGAATTGACGAAACTCGACTGTATAACCTCGTTCCCACAGGTTTGATTACGGCAGACATCCAGTTACAACTTACTGATTTGTGAAGTTTGGTCGGTCTTTCCATCTATGCCATTGAGCTAACTTTGCTTACTACAGATTCTGTTATAACATGCATTCGGATATAATGGACTGTAGACTTTTTGACAGTAGTCTATACCGTATTTACTCGCACAATGAACGCACTCGCGTAATAAACGCACCCCCCAAGTCGGCTCTCAAAATTTCGACTTTTTTTTTTTCACTCGCGTAATAAACGCACCCCAAACTCTGATGTCGAAATTTTGACCCGCTACCTCCACGCGCGCGAAATGAACGCACTTTCCTATCCTGGTGCAGCGAGGTCGCGAATGAGGTGGGCGAACAAAACGCCATGGAAAAGGCGTTAAAAAGTTCGCAAAGATCCAACGGAAGCAAGAAAAAAAAACATGGAGAGGAGCTTTCTTTATTTTTGCACAGCGCAGTCTGAACTTTGGGTTCGCGCGCCGCGGAGCGCAAGGAGGTAAGAAAGAGAAGCGGAGAAGCGCTCTAAGCGAACGAAACAGCTTGCGAAAGGCGGCAAAAAAATAGAACAAAAAAAAAAAACCCACGGAACTAGAAGAAAACAAAAACAAAAGCTTTTTCTTTTTTTTGCACAGCGCAGTTTGGTTACGGCGGGGGGGGGGGGGGGGGGGGGGGGGGGGGGAAGGGGGAAGGGGAAGGGGAAGGGGGAAGGGAAGTCGGGGGTCGGGTCGCGCGTTGCGCGCAGCGAGGGGAGAGAGAGGAGCGGAGGAGCCCTCTAAGCAAACGAAACAGCTTGCGAAAAGCGGCAAAAAGAAAAAAAAAAAAACAGAAAAAAAAACAACAAAATTTCATGGAACTGAGAAAAAAAAAAAGAAAAGAAAAAGAGGAGCTTCTTTTCTTCTTTTTTTTTTGCACAGCGCAGTTTTGGGTCGCGCGTAACGAGATAAGAAAGATAAGGGAGAGCCCTTGCCTAAGCAAACAAAACAGCTTGCAAAGGCTGCAAAAATAAACCAATAATCTAAAAAAAAAAACAGTTTTTTTTTTTTTTACAGTTTAGTTTGGTTATCTGGTCGGACGCCGCGGGCAAAGAGATAAGAAGTTACTTCGATTTTTCAGGATAAAAGGTCCCTTCATTATGCGAGTAAATAGGGGTAAATAGGGACGCAAAAATTTTACTTCGCCTAATGAACGCTCCACAACTTTGCATCGATTTTTCGGAAAAAAAAGTGCGTTCATTCTGCAAGTAAATACGGTATTTCGGACATCACACAGCTTAGGTTCTGTGGTAGTGGCATCCACTTTGCAAACTGCTGTTGTCGTGCTCGGCACCTCCCGAGCCTTGCATGACCCAAAGCACACAGTGGGAATGGTTAACGATACGGCTCAATAAAAAATCACTACCTTTCAAAGTTAAGAAGATCAATAAAAAGCAGCTCTTTTCTGATATTCATTCACATTTCGTCAGTCTCACTGGTTAGAACAGACAGTAAAAGTATCTGCATTCTGCATAGGTACTCTTTTTACAACATACTACCATAACCTTCGTCACTATCAAGGTCTGTTGTACTGGGTGTATACTGTAATACTGCTGTATAGCTTGTCTCTAAAAAAAATGTAGTGTGTTTTTTCATTGAAAAAATATACTATGCATCGTCAAACGCTCATTCTCCGCCCAAATGTGGCGCAAATGCTCTGGACCAGATGCAAAAGTTTCAGAGCCTACCGTCACCTGAATCGAGAGTTAGTAACAATTTTTGGAAACTTTCCAACGAGGAAATGGTGGCCAACAAAGCCCACGAATACATGGAGATGAATGGCATTGGCTGCCGAGAACGGACCCCATTTTCTCGTTGAAAATTTAAGAAAATCGCTTATACCTTTTGAAATAGATAGGGGAGAGTTTTGAAGCTTTGGCATCTAGTCCAGACAGCTTGTGCTAAATTCCAGTGGAGAATGAGCATTCCGACGATGCATAGTACGTTCTTGCAACTAAAACAACCCTACATTTATTTTTTTCAGACAGTATATCAAACACGAGGGGAAGTTTGCATGTGTTACCCTCGGTGGTAACATCATCTTTGAGAAACAAACAGCGTGGAATGCTGTGCACAGAAATATGAGTCCTTTTTCTCAAACCCTCTCCGTCATTCTTTCATATGCAGACGCTTTTAAACTATAAACGATTCCCGATGGCATGGCGAGAGCAAAGCAGTGTTTGCCTCCATACCTAAAGTTCCCCATTTCAAGATGGTGACGCCTGCGTGGAAAAAGATCTATATGTACGGAGAGAGATAAAGGGAGAGGAGACGATGGGAGCATGATGGGGACATCAGAGTGCCGAGTTCCGATTGGAAGGGTTAGTGGGTAGAGGCAAAGGCTACCTGCCTTTTCCTCTACCTCTTTGAGCGCTTTCGAATGCCACACACTGGCGTTTTGTGTTCGAGTGCGTTCGCCGACACGAACGCCGTACAATATTCCGGTCCATCAAACAACGAGTCCGTTCTCCCGAGCCCCCCACCGTCGTTGCCTCGCAGACGCTGCCGGACCAGCACCACTGCTACTACCTGTCTGGCAGCCCCGACCTGCAGGGCGTCCTGGTGTCCGGGGTCCAGTTCACCCACCCGACCCACGTGCCCCAGATCCTGGTGTTTCTGCGCCAGCAGCTGCTCTTCAACTCTCTCATTGCCAGCTGCGTACGCCCGGCCAGCCGCCAGAGTGAGTGGCGCCCCTCTTCTCCGGGTAACAATCCCACCGCTCGAGGCCGGGACTGAGACCGCCGGATGTTTACGGAGCACAAGAGCTAGCAAAGCTCATGGTTCGTTACAGCTCGGCTTTGAAAACGTCCGAGGGGCTTGAAAGTTTGGTTCTCTGTATACCCTAGTATATTTGATTAGAAGGAGTTTGTCGTGAAATGACTTCTCGTGTGTTTGCATGTAGAGTGTCGATTTGGGGAGTGTAGTATGACTGCTGATCTGAGGTCACTGGCACACATCATGTGCAGACATTCTCAAACCTTTCTTTATTACTATGTGGTGTATGTAAAGGATCTCAGGCTAGCAATTTCACTCCATTGGCTTTTCATCTCAGTTCAATTCAATTTGATTCAGTTTATTTCTTTCAAGGGGTACACTCCTTGAAATGGTCCTTGGTGCAAAAGGTGATGTTGTCGCCTGACGAGGCACCAAGGTCCAACAGTGGGGGGTGGCAATGTCCAACAGCAGAGGGAGAGGGGGAGGGGGGGCGAACTTCGGTTATATTTGCGACAAATAAGCTGACTTCGTTACCCAAGGAAACATGCTCGCTCATAACAAGAAATATATCACATTTGTGCACAAAAAGATATGTGCATAAAGAACACAGACAGCCATATTCGTTGTCAGTAACATTTATGAATGCATCATAATAAAGTACATAATAACATACAAGTAGGAAAAATAGCACCCATGATAAAAATCACAAAAAGTGGAAGTAAAACATGTAAACAAAATGTAAAAAAGTAGCATCTGTAAATGTTTTAATGTATCACCCATAAACTATGATTGAAAATTTGATGAGAAACTAAGCTGTAAAAAGTTTACCCATTATAAAAATTTTACACATGATAAAAACAGAAAAAGTAAAAAAACTGGCATGCATTGATAAAAAGAAATGATTCCAAAATCATGCACAAAAAATAGCCACATTTTTAGCGTTGTTCACTCAATTAAAACTTGCTAAAAATGGTCACATTAAAAAGTATAAGCATGATAGTGCACAGAAAGCTTGTACACGAGAGAATATTTTAAAGCCTGAAAGACTGATGTCTTTTTTAAATGTATTTTATGTTCCAGTAATTATTAAATTAGTACCAATTGTGTTTAGGAACTGGGGTACCTGAAAGTTTACCTTTTGTTTACCGTAGTTAGTCCTTGTGCTCTACCGTAATATCCTGAGCCATCACCCACCCCCCTGCCGCCTGGAATTCATAAAAAAGGAGGGGTGGGCTATGTCTCGGTGGGTAAGCACAAAAAGCTTAAAAAAAGCTAAATGAACGCCCATTTTTCTGTATGTATCTAGCGTGGCTGCACAAAAGATACATTAAACTCAAGACTCGAATTAGTTTCATTGTTTTATGCAAGAAATGCTCACGAAAATATGTTTTACTATTGCAGAGTTTGTTTCACGTTTCTAACAAAGCTATGTTCTGTTCGCTAAAAAAAAAAAAAAAAAAAGGGAACGAGAAAATAGAAAAACCAACTGGGCATGACGAGCGAGCCAGCGGATGAGAGAAGCGACGAAGAGTGATGCTGGGGCAAGTGGGAAAGCTGGCGATTGTGTTGGGGGGCAGATACTTTGGCGTCGGGCCAAGTTGGGCGCCTTGTCAATTGCAAGGAGGAGGCTTTTGCGCCACTTTCTTGTTTGGTGCCCACTACATGCGTGCGTTCGTTTGCGGCGTGCTATCAAGGCGGGTTGAGGCGGCGTTGCTGCATGGTGTGGGTGGAACCACGAACACGGAGCTTGAAATGGAACCCTCTACAAACGTCTGTGTGCGGTGTTCCAGCAAACTTTGATTTACCCATTGGCTTTGCCTTAAACATTGCACAATCTTGCCAACCGCGGTCGAGGCGTTCCGGGAGAAGGAGCGGGTTCGCTGTGATTTTATTTCTATGGAGTCTGACTTTGATTTTACACTCCACGGTTACATTCCAGGAATCGGGTGTTCACTGACCTCGCAATCTCTGAATGGGTTACTGCTATCTTTTCGAATTTGTTCCTTTTTGTCCGAACAAACTTTTTTGTAAGCATTTTTTTATGACTTGTTACAGAAAGAAAAACAGAAAGGACGGACAAGGACGGACATCTTTCGTGATGTCCGTCCTTGTCCGTCCTTTCTGTTTTTCTTTCTGTAACAAGTCATCAAAACCAACGCGCTCACGTTTAACTATATTTTTTTATCTCCGTCGTTTTCCGCGCACGCATGTACTATGACTTCAGGGTCGCATAAATCGGGGAGGAATTGCGTGAACAAGGAAAAGTGTCTTTCCCTTCTTTGTTTTACTTTGTCACGGCCGTCCTTTTACTGTAAGTTTCCGCTGACACGTCATTCAGGTAGGATGAATGTTTGCTGTTCGTGGAGTCTGCGTAGGGGCATTTCGGGTGGGCGATCACTCGGTGATTTTTGGAAATCAATATTCGCCCAAAAATTGGGGTGGGCGATGACTCGGGATATTACGGTATATTCTGACAAACGTGATGGAATAAGGTCAAAGCTGCTTACTCTGTTTGCGTGAATAAGTTGCCCAAGCTTGTTATAGTATAGCTTAGAAAGTGGTGAATGTTTGAATGAATGTGTAAGTGGCGTTTCGAATAAGCCTTCGACATTAGTATGAAAATTCACATTGGCTGTTATTCATAGCATATGTTTTTGTAGGCTTTTTTTGTAGCATAATTCGATTTAACCATAGTTCCCCATACTAACAGACAGCAATAGTGTGGTTGGTAAAAAAGGGTATACGGTATATTTTCACCTTCAGCCATGTGGGCAAGAGGTCTTTTGTTCTATAGATTATTCCTATGGTTCTAGATAGGTTTTTTATATGTTTGATTTGTGTTGTCCAGGAATGCTTGTGCATTCGGAGTTTGCCGGCTTTCCTTGGAAGTTTTTACTTTATTTGCCTGTCTAGGATGCTTACCCTTTGTATGTTATCTTCGACTGTGAGAACCAGGGAATACGAGGGCTCGTAGCCTGCTCGGCCTTCGCAGGAAACGAACGAAGAAAGCGAATGTCAAGCAGCTCGCGACGCAGGCAGTTCGACCTTCTTGGAGGATTATTTCCGTTGAGACGAAAAGCATTCCCGGCTATGTTCCGGGTCTTCGCGAAAAATAGCTGATAGGGTCGGGTCCGGGCAGAGTCTTTTATACTGGGCTCTGGGTCCTGGGTGTGGGGACGAAATAGGCACGTTTGTTCATTTGCTTTGAAGCTGTGCAAAAAAACAGCTATCTTCCACATGTGCTCCAAAACACGCCGTATTCCGTCCGATCGTCGTGAAGTGACTGTCGTCGACATTGTGAGATCTTTCTCATATCCTGTTCGAAAAACGCGGCACCATGGGGCACGTACAAAATATGTTGTTCGATTGATAAGACTGGTTGAATTTCATGTTGTGGGTGGGGAATATCTCGGCAGTTCAGATATCCTGCGTGGTCAAATATTTTCGACGGTTAAAACCTTTGTAGAATGACACGGCTCATTGTATGGCGCCATGAAAAGATCAACATAATATGAAACAGACATTCCAGTTGCGTTTGTTCTGTCGCCCACAGACTCGCCAAGACAGCTTTTATTTCTTTGTTTTTATTCCCAAAAATAGTGCAATGCATTCTTAAAAACCGCGAGAAGTCTTATTCGCCATAGAACACAAAATAAAAAATAGAATGCGGCAATTTAGCCCCCACCAGCGTCCAGAAGTGCGCCTACGCAGGCTGCCACAGCCCACTGACTAGAAAACCCACAGCCCACCACAGTCGGGTAACACTGACGTACACTCTCAAAACCAGGGACGCACGCTGTCAATCGCTTCGTTCGAGACTGCCGCTGGAAAGTTCTATACATAGCAGTGTTTATATGTTTTCATTACTTTGTCTTAAATGTCATTGGAGTCCTCAAATGAAATGTACCGAGTGGCCCGCTGCATTTTTTTGTTGCCTCCTGCCTTTCCAGACGCGGAATCCTCCCACATGTTTGAAGTCAGCACAACATCGATATCCAACATCAGCATCTCATTTGAACATCCCTTGGACGAATCTCTAGCAACAGGTATGTGATGATAGAATGGGTGTTTTCATCTGCACCAATTCGCTGTGTCAGAATTTTGAGGCCGTGAGAGTCACATCACGCTTGGCAGCTTGAGGCAGGTTCCAACATTTCCGTTAGAGTGATCACACTGCATTGTAACCGCTTGTGACCGCTTATGACGAGAGAATGTGCGGGTGTTATCTATCAGGTGCTGGCGTTATCTACAGTCGAACCCAGATATATTGAATTCAAAGGGGATCGTAATGTAGTTTGATATATCGATAATTTGAACTACAAAAATAAGTTAACTTAAGCTCCAGTTGAAATTTCCGCACGTCTCTGCTAATACCGAAGGCCGCGACGGGACATTACCAAATAGAGCTTAGGTGGTGAAGATCATAAACACCTCCACGTTTACGTGGCGCCGTTAGCGATTGTTTATGCCTGACCACGACCTCCACAAAGCGTCAGCAAAAAAACACGAAAAAAAAAGCAAAAGAAAAAAAAAAATGTGCAAAGCGATAACGGCGAAAGAAAAAGAAGAAAAGGCGTTTACAACACCCTGTAACGCCGAATTAGAGCGCAGCTCTTGAGGAGGGAGGTGGGAAGGGTACTCAGGGGACAGTATACCGCTCCTCTCACCTCCTCATCTTCCCTGCTACTCCCCCTCCTCCTTCACCTCCTCCCCCTTCCCTTTCCCCATCCTCCTCTTCCTTCCCCCTCCTCCCCCTCCCCTCGAGGTCACGTGACCTCACGGTTACACCGACGCCGCTCAAGCCGGAAACGGGCGCCCAAGAGCTGCGCTTTAAAAGGTTAACATAGTTAAGGCGTTCAAAGTGTGATTGCGCAACTGCTGCTGTGGACACACTCAACTTGATAAAGGCTTCTTTTTTTTCTTTTTTTTTTTTGCTTATTTTATTTTGGGGTTAAGGAGCGCAGCTACAGCAGTGTTGCATGCTACCTTTCCAACTTGTTAAAGTGCCAGCTGAACGTTTTGAGGACACGCACACAGAGATGAACAAAAAAGGCAGACACACCGCTGGCACTTTGTTTTTTTTGTTTGTCTCTGTGTGTTTGTCCTTAACCCCTTGCCTACTAATAACGAGTGTCACTCGTGCCGCTATTTACGGACCATAAAACCCGACCACGAGTGTGACTCGTGTTTCGGTTTCAGAGCTTGTTTTGCGAGCTCTGCGGCAGATGGCAGCACTACCCCTGTTGCTCCTGTTTACCTTGGGTTCTTTTCTTGTTTGCTTTGCCTTTTGACAGAGAGAGGGCGCTCCATTGACAAAAAATAAGCGCGCTATTGTAAGCAAGCGCGCCAAAAACATGTCTTCGGCGCGGAGGTCTGCTTTGGCGGACGAAGATATACAAAGACTTCTTTTTGAAAGTGATGAATGCGCCAGTATTTCTGACGACGAATCCTGCTGCCTTTCCGATTACTCGGAATCCGATGAGAGTTCAACGGACAGTGAGAAAAGTGTTGAAAACGATGCGAATCCTGGAAGCATTTCATCGACTTCGGCGTCTGCACGTCAGTGGAAGTGGGAGAAGAGGGACAACCAGCCTGCTCAGTTCACCTTTGGAAAAACCCCAGGTGTGTCAGCAAGGGTTCAACGCAGTCTTGGTGAGCAGACAAGCGCCTTGTCGACCTTTTCCGTGTTTGCAAGTCATGATTTTTGGGCGTCTGTCTCTGCTGAGACAAATCGCTACGCCGAACAAGAGATGGGCGACGAGGATCGTCCCAAGAAATGCTATGAGGAGCAATGGTTTGACACCACTCCGGATGAGATAAAGGCATACTTTGCCTTGTGCATCATTATGACGCAAGTGAAAAAACACACAGTCAAAATGAACTGGTCCAAGAGGTCCATAGTGGAGACCCCAATTTTCGGCAAAACGATGTCCTATGTGAGGTTTCTGCTAATCTCTCGATTTCTTCACTTCGTTGATAATGAAACGGCCGACAAGAGTGACCGTCTCCGGAAGGTGAAGCCTGTGCTTGAGCACATGAACGAGAAGTTTGCATCTGTGTACACACTCGACCAAAAGGTTTCCATCGACGAAAGTTTGATGAAGTTTCGAGGGCGCCTGTGCTTCGTGCAGTTCAATCCCAGCAAGCGAGCTCGATTTGGAATAAAATTCTACAAGCTGTGTGAGTCGTCCTCGGGATATTGTTCTGCATTCAAGATCTACACTGGGAAAGATGAAGGAAGAGACAAAACTACCTGCGCAAGTGAAAGCGTGGTCCTTGAACTTGGAAAGCCGCTGCTGGAGAAGGGCTACATATTATACCTTGACAATTGGTACACATCTCCAAATTTGTTCCTCAAGCTCAAGGAAGGCAAAACTCATGCTGTAGGAACTGTTAGACCAAACAGGGCAAACATGCCAAAGGACCTGGTGGCAAAGAAACTCAAAAAAGGAGAAGTCGAGTCCAGGTCTAGTCACGGCATACTTGCAGTAAAATGGCACGACAGAAAGGATGTCTACATCTTGTCCACAATGCATTCTAACTCCGACATGACCGCAACAGGGAAGAAAAGATGGATCAAGAGGAAGGGACAAAGCGATGCCGAAGACGTCATCAAGCCAAGGTGTGTTCTCGACTACAACATAGGAATGGGCGGCGTCGACAAGCAAGATCAAATGGTGGCTTGCTTTCCGCTGATGCGCAAATTGGTCAAAGGCTACCAGAAAATCTTTTTTTATGTGATGGATATTGCTGTATTCAACTCGTATGTAATCTACAAGAAGTTGAGTGGAGACTGCAGAACAAAGAACTTTGTTGACTTCCGCCTGGATCTTGCTGAAGAAATTCTGGAGAGTGTGAAACTTCCGGACTATAAAACTCGCGGAAGGCCATCCAACGGCGACACTCCGCTTCGCTTACAAGCAAAGTGTTGGGGTCACTTTGTGCAACACATCGCACCCACTGAGAAGAAGAAGAACCCGACGCGGGCGTGCAAAGTGTGCACAGCCAACAAGAAACGGAGTGAAACAACATGGGAATGTGGACAATGCAAGGTGGCTCTTCATGTTCCTGAATGTTTTCAGCGCTATCATACCGTGAAGAACTACTGAAGAAGAGGACAAGACCAGAAGTCCTGGTATAGAGCACGAGACTACGCCTGAAAGCCAAGGAAACATTTTTGTTTATTTTGACGCAAATTGCTTGATTTAAATAAAGCTTTCTGTACGATCTTTAAAGAAAAAAAATGAGTAGGCAAGGGGTTAAAACGTTCAGCTGGCACTTTAACAAGTATGAACCAACTAGCTCAGCTTCAAACCGTTCCAACTTCAGGCACTCCCTGCCCCGCCCCCTTGCACGCCTGTGCGTTTTCCTTACTTTTGCCATCCTCCATGTTTTTGTCTTTTTGTAAAATTGCCTTTTTTTTTTTTTTTCTTGCATTTGGTTTTTTGGTGCGTATGCCTGTGCGGCTTGGCAGTCTGCCAGCCCCGGAGCGGGAGCTATGTGCTCGCCACCAATGGGACCGACTGCAGGAGAGGCGACCAGTGGCCGCTGTGCTTATGCTTCCTTCGCTACATCTATATCGAGTGTCCCATCCATGGGAGTTCGGTACAGAAAAACAAGGCTCCTATGCTATTACACGGAATTTCCAGGGGGATGTTTGGACTGTTCGATATCAACAATAATTTGAAATACCAGGGTGTGGTATAACCGGGCTCGACTGTATCGGGTGTCAGGTACTTGGAGCTTTAACACTTCTGATCTGTGTATATTTTGTGCATCATTCTTTCAACGTGTGCTCCAACTAATTCTGACAATGCTACAGTAGACTCTCATAAAATCTAACTCCAGGAAGCCACAAATTTTGTTTGAATTTTTGGAAGTTTGAATTGTGAGAAATTCATTTAAATATAACTCAAGATTAGATTATGATTTGTTATATGCATGGCTACGCATACAAAATAGATATTTGATCATTTCCTCTCTACAGGCCTTTTTTATGTGGCACACCTATGTGGCATAGGTGTGCCACATATGAAACATTGGTGGAATGTATGAGATAAGGTTATTCGTCCCCCGAAAATGTTGTCTTGTTAGACAGCATGTGACACCTCACTAACAAAATTAAGTTTGCTCATCTGGCAAAAAAGTTGTCTATCGTGGACTATTAGCCCCTTTGAGCGCGCTCCCTACCGAACACCGGTGCTCTGCGGAGAAGCAACACCCGCGGGTGTTGCTTATCCTCAGTACACCGGTGTTCGGTAAGAAGCGCACTAAATGGGGCCTCGAAAATGAAAAGTAGGAATTACGCGAGAGAACCAAAATGTTGAAATTTGTTTGAATTAACTAGAAGTACAAAATATGCGAGTTTAACTTATTGCGAGCCTAATGTATAAGCGACTATTTCTTATAGATAGTGAGTAGATTTGATCTCACAAATACTACAAAACTGTCAGTCTAGTTACATTATAACCGTTCGTCGTAGGCCGTTACGAGCGGTTGTGACGCAGTCAATTATAGTCAGAGACTCAGAAAGGCAAGCTGCGCTATTAGATGGCAAGTGATTGAACCATCTATTAGTGCAGCTTGCCTCTCCAAGTCCAAACGTTATCTGTGACTCGTTTTGCGCTGCATCCCTGTCACGTGTAATTCTTTCGCTTACTTCTTATTCTTGCAAGAACTATGGTGAATCGCAATTTTGCCTTCAGTCGGGCACGATCAGATGGAAGTGATGCTCGCCTATGCTTCTCTGCTGCAGTGGACTTGAATTTGAACGAGATCACCAGCGTCAAGTGCCGCATTTACACGCTGAACAGCGACATCAGCATCTGCAGCGACGAGTATGCCAGCAAGGTGATGCAGAGGTAAGGTTCGATGAGATTGAAAATGAGATGGCCTCATCTGACGTGAAAACACGTTCAGACTCACCCTATCAAGCCTAAATTGGTATGATGAGACCACTTTCATTCCACGCTAAGTAATTTGTGTAAACCGGCCCTGCGCGACGGTGAAAATATAAGACCACCATTGAGACGGTTTCACTCATGCTTTTCTTAGAAACGCGTAAGGCTTGTGCAGTGAGGCTGGTCTACCCTAAGGTGTCTTTCCCTCAGCACTTATTGTTTCAATCGTATTAACGCTGGAGCTTCAGTTTATGCTTGGGCCAGTCCACATATTGCCCACACTTCTTTTTCGACGTCGCACGTGTAGTTTCCATCCGCGTTGTAATCGGGCTGAAGTGACGGAACGATTTCTATGAGAAGGTTGTCCATTCTCCCTGCAGGTGTCTCTCCATCCCGGTGACAATGCGAGCAGTGATCCGCAAGGCCCAGGGCCAGCGGATGCGCATGTCCAACCAGACGGATTCCTACTACAGCGCCCTCAACAGCAACGGCCCATCCTACCTGCCCCACCTTCCTGGCTATGGGGGCGGGGCTGGGGGTGGGGCCTTTGGGTCCGGGGGGCCGGACTTTGCCTCGGGGACGCCTCCCCCCAAGGTCGGGGGCGGCGGCAACAAGACGGCCGGCGACTCGGAGCCTTACGACGACTCTGAGCCGTACGACGTCGGGGAACAGCGCGGCGGAACCCTTGGCAGCCTCCTGGGGCAGGGCGGCGGAGGGGCGGGGTTTCAGCAGCCAGGGGGCGGGCCCGGCAAGCAGTCGGCCCAGCCCAACATGATGCTCATGAGCATGCTGAGCGATGTCCCCTCCGCGAGCTCATCCCCGTCCCCCTCGCAGCAGTCCTCGTACCCTTTTTTAAGCCAGGCCAAGCCTCGGAAGCAGCGCAAGAGAAAGGCGACGTCGTCGGATGGGCGGAGCCCCAAGCGGAAGGCGGGCGTCGAAGACGACGGAGGGGGCGGGACGCCGACACCCGCTGACCTGGAGGACAGCACCAGCATCTCGCTGACGTCGTTCGAGGGGCGCCAGACCCCCTCGGGGGACGCCCCTTCGTTCGGTAAAGGGGACGGCGGCCACACTCTCCCAGGGGAGCCTTTTTTAGAGGCTGATGCGGGGCAGAAGAAGGCGGCGCTTCTGAACCCCGCAGAATCGAGCAGCGTGGAAGAGTTCAACCAAAGGAGGCCGCTCCAGAGCCCCTCCGAATCCTTTCGGGGGTTTCTGGGTGAAGGCCCCCCAGGGGATGCGGCCGGCGACGACTGCAAGCCGGGGACAAGGGCCCTGCCGGCATCGCAGCGCCCGTTGGCGGCGCCCCCCCAGTGCCGCAAGATCAAGCGGGTCAAGAGCGAGGAGGGGCGTGGGGAGGAGCTCAAGTTAGAGCGGGAAGGCTCGCGCTCTCAGGACAGCGGTCCAAAAAACTTGCTTCCCGGTGGGGACTCCGAGAGACTGTTGGCTAGCTCCCTGGGCGGGAGCGTCGCTTCGGCGGCCGGCAAGTCCCACTCGGTGTCGCCACCGGTTATCGCCACCAGTTTCAAGATTGAGAAGTCGGGGGACGGCCTGAAGATCTCCAAGGCAGAGGGCAGGCAGGCCTCAACCAAGGGCCGGGACCCCAAGGGTAGGGACAACCGCAAGGAGCGCAAGCGCAAGCGGGCCGAGAGCGTTGACCTCTCGTCGTCCCACGGGGCCAAGCTGCCCTTCGACACCTCCTCCCTCGACTCGGTGCTGCAGGCCACCCTCCTGCCGCTCGAGTCCGGGGATGGGGCCCTGCACGCGTTCAACCTCACCATGAAACCTCAAGGCTCCGTCAGTCCAGCATTGGGACAGGCGGCACCGGCGCGTGTCATGGGGAAGAAGTCTGGCTCCCAGGGCTCACTTCCGTCGGGCGGCAACGGGAAGTCAGACAAACCGAGTAAGCCTTTGTCCGGCGCAAAGACCAACGAGGCGGACGGACGCCTGGCAACGTCACCTACGAAACTCCTCAAGCACAAACCGAGCGCGGGGCCGCCAAAGAGTGGCACGGGGACCTCCGGGGGGCCCGCGTGTTATGCAGGCCAGCCATCCCTGGTGGGTCCCAACACGTCACCCTCAAAGCCCTCTTCGAAGTCGGCGGCGGCGGCGCCACCGGGGAGCACCCTCAAGTTAAAGCACCTCAACCTGCCCTCCTCGACCACCATCACCCCCGTGGCACCCAAAGTGCAGCCGGCGCAACTCCCGTCGCCCTCGTCGTCGTCTGCGGCCAGCATCACCATCGTGCCGACCGGCGGAGCGTCCAGCAACAACCTGAACAAGCCACCGAAGTCAAGGAAAGGGTCCCTGAGCGCGGTCATTGCCAAGCTGACCAATACGGCAGCGCCGTCCTTCCCTCCGGTCGACCCTTCCTCCGGCCCCCCGAGGCTTGAGGGCGGGGTCAAGTCTTCCGAGAAGAGGGACAGCCCAACCTTGGGCAAGGAGTCCAAGGACAAGGAGGCCCTCCTGAAAAACTCTGAGGGGAAGATGAAGTATTCGAGCTCGGACCAGTTCACGGTCAAGCAGAGCTCTGGGATCAAGCTGACGGTCACTAAGACGTCGGGCACTTACAAGTCGTCCTCGAGCAAGGCCAAGATGGGCATGTCCTCGTCCAAGGCATCCGCCGGAGTGTCGTCGTCCTCAAAAGCAAAGGGCACTGGGAGTTTGAGTTCGGCATCGAGACCACCCGGTGCACCGGGTGGGCTAGCCAAGAAGCCTTCGTCTCTCTCGAGCTCCTCCCTGTCGGGCTTGGGCAGGGCGCCTTCTAAGCCGTCTCAGAAGTCTTCGTCGCCCAACACGACCAACCCAGCAATCTCGCAGAACCCTTTGAATCCGTCGTCCGCATTGAGAGTCAGCAGCAGCAATAACAATAACAACAACAACAGCAACAACAACAACAACAACAACAACAACAACAATGGGAGCGGTGGAAACTTCACGAAAGGACCCAATGCGGTCAAACAGAATGCCGTTCCGGGGAAGCCATCTTCCGGAAACCGGAGTGTGGAGAAGAAGGGTGAGGGCCGGTGTTCGACACCCACGACAGAGAGAGTGAGCTCAACGCTCGAAGCAAACCTCATGCCCCCGCCGCCACAGTCCAAGACACCCACCTCTGGAAGCACACCCAAGCGACCGGATGAGTTTCCGGGTGCCGAAGAGAATGATCCGGACCGGGCGCTTCGACTGCTCCTGTCGCAGCCCAAGGCCATGGAAAGCACGCAGCCGCTGGAGCAGTGGCAGCCCCTGTCGCTGAAGTCGCAGACGCCCCCTTCCGTGGACTCTTCGGTCAAGCCGGACTTCGAGGACAAGACACCCTGGGTGAGCAGCAGCACTGACGTCAAGCCTAACAATAGCATTGCCACGGTCGTTGCCAAGGCGCCCCTGGAGAATGGACCGGACAGTGCCCTCACACCGACCGACCTGTCTTCGTCTTCACCGCGGTTCGAGCTTATCTCCAGCACGCTTGAGGAGGGTGCCAACACGACGACGCCGTCTTTCAAGGCCCTGCCGTTGCTGCTGTCGGCTTCGGCTCCGTCCAAGCTGCCGGCCAAGACGAAGCCAACCAGCGATGAAGACAGTAGCCCGGAGGACGGTCTGGTCATCGACTTCCCGGAGTCCATTGACAGCAAGAAGGGATCCTCATCCCTGTCTTCATCAAGGGCGCAGAGCCCCAAGGACGGCAGTGGAGGGGGGGGAGGAAGCCAGGAAAGCGGGACAAGTCTCAAAGCGGCAGTTTCTCCAGGACCGGCGCTGAGCGCGAAGTCGCCATACTTTACGGCGCAGTCTCCGTCGCTCAAGTCTCCGCAAGTGGGGAGCCCGCCGTCAAACCACTCGGTATCGAGTTCCATCTCGAGGCCGTCCCCGTGCGTGATCGACGACGACCTGATGGACGAAGCCATCATGGGGCTCGGGAAGTGAAACCTGGGTCAGCAAACGTGTGCAGTATTCTCCGAAACTGTGCTCTCACAGCTGCCTTCATTGTACAGCGACAGGGTGATCCACTGCCTCCGAACTGGTGTCGCATGCGTTGCCGGCTCCTTACGAAACGGTGACGGGGAGCCAGGCGTTGTGGATGTGCAATGTTTTAAAAGATGGCTCGGACACATCGAGGGTATTGCGACGCTCTGTGCACCTTACTTTCAGCTCAGATAGTGTTCTCTTCACTGATGCTCGCTCAGTTCTCGTCTACTGCTATTTTTAAAACTGTTTTGTTGGTTTTGGACTCCCTTAGGAAGTAGGAGATTGCCTCACGACCAGTTCAGCGGTTTGTTGTCTCCATGCGACTTTCACCAGTGACACTGCTTTTAATCCCAAGAATACCTGTGCACATTGTTGGAGACTGCAGTGTATAGACGGCAAACTGTAGAAACCTAGGCACAATTTCCGAGCATCTTAAGTTTTTGTGTGCCCTTCGAATATTTCGTGCGACAGTTTTATGTCGCGACTCGCCGTGTATAATGTATAATAGAACATAGTACCCATGCATCTATAACCTGCAACATAAAAGCTCGTCTCTGTAATCGTCAGCATTTCCTTCAGCCCGTTTTTTTTTTTTGTTCCAAAAGTTCATACCCAATGGCAAGTGCAAGGTGGCAGCATACACTCTTTTCATGTGTACATATATTTAATATATACATTGGACGGTGGCCTTCCATTTGACAAAAAAAAGTGTCTTCATTAAAGCCTTTGAACATAATTCGTCTTATTTTTTTGCTACATTATGGCGGCGTATCCTGAAAATTTTTGGGGGGCGGGGGCGTGGTTCAGCCCCCGAAACCGCTGCTACATGATGGCTGGCGGTCATGCGACTTTGCTGAGCTTGTATTCCAGGTAGTCTTCCATCTTGAAGAAAGAAAGCACTGTCTCGTTGATGACATTCGACGCATGCAAAGTCTGGTCGTCACGCAGTACGAGTTGGTCGTCGTCCGCGGTGTTGATCACGGGGTCGTGGGACTTCGCTTTGTGCGGCTGGTGCTCGATCTTCAGGGTGTCGTACGCGTAGTTCTGTACCGTTGGCGGAATGTTCGGGTCTTGTCGTAGGTCGGCAAATATCGCTTCCTTGAGGTGTTTGACCAGCTTCGTGGGGGAGACTGCTCGCATGACCCGGTGATGGATGTTTCTGTGCACGAAGGAACGTACGACACGGATGCTGATGGTAATCTGCTGCTGTTCCCCTAGGTCGCCCGACATGTTTTGCATATTTTAGCACACGTTAAGACGTGCAAGACTAGCTACAAAACTTCGCGATCACAAATCAAGCGGTGCCATGCGTTGCGCGCGCAACGTTTACCGACGTGCCCTAAAAATAAATAAATAGCATATTTTCACAATGTGATGACGATGATAATAGTTTAACGTTCGTCACTTGATTTAGCGATTGACTGATGCAGGGTAAAACGTTGAACGAATATATCTAAGAATTTAGTTTTTTAGAAAGCTTTGATGCAACAAATAATTTGCGATTTACTCTTGTTTATTTTAGTCTTTGTACTTCAAAGCGCTTTTGCAGCTCACTTGCCACTGCATGTCGCTTTGATAGCTTTGCGTGATTTCGGTCTCGATTCGGAAGTGCGCTATCGGTTCTTGATGTTTTGAATCGATCTTCGCTGCAGTAGGAGGCCTCGGTAATTCCCCCGAGATCACAGGCATGCAATTTGCGGCGTCGTGCGGGTCAATCTCGCACGAAGCTGGCATCGTAGCCGCCTCGAAATCGAACATCTAAACGAGCGATCGCATCGCCGTAATGGCCGCAACGTGCATCTATGTCAAAATCCCAGGGCTCTTTTTACGCGCTGATTTGACGCTATGATTACACCGACAGACGAATGGAACTCTGAATTCCTTGCGCAATCCCTGAGTGACTGTTTGAGTCCGCACGATCTCAACCTGAATCTGTACAACTTCGACAAAGTCGATGCGTCGAACTGTCCGTACGTGCTCACGAGCCCGCGGTCGTTGGAAGCTTGCGCCAACCAAGGCGTCAAGGCAAGTCGAACACGCAAATTATTCCTCACGATTGTTCAAGAGTGAGCTGGAGTTTTCCTTTCCAGCAAGCTGAAACAACGTTAGTGTCTTCTACACCTAAAAGCGTTGCTTCTTTGGTTTTGAGTGTCGGTGCTCGGAAGAGCTTCGACTTTTGGTGAGGTCCAAATCGTTGCTCGGCCAACCGAGTGAGCTCTAATTTTAAATAAAAAAAAAACATGTTTCACTGGTCCCGCCGACATATTAAAATTTAATAATCTCGTTTATAAAGAATGAGACAAAAGCTAATTTTGTTTTTGTCGATGTACGAGTAGCGTCTGTGTTGTCGCAGTCGGTAGAGTATTTCGAACTGCCATTGATAGGTTTTCGCCTTTAAAAGGGAAGCTCCTTCCATTCCTTTCCACTTTAGCAGAGCGAACGATAGAGAGGAGGTCGCCTCCTCCGGTGTTCTCTCTGCTAAAGTGGAAAGGGGTGACGGGAGCTTCCCCTGAACTCTTAACCGCGATCATAGCATCTACCCACTAATCATTTCAGTCAAAGCTCGGCGCTCTAGCGTCCCAGCGCGCTCTCCCCTCCTCAGCTCCCTCTGTCTCTACCTATACAGTGCAATCCACTTATAACGGTACCACATATAACAATGTACTGCTTATAATCATTTCTAGAGTTTCTAGTCCAGATACGATAATCGGTTATAGCGTTCAAACTCTTGGGTTTTCTCATTATTGTTCTGAGTGGATTGCACTGTATAGCACTATCGCCCTGTGAATTACATTTGCCAAAATGCTGCGCTTGGACCCCGTATTTGGAGGCTGGAGAGAGGGGAGTCTTTGGGGAAGGGACGTTAATGCCTCGTCTCGCTGCACGGGCGATTCCCAGCAAAACTTTCCTGATCTCCTTTCGCAGCTTTGCATCTCAAAGGCCGACGAACCAGAAAGAAGAAAACTCTCTCTCTTAGTTGCTCCTTTCCATTTGAAAAAAGGAGACTCTCTTCCTTTCTGTGTGGAGACCCGCTCCCATGAGAAGAGGAAAAGAGTGCGAGAGGGAATGGAGAGAAGCAAACTGGAAGCCGGTCTTCTTTTTGGCAGAAGGCTGTAGGTCGGCCCTTAACTGCCACATGCTCGAAATTCACAACACGGACACAAACAAACACTCGAACTTATTTTTGCACCTTTGAGCATTAGCAATATGCTGCCATGACACCGACTGATTGAAGCCCCGTGCCATCAAAGGTGGGAACAGTGTCTTTTTCTGACCACATCGCAGAGTTGCAACACCTGGTGGACAAAACATGAAACTGCGCTCGAGTACTAGAAAAAGCTTAGCCAAAGTCAGTACAATGTCTTTTTGTTTCTATTCGTGCTCTGGTGCCCACAGCCGGTCGAGCTTCTCCCAAAGCTGCTGGATGAGTTCAGGGATGAGCTTCCTCAAAGCACGCCTCTGGAAGAGATCAAGAGGCGGTACAAGCAGTACGAGCTCGCTCGCACAAGTATGTCCCCCTTTCACCTTTTCCTTTCCTTAGGTACAGTCGGGAGCAAAAGTTTGCGGGGCACCGGAGCGCGTGCCGAAATGCATCGCCGCGCCGTGCAACGGCGCGCCGCCGCATTAAAAAGCCGCGCTTTGCGCATGCGCGCCCTTCGTGCGGGCAGTCATGTCTCTTTCGCTCGTTTCTGTCCGACTCACTCCTGATAACCGGAGTCGGCGCCAGGGGCGCAAGTTGCCGTTTCGCTGGCTGTCATGCCTGGCGTCCTCTTCAGCCGCCACAGCAGCCGCGCTGGGTGACGGAGCGCCTGGTTAACCCCCTCCCCCCTTCCCTACGCGAGCTCCGTGACAAAGCGCGGCGGCTGAAGCAGACGCGCAGCATGACAGCTAGCGAAGCACTAACTCGCGCCCCTGGCGCCGACTCCTGTTATCAGGAGTGCGTCGTAAAGAAACGAGCGAAAGAGACATGAATGCGAACACGAAAGGCGCGCATGCGCAAAGCGCGTCTCTTTAATGCGGCGGCGCGCCGTCGGACGGCGCGGCGATGCATTTCGGCACGCGCTCCCGTGCCCCGCAAACTTTTGCTCCCGACTGTACATTGCATTTATAGGGCCAGCCTTGAGGATTTTGTGCCTGTGGCATCTAGCCTCGATGACGTCACAGTCAGGTGACTTCATGACATCACGTGACACCGGGACGTCGCATAACTTCACAATGTCACGTGACGTGCTTTTGAGTGGCCTCTTTACTCTGCCTGCAAAAGAAGGAGCATGAAAAGGCCCTACAAATGCTGTGCATTTACAGTGCCTTTGGGAAATGCCAAAGAGACAGCCAATTTTTCTCTCTTCCCTCTTTTTGGAATTCCGTTGCTGTGCCTAGAACACGTTTCTGGCTAATGCGTTTAGCATCCTGTATGCTGCCTTTGCATCGAAAGGGGTGTGAGGCGGCATCGAATTACGTCGCAGAGGCCGGGCTGTCATGCTGTCGGGTGTCGCGACATGAGCGGTTGGTCGTAGAAGTTCCGGCGAAAAAGACGAGCAAATGCAAGTTTTGCCGGCGTCTCGGCCCTGGCTAGCGATGCTTCCACAAACTGCCGAGCTGGAGAGTGATGTACAAATGTATGGGCGCCTGTTGTATCCACCGATCGCGGCATGCAGCGGCGCGAGGCTTCTGCGATGTCATTGCGCAGAAATCGAGGGACCACAAATCAAGGACGTAGCGAATGCTAGTCGGTGTCGTGTTTCAGGCACCACAGTTTTGCCGCTGATCTAACAAGCGTTTGTTTCTTGGAAGGAAAACTGGAGAAATGCCGCAAGGAGCGGGACTACATCATCCGGACGGAGAAGATGCGCCATCGCTCACAGTCCCTCTCCCCCAAGGGAAGGAGGCTGCAGATTCTCGAGGAACCGCAGCTGGAAGTGGTCCTTTCATCAGGCAGGTCCTTTTGTCGTTTTCATTCATTCATTCATTTATTGGGACCCACCAAGGGCATTATTCTAGAGAAAGTAATACAGGCAAAAAACAACAACAGAAAACATACATGTGAGATATTGGCCACACATACCTACACACTTGCAAAAAAAAAAGTTTAGATTCTTGCAAAAAAAAAAGTTTAGGTTTGGGGTTCTTAAATTTTTCTATCTTGAGGAACCCATATCTGCACTGAATGGCAGTGGAGAAAACCCTCCCATTGTCGGCATTAATGCAATATAAAATGGCTAAAAAGCTGACTGACCGTGTAAAATGTAATGTGCATACTAGAGGTTGTTTGGCATGTACTTAAGCATCACTTGTTCGATTGGGTCCGCTAAAATAAGGCTCATAGTGGAGAAATGCTTTGCTTAGGGGAAGGGACGATCGAGGAAATTCGGAAGCTTAGAGAACCAATGACGGTACTGTGGGCAACCCACAGTACCGTCAATGGTTCTCAAACCTACCCGGTTTGAGAACCCGTGCTCTAGATGTTGGCCAGGCGCCCACTAGTGCGAGGGAGCGTGATTGATTACATGGCGATTTCAAATGGTACAGCATTTCTAAAATGAGGGGTCACTGATGCGTACTATGTGATATGGAATATTATTCAATTTTGCTACTGTAAGGGAAAGAAACGTAACAGCGGAACCAGGACGCAACATTTAGTTGGTAAAAGAACCACTAATTTCGGCGAACGCGACAGGAACTTCCCTGATGCAAGTTATGCAAAAACAACCAAAAAATCAATTTTAATTTTTTTTTGCATCTTTTGAAACAAGTTTGCGGATGGTGGTACTTGTTCGAGCATTAGTCCAGCACTTGTAATCCTTAGGGGGTTCAAAGACATACCTAAAACAGCGCACAGGCACAGGAGGATGAAAATAGAACACAGGAAAGAGTGCTGTGTTCTGTTTTCTTCCTCCTGTGCTTGTGTGCTGTTTTAGGTATGTCTTCTAAGTACCAGCTAGCTCAACTCTCTATGTTACACCTTAGGGGGTTATGTACCTGGGTTGCAGAAAAATATACCGGTGTTTACAATGGGGAGGGGTCAATCTGCCTTGAAATTAGCGCTGCTTTGGTGCACTGGCACGAAGGGTTAGAAATATTCTTATAGGTCCATAGTATTTTATTTTCAAATTCAGGGTTCACAGGTTTGTTGATTTTTTTCTTCCTTCAGTCAGGGGTAACTTCGTAATAGACACATGATAATGTGTTTACTATGGAGGACATGTAATTTAAAGGCACTATTAAACGAAAGAAAAAAATTTCTTTTCAAACCAATTTAAAAAAAAGATCTTTCATTTTTGTTTTGTTTGTTTTCTTTCTCATTCACGATGGAAAATATCAATTGCCTACAGGGAATCTTTACCTCATGTCATACCCCAAAAAAGGTATGAAGATTGCACATTCATACGCCACATAAAAAGATGGGCCATTCGGGAAAGAGTTTATGTGCTTACATTGCAGACGAGGACCAGTGTGCAAGCATCACAACCCTGGAAGACTCGACGACCGTGACCCCGTGCGAGGATGCTTCATCCACGCGCGGTGCCGACTCCCAGGACACCACAGATCTGTCTAGTGCCACAACCACGACGCGCGGCGAGGGGGACTCGAGCGGAGACGAGGGGGGGCCCCTGGCCACATCTGGGGTCAGTGCATCATCTGCGAAGAGGAAGAAGGGGTCTGGCTCCAGACCCACCAGCAAGTCGACCCCGACGTCTCCCTTCCGGCGGCCCTCCCAGCTGGTGCCTATTCCCACAACGTCCCCACTTCTCAAGTTGGTGGATAATCCCAGGGCAAAGACCAAGCTGCCTATCAAGGTGGGTGTTCGACCTCCTGGAATAAGCACATGAAGATGGGGTCACCTTCTCGATGACCAGTTACAGGAAGTCATAACAGCTCAACGTGAGGATTACATGAAGATCTTTTCATCTTCTTGATGACCAAGTACATGAAGGCATAATAGGTCATCAAGAAAATCACATGATGATGTCATGTTCTTGATGACGGTCATCTTGATGACGATCATCAAGTTTACCGTCATCAAGAAGATACACTCCTCTTCTTGATGCCTGATCATATGAAGATATTAGCCACCAACAAGGTTACATGAAGATTTTGTTATCTTCTCGAAGACCAACCAAGGAAATTACTTGACCTCCTGGAACGAATCATCTTTGTGATCACTGGTTACATGATGAAGATATTGTTGGTCATCAAGAAGATGAACAGATCTTTATGTAATTAGGGTGATGTAATCAAAAGGATAGCATCATCTTGATGACCATATGGTCATCAAAAGGATGACCTGAACAGTCAAGACAACTGAACAGTCCTCGTCTTGATGTTGCTGTTTGTTGATTTGATGCAACCTTTTTATGAACAAGGCTGGCACATCTTTTTTCGTGCACATTATGTGGAGTGCCAATCAATGTGATTTATGAAAGGCGGCAAAGTGAATAATGGGGCATAGATATTTTGACCCAATACAACAACCTCCACTGGTGATTCTGAGCATGAAGTTGATATACCCAAAAACTCCAGTGGAGATTGCATTTATGCATCAAGCATGGCAGAGAACAGATTATAACACTTGAAGTTTCCAATAGACATTGCTTTCTCTGTAGTCCATCGCACATGTTTTCAAGAAGGGTGGTTTAAAGCATTGGTGGAGTGCCTTATGCAGAATGTGAGTGTCCTGCTCTGTTTTTTTTTACTCGATGCTGAGACTACAAAGGTGTCTGTGTTTACTTTTATAGATGTTATTTTTTGCCTTTGACTGCACATCACTCAGTAGTTTTTGCTGCTTGCAGTTACATTACTCGCCCGGGATGTTCTCGCCCACTTATGGGTTCATCCCGAGTTCAATCTCGTGGGAAATCCTATTTACACCCGCCGTCAAGCCGGCTCCCACGGGGTCCGTGGTCAAGCAGACCAGACCGAGCTCAATTGTTGACTACGTGTCCACAACATAAAAGAAACATGAATGCATGGAAGAACCAAGGAGAAAAGTTCCTCTCCTGTTCATTGAACATTCAATAAATGCGAGGCCAGTGGTGTCTATCGATAACGCATGGGCTAACTTCGGCAGTGGAACAGCTGTCACGTGTCACAAAGAGGTAGGGCCGACGCACTGGTGGACACTTGTCGTACTCGTGGCGTCGGCCGTGAAAACACCGTACCTGCGTGACCTTGCACTTGCCCAATTCCTACGCCGACGTCCAGGGGAAACAGAAGAAGCCGTCTTTTATAACCAATCAACGAGGAGGTCTCTCCCACTCACCGCCAGAGGGCAACGGAGGTCAAGAAACGACTTCGCTCTCCGGAATCGCCTCTCGAGCATAAAGCCACCAAGTCTGGCTTTTCGTGAAATCACGGGGTGCCAGAATCCCCACCCCTGCCCGTTTCAATATAGACGAGCATCGTACCGGCGTACGATCGTGTGTCACTACTGCTTGATGCTCGTTAAAGACCCCAGGCTGGCAGTCATGCTCCACTGTCAAAATTTCTTACCTACAGCATAAACCAGGGTCGCCGTACCTCCAAGGCAGACTGACCTTATCTAAACACGAACGTCAAACTTTTGTTTTGTTTTGTCACCCTCACAACTTGATGTGTTCTGCATCGTGTCTGCCAGGTGGGACGGTGGACTCCGACGAACAGGCTGTCTGTCGGTGTCGCCTGTCGCTTGTTATCGTGTGTCGCTTCTTGCTGTTTGTCGCTCTAGTGGGATGTGGCTATCACGGTGACTAAAGTCTACACACAAACACCAAGACGGCATATTTTCACATTACCAAGTCTAACAGTTACAGTGTACAGCCACTGCACGTGTTTTTTTTTGGATCAGGCAGCCGGTCAAGTCTCCCGTGTGTTGCTCGTGCACAGGACATGAAGCTGCTGGAGCTGATGCTGAGGCGGCGAGAGCAGGAGGACAGGGAGGCGGAGGAGAGGAGGTTGGCGCACCGGGCCTGGGACCTGGAGCGAGAGCAGCGTGCCAAGAGCAATAAGGCGGCCGGCGGTGCACCGCTGCGCCACACGGGCAGCCTCAGAAACCAGACGGACAAGGTATGGCCTTTATTACCACCGAGGTGTTTCGGTGGTATCGTCTCGTCCGTGACGTCAGGACCAGGATTCGCCTTGCCGTGACGTCACGAGTTATAATCGTTACTACATATCATAAGTTGCAAACAACAAATCCGCAACTTTTTGCCCCAGTGTTGCGAAGAAATGACAGCGGTAGCTGTGATTGCACGTAGTGACAGTCACTTTTGCGCATACTATCCACTTTTCATGTACTCGATCACACACAACGCAGCCTTGTGGTCACTGAAGCATGGAGGAAAGGGAACACACTGTACACACGAGTCAGTGCCCCTGCCTAAGGCTAAATCGAGGCAGGTTTTGCTATGTATGGTGAGTTGCTTCACATCTGATTGTACGTGCCATTTGAGTTTTATGGAGAGGAATGCGTAGTGGCATCCCCTGCCAACCGTAAAAGAGGTGGAAGACACCGCCTCCCGACAAGAGCCAAGTGCGTGCTTTGCCTGGCGTCACGGGGTGGAACCGAGTTTTCCACCTGGCACAAAGCTGACGCTGCAAATGCAGCTGGGCTGTTGTCACAACAGCGGTCACCGTAAATGCACGGCGGAAGCTTGGAATCGTCGCATCCCTGAGCCAACGCCATCAAAGTTGATGGCCTGACATTACTCTTGTTTCCGTCAGTCAAAGCAAAATTAAACCAATTAAAAATGTTGTAGTAAACCTTTGGCCGCTCTTGAATGTCGACCACGGTGACGCTTTTGTTTGTGCAGGTCGCCAGCCGCCCGCTTTGCATGGCCGCCACAGCGTGCTCACTGAGTTCTTTGAGAGAATGTGGTCAAGAAATAGGTTGCTGAAAAGTAATTTAGGCCAGCCATCAAACATTGAAAAAGCATTTGAATAGCTTAAAGGCTGCAAACACAAGGCTAGCCATTAGTGTAGCTCAATTTTGACATATTATTTGGGAAACTGAGTGAAGGAATAAGCAGGCAGGGGAGTTCATCAAACGTGCACGTTACAGACAACTATAGAGGGGGGCTCGCACGAGGCATCCGCGCTGTGTATGGGGCATAAAGGCTTAAATTTTGATTCACAGAGTGGGCTCTACTTTTTCGCTGTACAGAGGCTTCGATGGCTGAAAACCCCTGCTGGCACTTGTTCGGTTGCAGCTTGGATTGTGTGATCAAAAGCCAACTTGTTTTGATTTCGGGCAGCGTTTGGTTGTTTTCTTTGCACCTATTCTTACAAAAAGCCCGGTTCATTTCAGGTTTGCTGCTGTTTGCCTTCCATGTCTCTGTTTTCCTTTGTTGGCAAGTATTATCTTTTGTTTGTTTGGTTCTTTCCTCTTTTTCCTGACATGTTCTTCTCTTTGTCTTTCACTCTCTTTATCTTTTTTTTTCCTGATTTAGGTAGGAGAGGCAATATTTCCAACTAGAACTAAAAATAAAAATATCAGCTGTGTTAGATACTTTTTAGTGTAGTGTCGTTTACCCGCATTCTCGAGGTTTTTTCAACCATGTAGAACTATGTTGGTGTTAGAATCCTGAAATCGGATGCTGCAGTACATCTTTAACCAAAATCCAGCCCAAATCTAAAGATTTTTAGAAAGCAGACGTGTCACTCTGCTCATGAGCCTCAACCTAGCCGGTGTCTGAATATTTCGGTAAGACTGCCGCAAAGCTAAACCCAACTCTAAGAACCCTTTGATTGTGTCTAGGCAGTTATACAGTGAATTATTTCCTTAGTTTCTAAATCCTTAATTGAGAAATGTGGACATACAGACTAGCGAGATAACTTGAACACCCTGAGTCAACTTTCCGAGGAAGGGGGCAGAGGGGGCCGGTCATTCAGGATGGTGACGACCGATGATGGTGTTCGCTCGATGGAAGTCCCCCGGGAAGTCGAATAAGAAAAAAAACAAACTAAAAGTTGTTCGATCCCGTTGGACACATTACGACGTTGGTTGGTTTACGGTGGCCAGTGTGGCCACGTTTATTTCAAAACGACAACAGGTCAACAGTAATTTACATGACAAACTGCCAAAATTAAAACCCATACTTCAGTCCCCCAGTCTCAAGAGCCGAATTCCCCGAGAATCCTCTCGGCAGCCCTTTTCTGGACTCGTAGAGGCCTCCTTTCCTTCCAGAGATGGACCAATCACTTCAAATTTCACCACTCCCACGTGGTACACTGTCGCCCAATGGTCGGCGAGCTGTTCGCCTGATGCTCCAACCGCCAAATCCAAATTCCGTGTAGAGTCGGTCTCTGCAATTTCCTCAGACTAGCTGGCGCCAACAGCTGAATTATTACATCGTGCAAAAAGCGGCAATTTTACACTAAGCGGCAAAACCCTCTATATACAGGCACACTCGGTTAAAAGCCGCAAGCAGCTCCGCACACGTGTTCTCCCCGCACCGCCTCTCAAACCCGAGACATTTCTTAACGACCGGGGTCCGACTCTTTTCCACCGAGCCCCGCGGCTGCTCAAAGCGCCCAAAAATGCAGACACAAACATAGGCAGATAAAAAAAACACTGCCGACGCAACTGTAGAAAGATAGACTTTTCTAAAACAAATCTTACTTATTTTTAACAAAATCCTTCGTTACTTAACACCCTACCTCTACCCCAAGGTCGTCTTAAGCTCTGACCAGATGTGTCAAATTTTGCCTTTTGTACATATAGATGTCACAGTGGAATACTGTTTTGTATGGGAAATAAAATGCCAGAGGTGACTTACTTTTAGCAAAATTGGAGCATTACAAAGTCCCAAAGATTGCACATGTTTTTCTCGTGGAATGCGAGATTGCTTTGCAAAATGGGAAATGGATGACTAAGTTCACTGCCCAACTTGACGTTGCCAGTAATGAAGAGTCGGCACGATCCTGACCTGAAAGTGGAGTCAGGCTTAGGGCCTGGCTCCATAGAACTCTGCCCCCAACACCTGTATCATCCCAGAGTTCCATTTGTGTGTTGAGACCTTAGAAATAATTTATCTTCTTTTTAAACAAACCCCCAGTACCTCGAGGATGTGGAAAAAATATGGCGTTTTTGAAAGGAAACTATTGTGCATGAGCATCGTGCGGCTGGCACGGCAAAGATAAACCTGGTAGTTGCGACGAAAAGCACAGTTTGATCATGCGAGGAAAGAAGGGGGCAGCAGGGAGGATGTTTCTTGCTCTTTTATTCCTCCCAAATTGTTTATACTTGTCATCACTAAAGACTTTTTGTTGGTCAACACGTTAAAAGTCTTCAACCTGGCTATTCTACTGGCTCCTAGCAGTTCGCCGTTGCACTTGCTTGCAATGTCAATCACTTCACGAAATCCTGCGGGATCGATTTAGAGACTGCCGCACCCTCTCCGTCCGACTCTAAACCGTTCCACCCTTGTCTCGCAGCGGTGGCGTCGCTCCCAGCCCATGACGTCGAGCAACAGCTGCGAGCTCCTGGACAGTGGGTCCTGTTCGAGCTCTAAAGTGAGCCCCTCCTTTTAGCAAAGAATATGTGACCTACACGTGACATCATTGCGGCATGTTGGCTGTCATTCCTGCTCGTTCTTGCCAAGAAAAACAACTTCGGCGGTGCAAAACCTGCGCCGCAGAAGATGCACATTCAGTGGCAAGGCCTCACCAATGGCCGCTGGTTTGACATCAGTGGGAGCCATGTATCGGTTACATAGCCGCTTCCTGTAACACACGGCTGTCGGGGAAGACCGTCACGCGAGCGCTGCGTCGGCTGGAACTCGTCTGCTCTCTGATTGAACACAAGTGCAGGCCTCCAGGGGGTGAAGTAGACAGTCCAGCACTATGGCTCTGCTACTACTTAGAAGATGTTATGTGGTAGGAGAGTGCACAGAGGGCGAAGGGGAAGAGAACAAGCACATACTTCGGAGGAGATGGGAAGATGCGAGATAGCAGGGTCAAAGCTGGGGTGTGCAACTGCAAGGGATGCTACCTTCTCGTTCCACTCCCGCTGGAGTGCTAGCTTTGACGGGGCTTTCTTTCGGAGATGCCACGCACGACGGTGTTCGTGCTGTCGGGGCACAAAACGCCTACCCGGTTTGTCTGTAGAGGCCGCAACTCCGTTTGTGTGAACAAGTGATTGCTGGTCTTCACGGCTTTTCTCTCGCAGTCTAAAGGCCATCGTCAAAAGTGGTAGTGTTGCGGGAAGAGCTTGTTTGGGGTCACAAATCTTAGTGGCAAAACTCGGTGCTCGCAAATGCTATTTTGAAGTAATCTTTGGAAATGTGCCAATGTCGTGTTTGCGCCGACGGTGCTGCGCAGCGTACAACGCTGCGGCGAGGCAACGAAAAATACATTTCGTGTTGCCACTTCTTTTGCCACGATAGGGTGAGGACCGGGCGAATTTTGTTCATTAAACTAGCTTAAATCTTCCGCCTTTGCCACTCACCAGGCCCAGGGGAATGGTAAGGTGAAACACGTGCAAACTGCTCTTTCAGACACCCGAGGAGAAGATGCCGTCCCAGGTGTTTTCCCATTTGGCCGAGATGAAGCAGTGTCTGGAGCAGGCCTCTCAGAGGCAGCTCCAGCACTCCAAGGTATGGCACGCTTCACAATGATTGCAAAACTGTTCACCTACGGTTTTATCTTTTGCTCTCGGCGGAAAATGGTCTGCTCATGATGATGGAATTATCACTCTGGGCTTTGTTATTTAAATGTGTGGTACCTAGTAGTAGCTAGCGACGCGAAGTTATTTTGCCAGAATGTTTATGGGCCCCTTCATTTTTATTGCCCAAGCTTCATTATTTTTCTTTTTGAGTGTCGAGTGCTTCCTCAACCCACCCTCTGTGTTGGTCCATTTTCTCCCAGCTGGCGAAATGTTTTTCGGCACTCATTTAGCGATGATTAGCTTTTACCGGCGGTTCCCTAGTGCACAGGTTTTCAAACCGGGCTCCTAGGAACCTGGAATTCCCTACAGTATTGTCGGGGGTTCCCCAAACTCCCAAACTTCCTCGCCCGGTCTGCACTCATGTCGAGCATTTTCCCAGTTTAAGCACCTCTTTAACAGATTTCTGCCACCCATTGACGTATAACTGTGATCCTACCGGTCCCTCGTACGCGCATCGTCATTTACTAGGTCTCTAGGCTTCTGCGCAATTGCATTACACCAATGCCAAGACCAGAATGGGCTCCTCGGCCATTTATCGAGAGGGGTGGGCTTGACCTAGCATCTTTGTAGCATTGCAACTTGCCTCACTGCCTGTCGACAGTCCCGCCGCCGTTTTCCTGAGTGTTTCGGGCGTTTTCTTTGGTTGCAGCAAAAGTTGCGTGAGCTGCAGCACGAGCAGGAGGAGCTGCAGCGGCAGAGGCACATGGAGATGGAGCGGGCGTACCGGAGGCAACTGGAGGATCGCATCCGGCAGAAGGAGGCCCTCTTCGCCGAGCGCAAGCGGCAGCGCTGTGCAGAGAAGGAGAGCGTGCTGCGGAAGAGCGCGTCAGTCCCACACCCTTACTCTCTCAAGCCTGCTGGGAGCTTTGCTATACAGTAGTCCCTGGCAGCTTATGAAACGCGGGGCGAAATTTCTGTAGTTGCAGATTTGCCTCAAAACTGGCTCAACACATTAACCCTTTGAGTGCCACGCTTGTGTATAATTAGGTACGCTCCCATGCAGATTTCAGTTTCGATTTGTTCTCTATCTCCTCCAACTAGGCTGTCAATTTTATTTTTACGCTTAGAGCAATGTTTTGTCTGGTAGCAACGCCTCTTGTTGGCACGCGGAAAGCTTTGTTTATGGGATTTCTGTTTTGGTTTGCTCCTTCGTCGCCCCGGAAAGGAGAGTCTTTGTTGCTCAACCTCGCTCTTTATGGCGAACACCGAGATCTAGATTTTAGCAATAAACTAATTTATTGATAAACTAAACAAGAAAGTCTCAGTTCTGAATGAAAAAAACAACAACAAAGTGCCGGTTCAGCCCACTTAAAAAGAGTGACCCTAAAGTGCAAGGCATGGGTGGCACTTTGCATAGTACCGTGTCTAGAGAAATATAATTCAAGAAAATATTGTAGGCTGGAGGATTGCAGACATCAGTTAACTTTGAGCCCGTGTTTTCAGATAAATTTGATGAACTGTGAAGAAACTCTCGCCAGTAAAATTTATGTCGATTTGAATTTATTAAGAAAACTTCAGAATTTTAGTGTTGCGATGGCACAAAAACACAGAAGACACAAAATTTTAAAATGAGCTTGGTCAGAGCACAAGTTCAGTGTTGTCCGACGAGTTGCCTCTCCAGTTCCCTTTCAAATCTTGTTATATCGTCGAAAGCAGGCTCACCGTTTATCTCAACAAATTTTGTTCCGGGCAACGGGTCATTGTAACTTTGGGTCACAACAAAAGCCACTGTTCTAGGTTTCCGTTCTTCAACTTTTCATAGGAAGGCGGGGTTGTGTTTCATAACAATAAAACCAGGCACGTGTAAAAAGTGGATTTTGAGTTTGAAGCGAATTCGAGCAAATAGTGGTTTTGACCGAATATTTTCAAATCAAATATTGAAAAGTTTCTCCAAGCTTTTCACTACTGCACCATGGCTAACTGAAAATCTATCTGAACTCGTGAACCCCATCTGATCTCATAAATGTTGTTCCCATGCCTCCACTTGTCCAAGTCTAAACTAATTTTAATCTAGTAGCAGTATTCATGGACCGTGAACTCAGAAAGTCCATTGCCGACATCGAAAGGGCTAGTAAACAATGTATTTGACATAAAATAAGCCTATAGAGATGTCCAGCTATTCCTAATCAAGTGGATTTATAGATCTTCTTACTCTATGCAAATATTCTTTATTAAATCTAGAATTTGAGAGAAAAAAAGAGACAATCATGAATGATGAATCTATGTTGTCAGGACATCTCTGCCTAACATATACTTTTGCATAATAGCCACAGTTTAATGTTGAAAATTTTACTAGCGTAGGTATCAACATTCACAAAGTTTTCATTTCTTTTTAAAAACACCACGTGCACGCGTGCACCATTATCTTTGAAGGTAGGCTTCCTTCCTAAAAACATGACTGCAATATTTGTACTTTTCGAAGTGTTGATCAGGGCGGGAATCCATCATAAATAAGCTCAGATATACACAGAATTCTTGGCAAAAAAATTAACTCCGAAAACACGGAATCCTATTCCTGAAGCATGCTACTGTTTTTCTGCATGGCACCTTAAAGTTGACTTCGACATGGAGGAAAGAAACCCGGCATTCAAAGGGTTAAAGACTCATCTAAACTATACTCTAAGCTTATGTCCAGATGCAGCCAACGCTACGAGGCATTGGCACCAATTATGCAGCATCAAAAGCGCAAGTCACTGGGCCTCCCCTGTAGACCAGGGGTCTCAAGCACGCAGCTCGCAGGCAACCGGCTACGAATCACGGTTCCCATTTCTCGAACACTAGAAATGGCAGACGCCGTAGTGATCTCATCTCGTTGATTCATTTTTACTCGAAAAGTAAGAAAAGTAAAAGCATAGTTTATACTTATGTGTGTTCATTTGACCTTTGTTTCGTATAGTTCTTGCTTCCCAGCTTTTTGTAATGTAAAACGATTTTGCTGCTAAGCTGCAAGTGCAAGCCATTTGTTGAAGGATGCATTTCGGCTGTGCAAACTCTCGATCAGCAGGAGCAACTGCCGAAGATAAAGCTTCAAGCTGGGGATTCTCCTCTACGAAAAAAAAGCACAAAAAAAAAACACCATTCCTGATTGTTTTTTTAGAGAAAAGTTGAGCTTCGCTAATGTTTGAGTGAATTGAGCAACAGGAACGACAGTGTACTTGCTCTCTTGTTCCATTCAAAATGCCAGCACGTTGGAGGTCTGGTGTCATTTTAGTTCTTGTTATCACATCAGGTCAGGGCCCAAAGTAGTCATATAAACAAATCAAATCTAAAGATGTCACTGGCAAAACTGTGAGTTTACAAAAAACACACAGCACGAGGTCATCTCTCATTATGATTATAAAATCTTTTATCCCCTTTCCGTCTTACGTTGGACCCCGACCTTTCCAGTGTGGGCTATTTGGCCCCCACACTAATATGAGTTTGAAACCACTGTTGTAGATGATTGGTTTGGCGACGATAGATTGCGTACAGAAACATGACGAACACTATGAAGGTGTACTCTTGACCGCCGTCTGATTTGTCAAATCAGCTCGTAGTGTCGGCTGCATCTGGACTGAAACACAGTATATTTACACAAATTGCGAGCCAAAATAAATTTTTGCTCAAGGTTATTGAAGTTAAAAATTTGGTCTGAGAGGTTCTGCTGGTAACACTGAAAATGTGATGTCAGATGTTGTATAGGGGTGAAATACAGTTGGTCTTTGACAAGTTACGGGAAGAGTGATGGTGTGAATATGCGAAATGCTGCGTTTTTAGACTGCCTGCTAGACTTGCAAGTTGCACTACATGGGATGTTGCCACACTGGAGAGTGTGGGAAAATTTGAGTGTTGGTTCTGGCATCACCTTCATTCACTGTTTTCTTGATAGCTATTCTGAATTCAAAGAGAACGAATAGTGTGCAAAGGAGAGCAAAGCCTGGGTATTTTGAAAACGTGCTTAGTTTGGGTAGCTAATTAGGCCGCTGAAATGTTTTCTCGTCCCCCCAGGGAGGAGCTGGAGGAGAAGCTCGAACAGGTGCGACTGAACCAGCGGGAAATGGACAGCGCCTTGGACATGTGGCGGGAGCGGGTGGCAGACTACCAGGAGGCAGCTAACCTGAGGGCCCGCCAGAGGGCGCAGGAGGCGCTCGAGTTCAAGAAGCGCATCGCCCAGCACGAGCGGCTCCTGAGGCAGGCGGAGCACCAGCGCAACATGCACAGGTGCGGGCCTGCAACGTGCGAGTTGCTGGCCGGTTTTGGAAACTCGGCACCGGCGGCATGCTCGAAAATGTGGAGACTCGCTGCATTCGCAACTGCTACCCCATCCTCCTGGGGCATGGGCTCTCAATCTGGGTTCCTAAGAACCTAGTGGCTCTTCAAAGTACCCTCAAGTGTTCTCTCAGGTACTCTCAGGGGTTACCCGAGATACTCTAAGGGTTACCTGAATACCCTTAGGGGTTCTCTCAGGTACCCTCAAGGGTTACCCATGGTATCCCAGGGGTGCCTAGGATACCCTCGGTAGTTGCCCAGGGTCCCCTCGGTAAGGTTACCCTGAGCACTCAAGGTACTCTGGGCTATCCAGACTCCAGAGTATTGTCAAGGGTTCTTCCGGGTACCCTCAGGGCAGGGTACCTCCCCACGGTGGGCGGCAGTGACTTTGCCACCCACCGCTCTGACTGACTACCCATTGCTCCAACTGATCGCCCACCGCTTGTCACAGGATGACGATGCAATTTTGCTTGCGTACATGGCTGCAGACCATAGTACTCAGCAGGCCACACTATTGTGTGTTATCGCATCGCTGACTGCCTCCACATGCACCAGTCCTTCAAGCAAGGAGAGCGGAGCGCCGCGGGGGTGCGAGGGAGGGGGGGGGGTGCTTGGCCGAGTAGAAACACAAAATAAACGGATGGGGCGAACACGCACTGCACAGCAGTCCTCTGCTGGCGGTGAGTGCCAGAGGGCAGAGCCGAGAGGACTTCTTTTTTTCTACTCAATGCTTGCTTGTGCCATGGCTTGCTTTATCTTTGCCTCTTCGCTCGCTCCCCCCTTCCCTTCCCCAGTTTGCTATTTTTTGTTTTTTCAAGGCATCCTGGTTTTTGCAGTAGAGCTGTTAAGGGCTAGTTTACCCAGTATCGTGTCCGTCAGCAAACAAATGATGACACTAAACTCTGGACAGCTACTGCCATCTATAAGCGACAGTGGCAACCAGACAACCGGCTTGCCAATGTCTGGTTGCCGCCGTCGCTCAAGGATGGTGGCAGCCTCTCCGGCCTTTCCACTCTGGCTTGCCGACTTGCGGCCGGCCATTACTTTATTCCCACCATAGTTCCTTCTTCACCAGAGTGAATGGAAAGGCTGTAAGTGTTTGCTTTATCACCGCGGCATGGCGCCACTCACAGGGCTGCAAAGCCCTGTGAGTGGCGCCAGTGCCGAGTTTCCAAAACGGTGGGGTGGGAGGGGTTGCAATGCGGCACAATCAGGCAAACCAGATTGTGCCGCATTGCAACCCCCCCCACCCCGCCGTTTGCATGGTGGTAATGTCATTCCTAAGAGATTCCTGGGGAGAACCTTGCCTCAGAGGTTACCCAGGGTACCCCCAGGGGTATCCTGAACTCCCAGATTAGCTCGGCCATTCCTGCTTCTAAGTGAAGCGTTCTTACGGTTTACAAACTACGTATTTGAAAAGATCCAAGCCGTTTAGTAATGCATAGCAATGTGCCAGACACCGCCGAGTATCTGCGTTACGGTTTATGAAGTCCGTAGGTGTCTGCAGTGTTCAACTGCATTAATACCGAGCCAGGAGAGGTTCCTTAGCTGTCAAACAAAAGAGATGGGCGTTCCACAAGATGGGGAAATTCTAGAATCCGGTGCCGTGTTGGATTCGGTGGCCGAGCGCGTTAGCGCTACGGAGCTCAGTTCAAAGTGCGTGGACCGGAAGCTCGTGCTGCGGAACCTGAAGGTCCCGGGTTCAATTCCTTCCTCCGTCCATTTCGATCTGGATGAGCGTCTTGCCAGCATGCAGTCGTGTGTCACGACTGCATGGTGCACGTTAAAGGCCCCAGGCTAGCAGTGGTACTGCACTGGCTAAATTACTGATCTACGGCAGAGACGCCGGATGCCCATTGGGGCGGACTACCCACTGTATAAACAAACAAGCAACGGATGTTTTCATCCTCTTTTTATTTGCTGCACATCTCAATGGGCACAATCTTTACATTTGTCTGCATCACATTTTTGCTGCTAGATGGTGTTGAACGTCTAGATGATGGTTTAAAAAGTGCAAAGGACTAAGAAGAGAAGAAGGGGACAGGACAGAGCACTTACTTACAACTGTTAAATTTAATAGAGCATCTAGAGAACGACAAGGTGGAAGTGAGAAAGGAGAAAAGAAACTGCTGCTACAAAGACAACATATTTAGTATTAGAAATCGAAATAAAAATTATTTTAACTTCAGCTAAAGGCAAAGTACTTGTCACATAAAAAAAATAAATTGTCTGTAAAACGAAGAAAAGAAAAAAAAAAAAGAAGAAAAAAGTAAAAAAAAAGGACACGGAGCAAACGGCTAAAAAGCCTTCAGGGAAAACATCGCTAGAACTGAAGTTCTTTTTGTGTTTCAAGTCTACAGGAGAAACACCGAAGGAACTGAACTTCTTTTAGGTTCACTGATGGCGCACTTATACACTTGTCACCACTGGTGAGGATGACTTGAGCCTCATACAGTTCTCTAGTGTTTTTCTCACGGAACCGCTTCAGAACTTTGGTGTGGTTGAATGATAATGAGCATTTGCAGTCCCTGATGTGCACCGCAAGATGTCCCGATGGTGTTGATTTCAATGTTTGGGCATGTTCTCTTAATCTCATATTAATACATCGTCTCGACTGACCTACATATACTTTGCCGCAAGTACCGTATTTACTCGCAGAATGAACGCACTTTTTTTTCCGAAAAATCGATGCAAAGTTAGGGGGGGGGGGGGGGCGTTCATTACGCGAAGTAAAATTAAGTAAAATTTTTGCGTCCGTATTTGTCCCTATTTACTGGCATAATGAACCGGCCTTTTATCCTGAAAGATCAAAGTAACTTCTTATCTCTTTGCGCGCCGCGCCCGACACTGTAACCAAACTAAGCTGTGCAAAAAAAGACTCCTGTTTTTTGTTCCTTAGTTCCTTGTTTTTTTTTTGTTTTTTTGTTTTTTTGCCGCCTTTCGCAAGCTGCTTTGTTTGCTTAGGCGAGGGCTCTCCGCTTATCTTTCTTATCTCCTTGCGGGCAGCGCGCGACACCCATAACCGAACTGCGCTGCGCAAAAAAAAAAAAAAAAGGAAAAAAGCTGCTCTTTTTCTTTTGTTTTCAGTTCCGTGGTCTTTTTTTTTTTTTTTTTTTACTTTTTGCAGCCTTTCGCAAGCTGTTTCGTTTGCTTAGAGGGCTTCTCCGCTCCTCTTTCTTACTTCCTTGCGCGCGGCGCGTGACCCCCGTAACCAAACTGCGCTGTGCAAAAAAAAAAAAAAAAAAAAGAAAAAAAAAAGTTTTTTTTTGTTTTTTCTTAGTTGCGTTTTTTTTTTTTCTTTTTGCCGCCTTTTGCAAGCTGTTTGGTTCGCTTAGAGCGCTTCTCCTGTTCTCTTTCTTACCTCCTTGCGCGCGGCGTCGCGCGTTGCGCGCGCGTCGCGCGTTTTGCACAGCGCAGTCCAGACCGCTGTGCAAAAAAAAAAAAGTTCCTCTCTATGGTTTTTTTTCTTGCTTCGTTGTATCTTTGCGAATTTTTTTTAATGCCTTTGGCAAGGCGTTTTTTTTCGCCCACGCTGCTCATGCATTTGCGACCTCGCTGCACCAGGATAAAAAAGTGCGTTCATTTCGCGCGGGGGGGGGGGGGGGGGGGGGGAGGGGAGGGGGTCAAAATTTTGACGACCGAATTGGGGGTGCGTTTATTACGCGAGTGAAAAAAAAAAGTCGAAATTTTGAGAGCCGACTTGGGGGGTGCGTTCATTACGCGAGTGCGTTCATTGTGCGAGTAAATACGGTAAATAGTATTTGATATACTACTCCACTTTGACACTCTACATATCTGAGTCGATGTTTTACACTGCACTCTGCCTGTTGATGCTTTTGGCAATTGATCTTAGGGCAGAGCCATTTACAGCGGAGCTGTTAAGGGCTAGGTTCTCCAGGATCGTGTCCGGTACCTGCCGACACAAACCTACCTCAGAGCCGTTTATTGAGAGAGTTTGGCCATACATTGGTTTGAATAGGCGAGCATCTCGGGGCCGACCACAGGCCGTGAAACAGCCCCTAGCGGTGGTCGTGTACTCTAAATATGTGACACGACTAATTTGAGCCGTTTTAGCGTCGCTAGAGTGAAAAGGTTTAGCTCTCGGTGACTGAAAACTTTGTGCATGTGAGGTTTTCGTCACGCCAATATTCAAGTGTAGAATAAACGAACGTGCGCTCCAAACCAAGGCCGACTTGCTAGAAACAGCGTCTCAGCTGAGACGGGGAAAGAAAGCACAGCCAAAGCCAGCGCATGAGCCGAGCAGGAATCCGCTTCTCAAGACGCTCGCGCGCCCCACCCTTTGCACTGTTTTCTTTCAGCCAGTTTCAGGACGCTGTTCTAGCAATAACGTTGGTTCTAGCAGTGCTGACAAAGGCATGGGCACGAGCGCGTGGCTTTGGAAAGTGCCTCCTATGCACGAGTTTCCGTACAAACAAAAGCATTTTGCTGAGCTAGGCTCACGCGCCTGTGCCTTTGTCTTTACTGCAGACATTCGTGAGATGGAGTAAAGAGGCCGAGTTTGAACGCTTCTATTTCACGCTTTAAATGTCGTTTGCAATATTGTGACGTCACGGTCTCCTGATTGGTCGACGCTGTGTCACAAATTTAGTTTACACTCTAAGCATGGGGGGAATATTTGGTGCTGGCAGTGGCCTTTGCTCCGCCTATTGGCCAAACTCTCCCAATACATGGCTCTGACCTACCTGGACAACTACCGCCATCTATAAGCGACGGCGGCAAGCACACAACCAGTCTGGTTTTCGCCGTCGCTCGTAGATGGCGCCAACCTTTCCAGCTATCCATAAACGGCTCTGCAGCTATCATAGAAGAATGGATAGTTGGGCGCATTGGTGGGAATTCATCGTAGGAAACATAGTGAAAAACAGGTGAGGACAAAGAAGGAGCACACGTAACGAGCGCAGCTCTCGTCACGTGTGTTATTTCGTCCTCGTCTGTTTTGTGTGCCGTTTCCTACGCTCTTACCAGTTTCGGTTTGAACTTAGGATGGGTCGGCCGCGCGCCCTTTCGGGGAAAGAAGACTGGTTGAGGAAGGAGCGGCGACAAACGCAGCAGCGCGAATGGGTCCGCAACTGCCGCAAAGCTGCTGTCGCCTCAACTTCCACTGCGTCGAGTGCTTCAGACTCCCTTGCCAAAGAAGAGCACATTGCTCGCCTGGAAAACCTCTGCTGAGAATAGAACCAGCGATGTAAAGGGCGCCGGCGGGCCAATGCCACGGACGACGATTGTGCCACGGAGGCCAAGTGCAAGCGCAAGTCTGGAAACGGCTGCACTCCACGCCGGCTGAACAGTTCCCGGGTGCGACGACGAGGTTTTGGAGGGAGTTTGTGGATTACCCGTTTGGCGTCACGTGCGCCGTGAGCGATTGACTCTGGTTCGCCGAGACATATCCACGATCGGCGGCATGTCGGACGAGAAGAAGTGGGAAATGGGCGCGTGCGCGTTGCAGCAGCGTATTGAGTACAGCTCCGCTGGTCTTCCTTCTTCACGAGAGTGAAAAGGCTGAATGTTTTTTTTTAGTTTGTCCGGAGCTGAAAGCACGACTTGGACTTGAAACTTCGCGGCTGTTTTCTTCAAGTTGTGGGACAAGCGGTGTATATATAGCAGAAGAGTCGGTCGGTGTTTCTTGTGTTTTTCAGTGTCATGTTTTTATTTGAGGTCATCAAGGATTCGGCGACGTCATATATTATCGAACTCGGATATCCCGACGCTTTCAGTCTGTGTACTAGAGCACCAAAGTTCCGAAGCGGTCCCGTGACAAAAACACTAGAGCAGTGGTTCTCAAATGGGGGTCCGCGAAGGCATTTTAGGGGTTCGCGAAGCCCTGCCTCATCAGTCAAACCCGGCAATAAAAGTTGTCTTTTTTCAGATCGAGACGATATGTTTCAGTTTTCGGGCGCGTTTTCTCGTGTTTATGTCAATAAGAGAAGTCTACTTCACACTAGCCTTTAGTTATATCAATTTATTAAATCATTATTATATTTTACCTATACCTTTCCCCTCCCCTCACCATGAACGGGGTCCTCCAACTTCCCTGCCGATCCACAAGGGGTCCACGAAACATCAGTGGTTGAGAACCACTGCACTAGAGAACTGTGCGAGGCTCAGGTCATCCTCACCAGTGGTGACAAATGTATAAGCGTGCCGTCAGTGAACCTAACACAAAAAGAACTTCAGTTCCTTCGGTGTTTCCCCTGAAGACTAGAAACACAAAAAGAACTTCAGTTCCTTCGGTGTTTCCCCTGAAGACTAGTAACACAAAAAGAACCTCAGTTCGAGCGGTGTTTTCCCTGAAGACTTTTTAGCCGTTTGCTCTTAGTCCTTTTTTTTCCTTTTTTCTTCTTTCTTTTTTTCTTCTTTTCTTTTTGTTTTACAGACAATTTTTTTACGTGACAAGTGCTTTTCCTTTAGCTAAAATTAAAATAATTTTTATTTCGATTTCTGAAACTAAATATGTGGTCTTTGTAGCAGCAGTGAGTTTATTTTTGTCGTTCTCTAGGTGTCCTGTCCCCTCCTCCTCTTCTCAGGACAGAGCGCTTACTTACATTTGTAAGTAAGCGCTCTGTCCTGTCCCCTCCTTCTCTTAGTCCTTTGCGCTTTTTAAACCACCGTCTAGATGTTCAACCAATTAGCCCCCAATTAATCTTGATAGATGGTGTTGATTTGTTTTGAGCTGCAGAGTCGCTGGTGGGGGGGGGTAGTGTCTGGTTAACGCAAAGCTGGTTGCCTTTGTCTCTGCTCACTGTTTGAATGCAAATGGTGGATGCCGGATACTGGTGTTCACATCTGGCATTTCATTCCCAAAAGGTCAATGAGAGTTTATCTTTGTCATATCCTTATGTAATTCTTCTCCTGCATAGATGAAAAAAGGGGGTCTTGCAGTAATGGTAGTTGACAGCTGTGCCAACAAGGAGGCATCAAGCTGATTGTGAGACACTGAAAATTATAAATAATAAATGAATGAATGATTGATTAATTGGTTGATGATGATGATGACGTCAATGCGGGTTTATGGATCGAAGATGCCGTCCTCCAGTGGTGTTGGCATTCCTGCAGAACACCTCCGCTCAATGTGTCCACCTGCTTTCCCTTCGTAGTTCTTGCGGGTTGCATCTACTGTTGTCACTGGCAAGGTGAGAACGGCAAGGAGGACCTTCAGTTGTCCCACCTCCACCACAAGCTTGCTGCCTTCGACAATGTTTCATAGTCTTATGCACTGCGACCGCGTCCACGCAGCCAAAGGCGTGAAGCGTGTGCTAGAGGCTAGGCATTTAAAAGGCACCCTGCCATTCTCGCTTCATTAGCGACTATAGTATGTTGCAACCTAAGAACGAAGGGCGAGGGTAAGACGGGCCAGAAAGGAGGAAGCAGACGGAACGCTGGAGAAAAGAGGGGGAAACCTTCTCTCGTTAGCGTTCCGTCTGCTGCCTCCTCCCAGGCCCATCTTACCCCCGCCCTTCGTTCTTAGGTTGCAACGGACTATAGAATTGGGGCCAATTTGACCTGTAGTACAATGTTCCGTGTGCTTGCCACCTGCCAGGGTGGAGATGGAGGAGAGCATTCGGCTGCAGTCCATGATGGAGAGGCTGAGGGAGAAGGAGGACAAGAGCCGCCTGCACGCCCAGGAGAAGCAGCTCTTCATCGAGCAGGTGCGTTGGCTGGCTCCGCACAGCTTACGAGTCGCCGCCGAAAGCTAACGCCTCTCTGTGCAGAAAAGCGACGATAATTGAAAGTGGAGGCTACGAGCCGGTGAGTCCAATCAAGGAACCCCAGAAGGTCATTGCCACAGCTCGGCTTCTTTCTATAGATGCATAATTGAATCAGATCCAGAATGTGCACTGCAACAGTGTTTCTTAGTCATGTGCAAATAGTGGATTTTGAGTTGGAAGCAAATTCAAAGCGAATAGTGGTTTTGGCCAAATAATTTCGAATCGAATATAAAACAATTTCTCCAAGCCTTTCACTATTGTGCGCCATGCTTAAACGAAAATTCAGCTGAACTCGTGCAGGTTCCTAATCTTCCGCTTATCCACTTCTAGGCTCAGTTAATTTTAATATAGCTATATTTATGAACTATGGCATGTAAGCAACAAAATTGTCAGTTATTCTAATGGAGGGGATTTATAAATGTGCTTGCTACATACAAAAATTATTTCTTCAATTTAAATATGGAAAAAAAAGAAATTGCTGCCCAGCACGTGCTCTTGCATAAGGGCGAGCCCCGTTGAGTGCACTTCTCACTGAGCACCTGTGCACTGCGGGGAAGCAATAGTCATGGAGCACACAAGCTTTGCGGGTATTGCTTCCCCGCAGTGCATGTGTGCCCGGTGAGAAGCGCACTCAATGGGGCTAACTCGTCTTGATCAGCACTTCGAAAAATATGAACATCGCAGTTCATCTCGAAGCGAATATCGAATAGCGTTTTATCCGAAACTTCTATTCGAAAATTCAAATATTCGCACGACACTACTTTTTTTATGTGTCCGCATGTCTTTTAGTCTTTGACTGCACCCTCACGATTAAACAGAGTAGAAATGCCTTCTACTATCCCGAGACAGTTGTGATGGTGGCGTCTGCGTGTAAGCAAACAACCAAAGAAAGAAAGAGCATGGAGGGGAAAGGATATGTTGCTACTTTCCTTGTTCAGGGGTTTTACCGAGAGCCAGCCCACCATGAGTAGGCTGCCAACTTCTTTGTACGTGTGCTCTCAAATGTAGGGGAAGATTCTTTTGGCAATGAAGATTTAAGAGCAGGTTAAACCAGAAAACTAATTAAGCGTTCTGATAACTTGGGAATGTCACCATGTGTGTTTTCTTTAATTGAACTCTGCACTTGTAGTGCGACTTGACCTTCTCAATGAATGTTGTGGACAGCCTTCATCAAAGTGTGTGGAGAATATTGGCAGGTACTAAAGAAACGCAAGCGTTTGCGAAGGCAACACACTCTACGTCTAGTAACATATAGAGTTCTTTTTAAATATCTTTTTGATGAAAGTTCAGTTCTTAGAAGACAAAGAAGAACCTCACACGATTCCTCACTTTTAGTGAGATGCCTATTGTATTGTGCATTTTCTTGACTACTATTTAGAAAAAGGAGTTTAATTTTTAACACAGAATGTGTTTATGGACTGGATTTCAAGTGACAAGCATTATGCTCAAGGGCGACAAAAAAGCGTTGCATGCAGACCAAGGCAACATGAAGCATACACAGCCTATGGCAGGCAATGCATAAGCATCCTTAACATATAGAAGACATACTTTGAAGTACTAAGTTGAAAATACTTGTAACTGGACATAATTAACCATGACAAGCGAGATGTACCAAGCGACTCAGCGGGAATCGAACCACGGACTGTGTGATCCACGTCCTGACACCTTTGCTCAATGCCAAGGAGATGTAGGTGAAGAGGAGCACAAGCAGCCGGACTACTGTAAAATCTCATATAAACGCCATTCCCCGAGAGCCCATCCCATTTTTTGCCTGAATATTCATAACATAAAAATTCAGAAACATCGCCCACCCCCCTGATTTCTCGTCAAATATTGCGCAATGTCCAAGGGGAATATTGTCGACCACTAGACCTGCTGTACCGGTACGTGTGACAAGCAAGTCCGTAGCAAGTTCCCTCATGTTTATCGCACCATGGCACACGAATCTGCTGTATCTGCAATCTGCGGTACCTGCTCCCATGATGTGCGAGTTCGTAGCGGGTTCCCACATTTTTCGATGCAAAAGCATTAACTGTCCCATGGAGCGAACCGACGTCATCAGATTTGAAGCCGTGCCAAATGGCACCTTTCCCTGTCCCATTGGAGCAAAGCCTGTTGTCTGTAACAGAAATCTGATGGTGGGCTCCCATTGGCTGGTGCGCGTCATTCTTTTAAGGAACGAGGTTCCCATTGGCTCTCACGCGGCGCATTTCCAAGGAACGCCACCAGAAAAGCCCTCTCCATGGCGGCGCTGCGGCCCGGCTGCCGGTAAGAGAAAGCGGTTGGCTGCTGGGCCTTTAGAGCCCGCACGGGCAGACTCCGGAGACGCGGCACGGCCAAGCTCAGCACGGCGCGGCCACTTCACGAGAGTGCGCGCTCGACCGTCGGGAGGCACAAGCGGATCGCGATTCAAAGTGTCTCAGATGGCAAGAGGACGCGGCCCTTCAATAATGCGGGGTGGAAGCAATATGTCGCAGGCGGAATGCTTTCGCATTCACAACTCATAAGAAGTGCTTAGGTGTCTTCGGACTTTTTTTTACCGAGATCTATGCGCAATATTGGTTCCCGTGGTACGCGAGCTTGTAGCAGTCTTCCCCATTTTATAGCACCGTGGAGCGAGAATCCGCTGCGTCCACGATCGGCAATATTTGTTCCCATGAATACCGTGAATTCCTGCGTGTCTATCACACCTTGGAACGTGAATTTGCTGGGTCTGTGATTTACGGTATCAGTTCCCGTTTTGCGTGGTTTGTAGCAGGTGCCCCACTGTTTATCACTAATTTTCTATAAAATTTTACTGCTGCATCCGGGACTTTACGGTAAGCACTAGACCTGGGTGACTGTTGGTGCACGCAGCTGGTTGGCTAATGATGAAAAGCAGCTCCCCAAGTGATATCATGAGATTGCGGGCAAATCATGATGCATCTTTAAGCCTTAATTAAAGGTAGTTTACTTTAGGTACCAAATAGCAAAAGAAATAAAGCTTCTTAGGGCCGTGTACATGTAAACATTGCAAAATGAAGCCCTAACCGTGTAACGAAGGAGTTCCCTCGGACCTCGCTGTGCATTGCGCAGTCTCGGGCACTGGCCAAAGCGACGGCGGCTCTTCGAGAGCAGCTCAGGCTGCAGACGGACCGGAGCGTTTACGTGAGGCGTCCCCGCTCCAACCTGTCTGCTTCGTCCAGTGTCAACTCCAATCTCGTCAAGAGGTCAAAGTCAAACGAGTGAGCACGTCTGGATTTTACAGCTCCCTCCTTTGTTCTTTTTTTCCTAGTATTGTGTGTTGGAGAGGTTTAAAGATATTGTAACACTTGAATAAGGATTGAATATTTTAATAACATTTGACTATTCAAATGTTTTTCAGATATTCGATCGACGCTCGAAAATCATTTGGGTAGGCCAGGGGGCTAACGTTGCCCGGGACGTAAGACCTATCTTTTAGAGAAACTTTGATGGAAAAATTGGAGTTGCATCCTAACACCTGTATGGAATTTTAGGTCATTTTTAACAAAGAATACATTATAGGTAGGGTTCTGTGTTTTTGGATATGTCAATATGCGATAAAACAAAATTATGATGGTTCCTTCCAAACAACGTAATCACACTCAATACGTGGCATTTCATGGGCTTGCTCTTAAAGATTATAACTGGAGACTATTCGTAGCAGATAAATTGAATAATTATATGCAATCTGAGTTATAAATGACAATACAGTAAACTTTCGTTAATTGGACCTTGACGGGACCTTGAAATTTGGTCGAATTATCCGAATGATTGAATTCAAAAAAGGACAGAAAAACGGTTAAAATTAAACTTCCTTTTATTGTCCGAAGTACTCACGAATGGTCTGCTGCCATCTGCGCTTAAAACGTGTGTCCAAAAGCGTGCTCTAGAGAGCAGCGTAACTAAACGTCAATCCCAAAAAATCGCACCCTACAAAAAAAAACAAAAAAAAAACAAAAAAATAAGTTTTATGAGCCAACTTCAGCACCGGGCAGTCAGACTGTCGGCGACAGAAAAAGAAACGTCAACAAAAGAAAAAATGAAAGGAAAGGAGAACCTGCGCTTTCTGACGCGCCAGATGGACCGCACACCATGCTACGGAAAAGCGCTTTGAGAGCGTGCACTGAGAAAGCTTTACAAGCCAACTTTATCCCCAAACAACCAAACCAACAAAAAAAAAAAAAAAAAAGAAAGGAAAGAAGATTTTGCGCTTTTTTACGCACGCAAGATGCTACAAAAAAGCACCTTGAGAGCACGCGCTGTTTCCGAGATTCAATCACGTGCTATGTTCTTTGCGCTACTCCACGCCAGATTGGTTGCGCTGGCTCGTGTCATTCGCTACGGTCCATCTCAACGGCGTAGAGGAGCAGACGCATATTTGTGCACGTTCGGCTTTGCAGCAAAGGGCTCGTGTTTCGCCGTATGTTGGTGGTTTTTCTGCCGTGGTGCCGTGCAATGTGAGCTCGCGCGCATCCGCTCGTGACGAATTATCCGATGTGGAGTCTTCCCGAGTTTGAACTGTCCAACTTTTCTTCCCACAGAAATGTATGGGCGCTCGCCGGGACTTTTGAACACGGGCAAATTAAACGAAAAGTTGAATTAACCGAGGTTGAACTAATGAAAGTTTGCTGTATTGCATTGTAATTGCACATATTGAGGCTAGGCGGTACAAGTTCTAACTTTTCATATTTGTGACTCACTGGGTCAACACTGCCTCTGTACATTTTTGTGATGGTTCAATTTCAATTTTACTTTCTAGAGTCATCGTAAACACAGAAATAATGCTAAATGTATTAAAATTTTCAAAGTAAGAGCCCACTGGAAGAGTGTTTTTTTTTCCTTTGGACATTGTTTTATGGGACAACCCACGGCGCCCCTGCCACAAACAAGTATTGCCTTGCCACGGTGCACTACTTGTACTGCAGTAGAACTGTACTCATCTGAGCCTATATAGCCTGTCATAAAATATGTAAAATATTAAAAACCTTAAAAAGGTGTTTCAAATTTTTAGATTCAACGATTGAATCCAGCACAATGATTTTTGAATAGACTACTTCCATAAATCCCTGCATGCAACATGGTGTGCATTGCACTCTGGGAACTAGTTGGCCAGGCAAACTAGAATACGATTGTTTGAGCGTTTTTGGAACCCTTCCCAGCGGGAAAAGTTAAATATATCCAATATATTGTTCGTTATAAAAAGTACTTTTTATACAAAGTATAAAAGGTACTTTTTATACTTTGGTATTTGCGTTTTTATGTAAATTTTTTGTGACTTCGATATCGAGAATAATTTGCTGTACGTGGGTTCGTTCTAAGCGGGTTTTACTGCAGTACTTCAAATTGAAATTTAATATTAGGCTAATTACGACATTACACAACACTTGTGACCAAGAAAACTCACCAGGCATAAATCAATGTGCTTGGGAGCTCTGGCACATTCGTGCAGTGCAAAAGACTGATGAAAATGATAAAACTGCTTAAATGATAAACTGCTTTCGTGGGCCAGTACGCTATCTTGTGTTCTTCGTTTCAGTAAATAAAGTAATATTGTTATTATTACCTAATGCCGACGATATGCAATAGTTGTGACAGAGGCACCAAGTGCAATGTACACGAGAACACACTAGAATTTTAACGTAAATAGGCATGAAGCTGGGGACTAATAAGGGTAATGCTAGGGATGACAATGTTCCATTAATAATAGGGTGGGAGGAACCGTGTTATGATGCAGTTTTTCTCATTCTTTTTGGTATTTTAGCTCTGGCATTTGGAGTGTGTCGCAGCGCCGTCTCTTTGCGCGCACTGCTTCTTGCGTTGGTAGCGATGGGTCTGCTGGAAGCGGGCCGCGGGCTGGGCTTCATAGGAAAGACTGTGGCCAGACGCGGGCCGGTCGTAAGTCCTCTGCGGGCCGGGGTTTGGAGACCCCCGGTTTAGTTGACAAAAGAACCCGTGCAGGAAGATGAACGGGTGCCATAATATGTTGTGCTTTGATGCCGTTTGGTCAGTTCCATTGGCTCGTAGCGTCGACTGTGCTTTAAATTGAGGTGAAACGAAGTATTGAGATCGCTCGTCAACCACGCTGGCCGGTGGATGCACTGACAGGTTGATCGCCGACGTCGTCTACATTTCCAGACGATGTCAGGAGCTAAAATTAGAGAGAAAACATTGAAAAATAGTAGGACGGCAGCTACTGTGGGTCAGATAGAACCAGGGTCTTGAACTCCTGACAAGGTCGCTCGATTCTAACGTCTGCCGCATGCCTCTGCCGCCTCTCACTGCCTCTGTCTCACCAGCTTGTGAGTGCCAAGCTTCGCCTCTTTTTTGCACCAGAGTGCTAGGAGCAGCGGCTGACATGGGTGAGGGCCCAGGTTAGCGTGATTGGTTCAGAAATTATGCTCACAACTATTACAGGTCTACCTTCTTTGGTGTTCATTGTAGGTTGATCTCTCTCGTAATAAAAAAAAAAAAAAGTGTGCCGAGAAAGAGAAAAACAAAACGAAAAAGCTCGGGTCTATCTTTGAATAATACGGTAGTCGAGGGAGTTCCCATGCAGCTGTTGATCGTAGGGGCGGCGGACATTGACTCACTCTGGTTCTAAAGAGCAGTGACGTGTAGGTTTTCATAATATTCATAAATGGTTGTTTTTGCAGTTTATAATATTAGAACCTTGAGTTTGATAGGTTCATAAAACTTGGGGGACACATTTTTATGAGCAGACGTGTTTGCGGATATGCTGTTTTTTCTTGCATTTTACAGCAATTATATTTACAGGCTGCATAAGGTACTGGGTGTAAAAGTGAAGTGTTGTGCTATGATAAATTTTTCAACCTTTTCTGGTGGAAATGCCTGATCACAGCCTTATTTCTTAAAACAACGCCCTGTGCTCCTTTTGTGCCCTATCTGTTCTTATTACAAAAGGTAATAAGTAATATGCTCCAGTATCAAAGAGGAATCCTCAGTCATCATCAAAGAAAAACCCTCTGTCATTATTAAAGATGAACTCATTTTGCAATGCAACCACTTTTTCATTTTCAAATGATGTGATAACAGATGTTGGCGTCTGCTCCAATAGCATCAGTGGCTGCTCCAAACCAGTATTTTGTCTGCTAAAGCTAGAAAAGGTTGAATGCCGCTTCCATCACTCTTATAGTCCATGGCTTCTCAAACTGGGCTCCCAGGAACCAGGGGGGTGTCCAGACAAGCCTCAGAAGTTCCCTGTTCACAAATTTCCTCTGCTATCCCGGCTCCTAACTAAAGTGTCTTTCTATCCAGCGATACATAGCTAAGTGTTTATAAGATCCGAAGGCTTCTGCACTGCTTTATTGCATTATTGCCGAGACTGACGGGGGTCCTTTGTTCTCACTGAGACGTTCTTCGAGGCCCCCTGCACTGTACAATGCAAACCATTTTGTGTTCTCATTTCTTTATATCCTTCAGGGACATACTGAAGTGAGGTTGGATACCTCTTTGGCCGTCTCCCGATCCAGCAAGCCTTCGTCTTGCCCACGTTGCCAGGGACGGCGACACTGGGCCGACTTTGGAGGGGTTTCCGCCGTCGAACGCCCATCTCGGTGCCGTTGTCTTCGTCCAGTCGACTGTTGCGACCACCGGGGCAGATGTTGCTCGCCGAGGGCTGCGCCAGCATTTCGAATCCAGTTGAGGCGTTTCCTTTTGGTCTTTTGCAGACTCTCGTGTGGGTCTTCAGTAAAGCACAGGTCAGAGCCCTGATCTTTTAGGTTGACTGAACTGTAATGGCTTGATGGGGTTAGACAACAGGTAAGACGGCTGGAAAGCTGTCCTCTGCATCTTCTTTATCTCGACTGATGCTGATTTATTTGGGGTAGGAACCTGTTCAAAGCTCTCTTGTTTTACGGTGCAATAGCAACGGTGGCCATACTGAAAGCTGCCTGTTAACAGTCGATTAGGAAATGTTAAATGTTGATTCCACGGTACCAGTCTTATTTATATTGCGGTGAAAGATGTGTTCACCACTTAAGGTAACCTTGTTTAGCTATGGAGGTGAGTGCATACCAATGCCCATTGTAATTTAAGGTGTGCTCAGGCGCAATACAAACTTGTTTCCTTCTTCTATTGTCTCCCAACATATCTAAATATTGAATAATTAGTTTTCACACCCTTCTTCTGCATAAAAATATAATTAAAAATAGGCACTCTTGTTTTTAAATGCTCCCTTCCGGACAGAAACTGCTTTGTTGTGCTCCTGTGTGATGTAACTAAAGGCCCGCTCACACACATGCGTTTGACTAGAACCGACTGAGACATGACCGGTTTTCAAGTTTATTGCAACAGCAAGCGACTGGATGAATGGCTGCGGAGCTGGTTGCAGACCGTTACAAGAGGCTTAAGAGCCGGTCTTGTCTCAGTTGGTTGTAGTGAAATGCATGTGTGTGAACGGGCCTTAAGGTAGTGTTTTCCAAACTGTGGGTCACGACCCCGAGGGGGGGTGGCAACAAATTCATTTGGTGGTTGTGAAGCAGAAACTTGCAAAAAGACAAACTGTGCTTCTCTGCAGTGATGAGAACAAACAACAGGTCAGAGCTCAGTGTCGATCCGGAACCGAGCGTGGCAGTGTCCAAAGTCCGCCCTCATTTTGAGAAACTGCGCTCTAACGAACATGCTCACTTTAGGCATTAGGGCAGTCGATCCTGCTGATGTGCATTTTTCCTTTCGTTTCAAAAGGGTTTTTGGCCCCAGTTGACTCACTCTGACTAAATAAGCTGTCAAATGAAACTTTCAGCTCAATTTCCTAGTTGAACCTCGATTTAACGAAACACGATTGTACAAATTTCCCGATTTAACGAATGAATTCGGATTCCCCGCGCAGCCTATGTGCAAGGTCTACCTTTCTTGATATTACGAAGTTCCCGATTTGATGAAGTAATTAGTGGATCCCGGTGACTTCATTAAATCGAGGTTCAACTGTATTAGTGTTCATGCACTGAAATCGAAATGCTCGTGGCATCGCAAAAAGTAAATAGGGGGGGAGGGGGCACAATATTTTATGTTTTTGATGAGTCGCAGGGCAACGGAGTTTGGGAAGCACTAAACTAAAGCAGTTCACTTCCTGGTTTTTCATTTAGAAAAAGTTGGGGTCAAAAGAGGAGAGGCGTGTGCTGTGCATTTTGAATTGTGTTTCATCCCTATTACCCTGAAGCAGGGCATGCCAAAAATTATTTTTCTATACTGCCAGTGTCTTTGATGGTTTAGATTCCCGGAGAGATCTATTATTTGGACATTAATGAGACTGTGACTATTACTAGCCCACCTTAAAAAAAACATACAGTGGGGGCCAGAGGCATCAGTTCAGTGCTCTGAAGGGTGTCCACTCTATATGCGCTCGTGCAGTGGAAACACCTTTCAGACCTACGAGCTCTGTGCGCCGATTTCACTCCGTGTCCTTAGAGGCAACCTGGTGGGTGTCAGCTTCTTTCTTCAAGCTCTCTTTCTTTTCTCGCTACTGAGGGTAAGTCGGCCTTAGAATCTCCTTTTAGTTGCCTTGGTGCTCAGTAGGCAGGGTTCTCCCCACGGTGGGCGGCACTGGCTTTGCCGCCCACCTCTCCGACTGACCCCTCATTGCACTGACTGACCACCCACCGCTCAATTATGCCGCAGGATGGTAATGCGATTTTGCCTGTGCACAGGGCTACAGACCGTCAACTCGGCTGTGAGCGGCGGTGAGCAGAGCCGAGAGGAATTTTCTCTCGCTGCTCAATGCTTGCTTGTGCCGTGGCTTGCTTTATCTTCACCTCTACGCTCACTCCCTGCCTTTCCTTCCCAGTTTTTTCCTTTTGGTTTATCACCACGACATGGCACCACTCACAGGGCTGCAAAGTTAGAGATCCTATGCAGAGTGCGTTCTTTTGGCAAGCCAGATTGTGCCGTGTTGCGACCCTCTTTCCCCCCGTCTCCCCGGCCGCTCGCATGGTGGTATGGTGGTCATGTTCACCCCTAAAAAACTTCCTGGGGAGAACCCTGTCAGCAGCTTATCATATCCTGAATTTCATGCGATTGGGGCATCCTCTTTTTCCCTTGGACGCACGAGAGGAAAAATTGGAAATATTTTCAGCTCTGCTAAAAGATATCTACAGGGGGGTATTTTTTTTTATTATAGGTCAACTCTAGCCAAAAATTAGCACTCTTTTGTTTTCATTTAAAGACTGAACTGATATCTTTACTTCTGAACAATTTCACAAAACTTTGCCTTTCTTTCTCTGAAGCATTTTGCAAGAGCAGAGAAGGACCATGTTTCTTTGCTTCCTTTTTAACATGCTTCTTCTCGCAAAAGCGCAAGCATCGCAGTTTCTTTTTTGTGACGGCATAACAAATTAATCGTACAAGGTGTGAGGAACGTCTAGGATTGCTTTTACATCATGCTGGCCAGTCAGTGACAAAACCAAAATGGGATTACTATTCTGTAATGTAATTTGCATTGTTTTTATCTAGAAGTTAAGTTGCTGGATTGAAATTATGCAAACTTTCTCAGTATGACATACTAGTACTTTCTTGGCTGGAGGGGAACATAGCACGACTGCATTCTGTTGTAACATTCTGCTTTGCAGCACTTTTTAAACTCGAAGCAGCTAAAGCTATCTGATACGAGTTTAGTCTCTTTCACATGAAAACATTTTAATGTAAAAATACACTGCGCAACACTGTTAGCACGAACACAGCATTGACAGTCTTTTGCATTTCACTCCGAAATGAGAGCACCAAATCTTATTACTTAGGTTAGTACCCCAAATGACTATCTTCAACACTAATAGTTTCGATGACAGCCCTTCGATTCTGAGAAAAAAACAGAAAAAAACAAACGCAATCACTTGTTCGCACTAGCAGCGTCTCGCAGTGTACGTACTCTCGACTCGTGTATTTCGGAGTAAATCAAGAGAGAAAATGGGCAGCCCGAAGTTACCAACATTAGCCATGTGTTCTCCTAGGTGTCTGTCCTCACTCCCATGTTTGGCAGCAGTTGGCTTACAGTCGATGAGCAGTACAGCTTAGATCTGGTGCTTTTCACCCCATCTCATAGAGGTAAACTTTGACCCTCCTAGAGGGCTGGGAGCCAGCAAGCTCTCGTTGGGTTGCCCTATACCGCCTCTAGACACGGGCAGTCTTCGAGGCCACTTGCACGAGAGCGGGAAACCTCTTGCGGCAAATCCGCCTTCAGCACGCAGCGGTGGTGTTTCGTTTTCCGTCCAGTGCCTGCGTCCGATTTTGGAGGCACTCTCTCCGGTTTGCGGTGTAGCCTTGTTTCTTGGCAGTTGGTTTGAACGGCGTGTGTGGGGAAGAGTTTGTCCTGCTCGAAAGAGTGGGGTGGGTCGACTTGCAGGATTTAGACGTCGGTTTGTGGAACCAAGGTCCTCGGATAGACCACATACTGGCCCAGAAATTTCGGCTGTTTCTGCCCTAGTAAATAGTAAATTTTGTCACCAGTAAATTTTGTCACCACAGATCTGTGTAGGAGTACTAACAAGCGAAAAAAAGGAAGAAGGGTGAAGTTAAAAAAAAGTTCTGCAAAACATTTTAATCATTCTTTTCTATAAATGTAGTAGCCTTCACACGGCGTTTCAATTCTAAAATAACATGACCCCTAGGTCTCGAGTATAGGTGACGTCTTGAATGGTCCATACTTTCGACGGGTCCGCGGAATTTTCCGAGAGTAAACGCACCCGGCGAATTTCTCCGCGGCGGCTTCTCTGAACCCATGTCCGTCCGTCGGGTTCTCCGAGCGATCCGACTGATTGACTCCTAACGTCGGCGGCGTGTCTCTGGTGCTTCAGTTTGTCTCTAGGGAAACTTTCCCAAGTGTGACGAGAAGATTCCGGACCAGGTAACCTAGGGGCCGTGGCAAAACTCCCAGGAGTGGGTTAAAGGACCTTTCCAGACGTGAGACCTTGTTGTTACCCGAGTGCCATTCCTTTTCGGTGTTGAGGCTTTGCATCTCTCCCCTTTCATGTTATTTGTGGGCTGCGTTTGAGAGAAGTTCCTCCACCAACTTGCTCGGTACAGAGGCGCACAGGTGGAGACATTGCCATATTCATACTTGTTAATTTAGCTGCAGAACACCTGACTTGACTCTAAATATTTTCAAGGAGCTGTAATTCGGTTGTATCTCAATCGTTTTGAAATATTTGAAACTTTAGACACCAGTTTAGATATTAAATCGAATGTTGGTGTAAAAATTATTGATAAAAGCGGTGCCAACGTCTCTGATTTGACTCGATCCACTTTGGTAAATCTTCTTTCCAACGAGGCAGTAACGGTACATTTTCGATTTAACTCGCCACATCATATCTCGACCCGTGCATTTATACTAGCCAGTTTCGTGCCCGACATATACTACGACCATACTAGGAAGCTGTCTCAATAGTTTTCTTTTTCATACAGCTTAGGTGCCGCAAGGTAAGCTACCGTCAGAGTATCGTCACTTGGTTCCCGTTTTCTTGAAAATGCCCTCTTTTTGGTGCCACCATTGGTGATTGTTACAATTCGAAAATGCGACTTCGAATAACTGGCAACGAGTTTAGGTGCCAGGATAACCGGGGTGTCGTTACTTTGAGGCATAGCCTATCTGTCGGCTCTGGGTGCCGTGTTTCACTTGTGGACGTCTTCCCGTTACTTCTGCCAACCTGTGTCTCCCATCTTGACGGTTCGCGGTACTCTTGATTATTACGACTTGTACACTACTGTTATTACAAAGTATACGCCGTCGGTAGAAGTGGAGCATTTGGCGGAAGAAAGTGTCGCACAGGGTATAGTCGTCCTTAACGCAGTCTAAATTTGTGGAGAGTGCTGGAGCAACTCTCAGTCTTTTTCGGAGATTTAGAAATGTCTAAAAGTAGGAGGTAACGTCCCTGTGTAATAATTTAATGGAGGACAAGAAGGTCATGCTTATTAGGTATGCTTATCTTACCACATCCGTACCGTGCCACTGTATCTCCTTTGTGCGCAGTGGGCGAAACTAATGTTGCTCGTCTACCAGCCTTGCCAGCTGCTGCTACTAATATATTCTTCGATTTTCTCAGAGTCTGGTATTAGCGGGTAGCCCTACTAATTACGGAAACTCAAAGCGTACACTGCAGCCCGTTTACTATGTGGGCCGTATTACCTATTCTGCTTCTTTCACGAAGCTGGAAGCATGGCTTTGCATTTTCGTATTGTTTTGAAGGGTCCATGAGGTAATTTCCCCGCAAATTGTTACAGAGCGTGTACTACTACTACGTATATTCCGTCTCGCCGTAACTTGGCAGTCAATGAAGGCACATTGGAGGGAGACTACGCTCTATCTCACCAGTTGCACACAGTGCTGTCAAAGCCTCAGGCGGGAGAGGGTGGAAAGCCACCTTTGTATGAATTTTGAGGCGACATCTGGGATGCACAAAAGAGGGTCCGGGTGAGAGGCAAGTTCCTCCTTCCCCTCTTCTCCGACTGCTTGAGTTATGCTCTTGCCTCTGTCCTTTGGTAAGTGCTGTTACGTGCTTTGCCTCCATTGCTCCGATTGGCTCAAAGGGGCCGTAGCGTTCACCTTTTGCCAAGTTACAGTGAAACAAAGTATGCTAGTACTATACATGTTGGGAGGGGCAATATCAGTTGGAATGGGCGTCTGGCTGCTGAGCTTTCGTGCAGACCACACTGCCCAAAATTGCACGTGACAACCAAGACCAGCTTTGCTAAAGCCGGTCTACTTACAATTGCTTAGCTTGAAAGTTAAAGATTGTGCTTCGGCTGGATGCTGTTGTGGACAATCTTAACCGACGCAGAGTTGTCAGCGCTCTTCTATTTCACGCAAGATTTAGCCAAAATTCTTTCATGGTCCCTTCAAGGTTTATCTTCGAGTGTATGAGCAGGGAGGTTCGACAACGTTGTTGGCAATGGTTTACGACGCGCATTAATTGCTTGTGTCGCTGTGATCGGCGACGATTTACAGGTTCTAATCAATGCAAATTGGGAATTCTTTTTATTCAAAACAATTTTTTTTTTTACTAAGGTGGGATGTGTACAGTTTTATGTTTTTGGCCCATTAAATGGCATTTTGAGACCAGACATAACGATGTAGCAATCGAATTTGCAGTATATCATAAGCTCCCCTTTATGGATTGCACTCAATTTTCAATAGTAACTTTTTATGTTTTACTTTTTCATGATGCAGACTTTACATGTCATCTAACCTGCTTTAGTGTAACATGAAGTGGCCATCTTTTCGTGAAACCATTTATTAAGCAAATGTATCTTTGTTCTACTGCTTCAATCATTCCTTGTCACCTGTACTGTGCAATCCACATTAGTTGTGATCATATTTTTTTTTGCCTAAGCTTGGTTATAGAATTGTCCTTTTGTCCTTTAAATGTTAGTAGTGTACAGTAGGCTTTCCTTTTATACAGCCGTAATTAAAAGTATGCAGATGAGAAAGCTCTAAAAAGGTTTACGCTTTTCAAGCTTTCTTGTCCATCAAAGAAACCCTCTCTCCCAAGGTGGTTGCATGTCTGTGGAAAACAGTGTGCGAGTATCTGCAGAGTATATTTTGTAAAACGGAGGTGGCGACTTTTCTACAGGAGTGATTGAAAGAGCAAGCCATGGTCCTGGTTTTCAAGGTACACGGAATAGCTTTTGATGGTCTTGGCTTGTTCCATCTCTTTGCGCACACGACGAAGGCGGTTTCTTGGGGACAAATTGTCCAAGTGCTGGGTGAGGAGCCCAATGTTGTTTCATTGTATTGGAGAGAGAGCTTGGCTATGTTTCCAGGCACAAAACCTTGCAAAGCTGTAAACTATACTGAGGGCGTAAGTGTCCGCAAGCATGTCAAAGAAATGCACTGAACCACCTGCTTTGGTTTCTGATTTGTCCTGCCAAATGGTGTTTGTTGACAAAATGACGACTGTGCTATTTTAAAACCGAAATGGAATAAAGCTTTTTTTTTTTTCTTCTTTTTCTCAGTGCCGAGTCTGTAACACCGCCGTCTAATGTTGCCTTGTCCATCTGCTGTAAGCTCGGATTTGTAGCCGACATGTGCAAAAAAGGTGCACATTTAACCCTTTGACGCTTGCCGCCGTACATGTGCAGCAGCGATTACACATTTGAAAAAGCCCACCTAAATGTGAAATTGAGCACACTGAGAGAGGTGTTGGTATCTGTTACGTCTTTGGTGAATGATAAACATTCTACTCATACGGTGTTTTGCTTTGCTGGGCCATTTATAGTTTTCAATTAGACGCTCTACACACATGATGCTTACTTTGCACGCTGGCCGCTCTGGCGGTAGTGCCAACAATGGGAGCACTGGCCTTCCGATTCAAATACTTTTAGGAATTAAATTCAGAGGATGAGAGTTCATCATCCCACGAAGAGGCTCTGTAAAGTACCTCCGGTTAAGAATCTGAAGCTGCTGGATTGTCGTGGAAGCGGATGCGCCAAAATAAAACTGAATGGAAGAAAGGTTCATCTTTTTTTTAGTCTAAAAACCGTGCAAGCACTGTACGTGCTTCCACTATATAATTAAGAAAAACCTGCGCATTGACCCTTTCTTTATATTATTTCTTTAGAAACAAACCCCAACCACTGGAAGACACCCCTTGAGAAAAAAAAAATACTACTACTGCCCTTTTTGTGCCATGGATGCAGTTCCATTCCTTTGGAAGCCGCGACCACAAGCTCATGCCTTTTCAAGTTACGCCCGTTGCTAGAACAGATGCAACTGATTGCCCATTTTTGCAAGAATGACGAGCTAAATCCTACTATACATTAGAACCTCGTTATACATTCCCAGTCTTTGTTTTCCCGGCTTTTACGTTCGAAACCGCCGGTCCCGCCAAACTTCCAGCCCTTGGGGCCTTGTCGTTTTTTACGTTTTCAGGGATCAAACATTTTTCCTCTTGCGGTCCCTTGAGAAACATATCAATGAGGTTCTACTGTCTAGGTCAGCAAGGTTCATCATGACACGAAATTTCATTTGAAAAGCAGTCCACTAAAAAGAGCAGTTATACAGTCGACTCTCGTTAATTCAAAATCTCTTAATTCAAACTTTTGGATAATTCACACTAACGTGCAGGTCCCATCCTATGCGTCTCTATGGGAAGAAACTCCTGATAATTCAAACTTTGCTTTGTTCAAACAAATTTTCGGCCCCCCTCGAGTTTGAATTAATGAGTCGACTGTATACACAGTTGCCGTAAAATCCCGTGATGCCCTATCCCCGAAAGACAGCCCACACCTATGTATGGCTTCATTTGCTATATTTTTTAACCATAGTAACCACTCATAGTAATAGTAGTGTTGGGATCAATGATGGCTTCGGCGTAAATGCGGCTAGTTAGCTATGGTAAAATAGAAGCAAACGTTGCCGACTGTGAAGTACAGTCCTCTTTGCTTCGTTGCCCCTCAACACGATAACAAGCTTGGAAGGGACACATGACCTGAAAATATAATTTTTTCAACTTTTGTTTAGGTATACACCGGAAGTTAGCCCACTCCATATTTTCACCCGATTTGCTCACAGTCTTAGGTGGGCTATCTCGGTATGTGTTAAAGCAAACTTTAAAAAAGCTTTGAAACTGCTGCTACTTGCAGTATAGAGGTTTTTTTGCGCGACACAGGGGACAATTACAAGCGAGTAGACACGGAAAAGCGCTTTTCCGTGTCTACTCGCTTGTAATTGTCCCCTGTGTCGCGCAAAAAACCTCTATACTGCATCATGAACCAACTAGGCCAACAACAAGTTTTAATTGACTACTGCTACTTGGCTGCACTCACCTGAAAGATCTTTCCTCATCAATCCCAGCTCCTATATTTCAAGTGATGTTCTAACCTTAGCCACAAAGTATATTTTACTCGAGGGTCTTTCAGAGAATAGCTTAGATGAGTTTGATTTGAAAACAGAAACATTAAGCTACTGTGCTTGTATCCAACACATTTTCATGTCAATGCAGGTGTTTTTTTTTCTAGCACAGCATGTGGGCAACCAGTCGGGATTTATGGAAAAGCATCAATGAACAAGGAGACGTAGATCATTTTTGAGCCCAAGAATATCTGTGCTAGGATCCCGATACCGCCACAGCAACATGCCTGTGTGGACACTGCACATGTCTTGTTTGACTTATCTTCACATCCTGCACCGGCTACACACTGCCGTATTTGTATTTGATTTACGAGAAACTGGAGAGAACAACGAAAGCCTTGGTATGACAAAAGCATTCTTAACAACAGCTGCGAGTTTCCAGATGAAGCAGTTAATTTTATTGGTGATGAAGGGAATGCCAGGAAGACGACGAGGTGAAACTTCAGTGGTGCTGAGCCAACTGTTTGAGCAACTGTCGGCGACGTTTTTCCAACTCCTCTTCGCTTACGTCGCTGTCAGAGTTCCACTGCTGGGGTGAGGAAAACAAGCGAGCACCGGTGATGCTTACCACAAACGAAAACAGTAAATAAACGCTTGACTAATGCTTTGGGAGCTGCCTCGTTTTACTTGTTTTACTAACTATGCACCTCTCTAAACCCTCCCAGATGCTCCTTGACAACTTGAAAAGGAACACGGCAGCCTCAACCATGGACGACAAACGGCCAAGCGTTATTTGTTTTCTTCCGAATCGACCAATGTCTCTGGTGGCAACTCCCCGCCCAAAAGGTTTCCTTGGTTGAGTGGCATCTGCATGCACATCCGTCCCATTCAGTAACAAGTCGTTGCAAGGTTTGAGAAAAAATTAGAGGCGCATTGCGGCACCCTCGAATACTTACGTTTTTCGACTTCATCTACCCTTGAGAAACGAAGCGAGTGAGGGTTAGGGAAATGGGCAGTAACAAAAGCCTTAAGTCATTAAATGGTAGTCACACTGTAACCAAACTCTCTACTTGAAAGTACCCCTTCCCAAAAGGCGTTGTACAGAAATGAAGCTTCTTGGCAGACCGCATTTCCCCAACGCAAACGAGGTCGGTCGTTACGCACAAAGCTACGAGAAAGCTACTAGTCTTTCGGAAAGGTCTATAGGAAGTGATAAGCGGAAGGAGTAGCCTCTCACCTTCTGGTCATCCTTGTGGTCGACCTCCCCTTCCTCGCGGGTGTTGCTGCGGCTACGGGGAGCTGAGGGTGGCGCGGGGACTGGGGGCGGGCCGGGGGACGGGGCGGGGGCCGGGCTCTTGCTCCGGCTGGGCGACTTGCGCTTGTCCTTCTTCTTCTTCCGGTGTTCCTTCTCGGACTCCGAGTCGGAGGAGGGCTGCCGAAGCGAAGGTTCCTTTTAGCACACGCCCCTGTTTGCCCTTTTCCAAAATTGATCGGCTCATTCACTCGCCACATTCGAGTCTTCCTTAGCTTCTCACTTTGTTCTCCATGTTTCCACCTGTCACTTACACTGCAAGTTATACTCGAGCAGTGTTGGGCTAGCGGTGCTATAAATCTGTTATAATACAGTTGTGCCTCGTTAATATGGACACCTTCGTTCCCCAAAAGAATCATCCATAATAATGAGAGGAAAATGAATGTATTTACTCGGTTTGTCCGCGAAAATCTTCTACCCATAGCGAGGTATCCATAATAATGATGTCATAATAATGATGTCCATATCGACGAGACGTGACTGTACCCCATCTGTGCCGTGAAGGGCATAGGTGCGAGGGCGCAACTTTTCGAAATGCTTAATTTTCACAAGTACTCGGACTAGGAAGGTCTCCTTCTAAAGCCACATGCTTGTGCTTCCCACAAGCCTGAAAAAGAGTTCTTTAGATGGAATGTAGCTCAGCCTTTTAGTGCAGCTAGCGCAAGACTCTGCTTTCAAAGATGCATGCTATCCACTGCTACAATCACCCATGATTTTAGATTACCAGGACTGACCTTAGTCAGCTCACTCCAAGTTTGAGCATGCAGCCCTAGGATGTCCTTCTACAGTATTAGAGCTGCAATAGTGAAGTAAGAGCTTCCATACTACCTTTCTTCATCCAAAGGGGGCTGAAACAATATTTCCAATACACTTGACTCAGTAACTAGCTGTTTAATAAATAGTAGGATAGTGGGTACCTAAACTTGTAAGAGAGGATGGAATTTGAGCTTATGAAAACCCTTTTACACCAGTACTGTCAATGACATGTGCCAATTTTGTTTAAGATCTACAGTCGCTGTCGAAGGCCGGAACGCACAAGTGTGTCACCTTCCCCAGTGCAATGTTGATGCCAAATGGTAATGAGGAAACTTGATGTCATTATTTTCATGAGGAACGTGCGTCTAACGGTCCTTCCGTCGCCCCTTGACATTATTGTAGTAATAGAAAGTTCGTTCATGAGCTGGCAGCATTTTGTCAAGCCCTGCACAAGCTTACCATGTATGTCTAAATTTTAGGCTGGGATTGTACAAACACACTAGGTACCTATTTATGATCGAATTTTGTCATTTCTTACCTGGCATGCTGTCGTGATGCGGTGGTCTGACCAGTGCCATATCTCTAATGCCTCTGTTGTACGGAGAACTCGAACATAATTTAATTCTGCACTTGGAGCAGTCTGGGAATTGGCTCGCACCCCTGGATCATTTCATTGTACAGGGCATGGGACGATTCACAAACCGCTCAAGTATCGTAGGCATAAAGTTGTAGTGAACTGCTGCCTTCTCAGTTAACTGGTTTCTATACTGAGCAGCCTTAATCTAGAAGCAGAAAACGAATGCCGCGCTCCTGCTTTTCCCATTTACGCAATGCTCTTGCAAAACGGAAACGAAGGTTGCGGCTAATATTAGCTCCGAAGAATTCAATTAACAGGAGCATAGGTTATGCCATTGTGCAAGTTGGCAGGAGCAACGCCAGCAACCATGATACGCCCAAAAGGCTCTCGGATCGTAAGCTGTCTCCGTCGAGAACGCCTACAGGAGATCTCGCATCAGCGCAAAAGAAACGACAATCTCCAGGTTGTCTGCAATTGCTTTATCTTTTTAAACTTGAAAGAAACTTAACAAACAGGGCCTTCCTGAAGTGAGGACGTGGCAGTACTTTGGTAAACAAGGCGGTGCAAACCGTACGCAAGACGAAGCATGCAGCCGTTCTGCAGAGAGGAGATTAAAGCTGTGCAGTCTTGGCTAGCCATTCGAGCATCCCAGTACAGGTGATGATGATGATTCCCTCTTTTTGTGCAATGCACTGCATCATATGGTTTAAGGTAGGATAGAGTGCCGAGTCAGTCTTTTCTTCTTTCCTCCTCCCTCGAACTTACGCTGCTTCGTGACTGCTTCTTCTTTTTGCGGTCCTTTTTCTTACTGTGTCGCTTGCTTGAGTAATCTGCGAAACAAGATAAAGAAAACACACATTACGGCTTTCTCAGAATAGCCTGTCGCTGAACACACAATGGTTCTAGTTCACTTTGGCGTCTGGACCTAGTTACTCTCGCTTGTAGAGCCACAACTGTGGGGCTGCACGATGGAATATTATTCCAAACTGGAAGCTCATCAGCCTTAGGCGTAAGGTGTTAGCGCATGAGGTGCGTGATGAGCAAGTGTGAGTGCATAATTTCTGGGAGTATCCAAGGTGAAAACGCAATGTGCATTCTTTGACTACAAGAACAAGCAAAACGAACGTTAGCAGATCATTCCAGTTACTTTTATCTAAAAACAAATGTTTCTTGCATCTCCGATTCTTTCAAAAAGAGGTTGCCAAAATTAGTTGTGCAGCTTATAATAATGTCCTAATGTAAAAAAAAAAAAAAAAAAAAAAAAAAAAAGAAGTAAATAAGGCTTAGGCTTATAAATACAGTAGAAGCTCGTCGATACATTCTTGGTTGATACGTTTTCCCAGCTGTTATGTTCAAAAACGCCGGTCCCGTTTTACTTCCATAGAGATACATGTATTAGTTTCCTGCCTGTTAAGTTTGCTTTCCCAGTTGTTACACCCAAAAGCGTCGGCATTGCAGCGCCTTGGCGCGCCGGACGCCAGGCTGCCACGCTGGCTTCGAAGCGAAGCTAGTGGAGCAAAGCCGAACCATGCAATGCGGGTCGCACGGCACGCGTGGGCACGCAGACGCCCGTCTTCCCTTTACTCCTTTCCGCATCTTTTCCGTCTCTCTGCCTCCTCGCTGGGCTTTGCCGAGCCCTGCCACAGCTTCCCATCTTGCCCGGGTGTGACCTTGGAGCACTGCTCGGACGGGGAGCGAGGCTGGCGAGGCGACAAACGCTCTTTCTTTCTTTCATCTGTCCTTCTTTGGCACGAGGTGCGCCCGCATGCACGCTTCTACCTAGTTTTTGTTCCGCTCGATTGCGTGAACCGTGGCGTTACAGAGCATGTGCGCCTAAAGCCCCTCGATGTGTTTGCGTTTGTCTTGCAAGTAGCGTCAAATGCGCGAGTGCACGAGGCCCATGTCCCGAGCGGCCCTTGGAAGCAAATGGCGGCGCAGCACTGAAATGAGCGGGCCTTGGAAGCGAATGGCGGCGGAGCACCCGCTCATGGCACGTGTCTCGCGCGCTTCCACAACAATGGTTGGCGGTACTTGTAAAAAACGCTTTTATCAAGGGGCTTTATGTGCGCCTTGCGCCCATATTGACGATGGTCATGGCTTCGCGAAAAAGGGAGGCACTCTCTTTTAAAGACAAGTTTGATATACTTTAGATGCTGGATCACAATTCCAGCCGGGAGAGATCTGACATCGCAAGAGACCTTGGACTTGTGCCGTCAACTTTGAACAGCGTCGTCGCTTGACAACAACGTCGTTACCTCTGAACCGCAGAGCATGGCGAACATCGTGGCCAACCTCACTACTGCCGACAACGAAGAAAGTGATGAAGATGTCCAGCAAGAAACTAACAATTACGCTGCGCCCACGTTTGCGGACGCAATCGTTGCAATGGACACCTTGTGCCGCTACATAAATGTTCACGGCTGCGCGAAGAGTGAGAGAGGACTGCGGCTCCGGGAGAAATGGCTTTTACTGCTTAACAATAATTCGAAGCGGCAGGTGGATATTACGCGCTTTTGCAAACATGTCCGAGTTCAACAGTTCTGTAAGTACGCATAAAATAAACCGTTGTATAAGTATCTATCTATCTTTCTATCTCATGTAGAGCACCCCTAAGTGTGTTATCGGTCGTTACGTTCTTTCGAATGATACATTCTTTTCCGCGGCCCCCTGAAAAACGTATCAACGAGGTTCTACGGTAGTATACCAAGCTTTCTCTGCCTTGATGATCCAATTGAGCAAGCACACTTACCAGAGTCGGAGTCTGACTCCTCAGATTCTGACCGGGACCTTTTCTTCTTGCGGCTGCTGCTCTTGTGCTTCGACGAGCTATCCGAGTCGCTTTCCTGAAGGAGTGGGAAGGGGGGAACGCAATCACTGCAGCAACAAGACAACACCCCGGCTAGTGGCGGCCGCCCGCATTGCTCTTTACAAACGGAAACGAGGGCGTCAAACAACACGAAAGCTTAGAATGAGAGGAAAATGAGGCTTATTGAGTTCAAACTGCTCGCACACTCTATTTCTAGCTGCCCTTAGATCGACCGTAGAAACAATAGCAATGTACACCCACATACATGCGCACAATGTGAGTGACAACACTCGATTTTGGTCTTTTGCTACGACTGTGGTCCCCACAATCCGCACTCTCCCTCGATTTTTCGAAACTTCCGAGCTTCAGCCCTGGCTTGGACCCAGCATTTTGAAGACTTGGGCTGGGGTGTTCATTGCTTGTACTGTTTGCGATAGTACAAATCAATCCACATACAACAGCCTTACTTATAAGAAGGATTTAGAGCTAGCAGATTTTTGGAGTTTGCTACGAGTCAACTGCACTGTTGCTACCATCTTTAACATGGCTCCAAGGTTGTGGCTGTTGTCACGACATTAGCAACTACATGACGCCGTCATTTAGCTATGGGGGATCGGTGCCCGAGTGTGTTAGCACACTGCGGCTCGGAGCACGTGAGCACTGCAAAGACACCGATGCCCACTGGAGCTGACCAATTTCCCGCCGTCTAAACGTGCGCGCGACGCAATTACTTTGAGCAAGCAACAAAGATGGGGTGAACCTGCATTTTTTACTTACGGATCGGGACCTCGAACGCTTCTTGGCCTTTTTGCTTTTCTTGCTGTGCTTTTTGGAACGGCTGTGATGATGACTGCATGCCTCCTGCGACGACAAGCGTGCACCCGGTGTCACCGACGCGACGCGACATTGCGGGCAAGCGATGTCTCACCTCGAGGGTTAGCTGGTACTCCTTGAAGATGCGGATCCTCTCAGACTCCAGGCTGAGGTTCACAAAGGCGGATTCCTTCTCAAACTGCTTCCTCACCTAAAAACAAAAAAAAAAATATTCTTTTAGCTGTTTTACTTTGGTGAAGAAGGAAGACCAGTGAAGCTGTACTATGCTGGGAATGAGTTAATGGCCGGCTGCAAGCCGGCAAGCCTGAATGGAAAGGCCTCGAAAGGTTGCCGTCACTTATGAGCAACGGTGGCAACCAGACAACCGGCAAGCTGGTTGTCTGGTTGCCACCATCGCTCATAGATGACGGTAGCTGTCCAGAGTTCTGTATCACCAGGTCATTCGAGGATGAACACAGTCCTGGGGAAACTAGCCCTCAACAGCTCCACTGTAAAAAAGAAATCGACTTAGCATTGAATTTGCACGCGAGTCTGTATGGGTTCTGCCTCATTTGATAAATGCACACGGGCGAAACAGGTGCGGTGGTAGCGCAAAATACGATGCAGCGTTGCGCTAGAGGCAATCGCGGCGCAGGCGTTTCTCGGCCGCGGCAACTCTGGTGCCAGAACTCCAGGAACAAGGCGTGCCGGAACGGACTAGACGAGCATCATGAACACTCGGAAAGCACACCGAAGCAAGGAAAGAAAGAAATCGCTGGGCAATTGTGTTACGCGTGAAACATTCCGGGATCGCTGCAGAACATTACCGAGCCTGGCGTCTACACTCGCAGCGCTCTTCGTCTGATAACTTAACAAGTGGCATATTTACTTGATAGCAGTTCCTAAAATAAAAATACTGATACTGATCTTTTATTTTTTTTTGCTAATGTGACCTCTCTCACCAGCCAATAGCCATTGAGCTTTGAGGCTTCACCTTAGGGCTTCATCGAAATCTGAACACCCGCCCGACTAGACAAAGGACGTTTCACAACAAAAAAGAGTGTGCGCGCTTGGAAGGAATGCTGGGAGCCTGGAGCACGCTCATCTAGCGTGTCTGCAAGGAGTAGAGCATGTTGCCGGCAGTGTTCCACGTTTCACCTTGTGATGCAACCTGCATAAGGTTGCATCATCATTATAAGCGGTCCATGGCTATACCACGTATAGCCATGGACCGCTTATAATGATAAGTTTTTATAGTAGTTTCTGGGCTAGAAACAATCAGTTTCACATTAAAAATGTTAATGTTCGGGTTAGAAACAATCAGTTTCTAGCCCAAATACAACGATAATCAGTTATATCGATTGAATTTTCGGGTTTTCTCACGATCGTTATAAATGGATTGCACTGTCTCAGGGTCATACGCTTGTTCACCGAAGGTTAGGGAATTGCACACCAGTTTCCCCTTTCTTTTCACCAGAAACCCCGATAAAAGCGAATTCTTCGTCCAACATTGAAAATAAGACGCCAAAAATGCAGAATCTCGGGGGAAAAAAATTAGCCCGAAAAAATACACCGAAACTTAAAGAAATATAAACCCTGGAAAACATGGAACCCTAGTCATAAACCTTCTTTTTCTTTCTTCTCCCATTTTTGTTGAATGGTTAAAAGTGATTCGAGACCAGTATAATCGTACCTGATCCCACGTAGAATCTGTGTCGATGGAGGGCATGGCGTTCTTCAACATGTTCCGAAAGGATGTTTCCAACCTTCGTTGCTGCGCATAAAAGACAAAGCCACTATTCCATTGAAACCAGATATTGGGTAAGGGTGCCAGAAAAATGCTAACGTGCCACATGCATGCAAACCAGTGAGGCCTTGCCACACAAACAAAAGGAAAGTACTTCAAGTAGGCAAGTTGCTGAAGCTCTGATCACCCCAATGAAATGTATAGAACCAAACATTGTCCACCGAAAACACATCGTCCTTAGGTACAGATGCGCATTAATTTAACTAAAGTCTAGAGTTCTTTAATGCTTAATCCTTTCCAATCAATAAGTTCCTTCCCCCACACACTATTTTAGGCCCCAACAATCTTTGCAGCATTGCGAATGGTGCAAGCCCCAAGCTCGGGAAAGCACCTCGGATGTGCGTTTGTTCGTTGCACTTGATTTCATGTTTGTGGCAGCGTGCATGCATTCCTGATTTTGGCAACTGTTCAAAGAGGGTATTGCCCAACAAACGAGTGGGAAGGATTAGAGCCAGTCCATGCAGTGGCAGTGCATTATGCTGCGGAGGCTCGCGTCGAGAACTGGGTGCAAGTCGCCGAGGCAACCAAGCCTCCACTACTGCGTGAACGAGCCTTTGGTGCATACTGAAGAGGAAAACATGAAAGAGCGAGAGAGCCATGTGACACGGGAGAATCTCACCCACCTTCCTCGCTTCTTCCTTGAGCCGTTCCTTCTCCCTCGCTGACGCTTTCTCCAGAAGCTGAAACAAGTACACAGAGCTAGTTGAAGGCAGAGGCCCTTTCAGGACACGCAAGCATCCTTGAGATGAGGACAAAGAAACAAAGCGAACATACTGGAGCTCGAATTCTAAATGAACAAAGGACAGTTACTCAATGCCGGGAGGCAGGCACTCTCCGGTGTGTCGAGGACCATGCCAGCACCTGTAGAGGCTTCCAAGGTCGTAATATGCAATTAGTCTTTTTACTTATTTCTATTTTGTAACCAACCTTCCAGGGTGTTAAAGGGGGGGGTGCAACGATTTTTAGATTAAAAGAATTTGCATCTCATCATTTTTACATTGTTTATCGTGTCCCGGACGACAGAGAAAACATCTTCATTAAAAAATGTCGCGATTCCGCTGCATAATTGCAAAGCAAAAGTCAAGCTTTTTGCCCCACCTGAAGCCACGAGTGGAAGCTGAAGGAAATACGGCAAGAAGCTTACGTGACCTCGCTCGGCTCTAAGCTGCAGCATAACGCCCGCTAATGTCAGCGGAGAGAGGGAGAGGAAGTGTCCTCCGAGAGAGCACACGGGAACCTACATGGCACCCCGAATTACGTCACTAGGAAAGGAACCAGGTGTGACCCTGAAGACTGGGAGTGAGTTGAGGGGTGCCAGAGATGCCAATATTTATCTTTTTTTTTTACACAACAACTAGGACACGCAGGCGAAATCGGGTTTCTGTTCTTTACTTCAGAAGTAAAGAAGAGAAAACCAGAACTTCTGGCTTTACCAGAACAACTTCCACAAATTTTTGACCGAAGTCCAAAATCGTTGCGTCCCCCCCCCCCCAACCCCTTTAAACTGGTGATCTTTAACAGCCCGGGAAATGTGAGAGAGATTTTGGGGGGTTTATGGCGCAATAGCTACGAGGCCATCTGCGCCAACCTGGGAAATGTGGCTAACAAGGAACATGGTGGACGGGGTTTTGATTTGTCTCGTAACATGACGACGGTCACGAATGTTGGCAGTCACCCAAATGATCCCCATAATTCATTTTGAAGCGTTCATCCGGTGGAAAGACAATAACCACCATCCATAGCTCTCCGGACATTCATCCTATGCCGAGACCTAAAAAGTAAATAGACTATAAAAGTGATACGAATTGAAACTACAATATCATCGCCTGCATGATAGTTAAAATTACAAGAGGCTTCAGGTGTCTGAAAGCTCTAAAGAGGCAGCAGGCCACAAAAGATCTCTTTGCTTTGCTTAGGTGTTCAAGAAACCAAGGGTGTGCAATGTGAGAATCAGGTAAGGTACTCCACAGTCACTGAATATGCCCGACAGTGGCAGTTAGCTCAACCGGTCCCAACATAAGACTTGTTACAGTTTCAGGGCGGGAAACCTAATTTTACTACTTTCACAAACTTCCACTAAACAGCTGCCAAATGAACAGGAGTGGGACTGATCCTAAATGATTGCATATCTGCAAGTTTACAAGCTTTACACTCCTAGCTGGACATTACCATTTAAAACCCAAAGCATCACTCAGGTCTGGCGATTCAAATTAAACAAAGAAAAGTAAAAAAGGGCTGCCCAACCCAAATATACTGCAGTCCAAAAACCTCTCGCTCAACGGATGAAGTTCTCCGGACATATGTGCAGCTGTTATTAACTTGTGTCTATTGATATGAAATTCCAAATGAACAAATTCTTAACTTGAGGCACTAGAAAGCTTGTGATTCCAGCATGGTGGTCACAAATGCATCGTGCTTCTTGTCGCCGACAAAACGAGAAAACAAGGATAACCGAAGCTCGTCCCCGCTGTTCTCTCTCTGTCGGCGACCGCGGTCGTACCGGCTGCGAAAGGAATTGCCACGTACGCTGTTGTAGGTGAGCTTCACGTTGCCGGCGTCCAGCGTTGCCGACCTCTTGTCCTCGCTGATCACCGTGACAAAGTCGTCGTACTGCGTGTTCACTTCCACCATGTAATTCTTCTCCTGGGGAAGGAAGGAAAAGAGCACCCACTTCGCAATCTTGTCTCCGACGCAAAAAAAAAGAAGGCTAAAGGCAAAGTGAAGTGTGCTGACCTTTAGGATCTCCTTGATGATCTTTTTCTCACCGTGGAACCTGTCTTTGAGGTCCTCCACAAAGAACTTGAAGAGATCGAGGGGCGTCGAACCTGCGGACCGGAGCGTTTTGGATCATTGGGTTGTGGACGTTTTCCTTGTCGTAATTTATTCGTGTCCATAAACCCCGTGAACCAACCAACTGTTTTCTTATTAACGTGTCTCAACAATTAAAACTAAACGATACAATTAGGTATAACGAAGCATCAGGAGGAATAGAATAGCAACTGATCTATTATATTGTTTCTAGATGCGCGAGAGGGCATTTCGGGTGCGCTTTTGGGAGAAAAAACCGCTATATTTACAAACTAGATGAAGGCAAGAGCAATTGTGCAGTCTGCAGTGACAGGAAAGTCAAAGGGCAAAGACGTGAAACTGATTTCTACTGTAAAACCTGCACTCGACATCCTGGCTTGCACCACGCCATTTGCTCCGAAAAATATCATGTGCTGTGCAAATACCGCTATAGTCTAAGCTCGTTATAACAGACCTTGATTTTGACCGAGGTTTTGGTCTTTTGTAAAAGGAGTACATGTTGTATGCAGATATGAAGTTGAGCCAATGATACATAGAGGAATACCAACCGAACTTCACAAATCGGTATGTTACATCCAAATGTCTGTTGTAACCAGGTCTGTTGTAATGAGCTTAGACTGTAGTATAGTTCAATATTTCAAATGAAAACACTTGGGGGAAGCAGAGTTATCTCAAACTGAATATATTGATCATAGCATCTTGAAAAGGTGACTTTAAAGTCAATCACTGATTTCATCTTTTTTCACTTAAACTAGTTCTGACCAGAGGGGCCTATAAGGGGAAAAGTCGCATGACCCCAAAAGGTTGAGAAAATTTTGTGAAAGTCTAATTTTCGTAAATTTTTTTATTTTGAAGATTTACGAAAAAACGAAACCCAAAAATATATTGCCTGATGGTAGCAAATACATACCGTAAAATACCAAGCAAGCGCCCACTCAAAATTTGAAGATAAGCGTGAAAAAATAGGGGAAGCGCGCATGTGAGATCATCAATTTTACATCTACTGTAAACTTCCGTTAATTCGACCTTGACGGGACCTTGAAATTTGGTTGAATTATCTCAATGATCGAATTAAAAAAAGGACAAAAAAAAGGTTAAAATGAAACTTCCTTTTATTGTCCAAAGTGCTCACGGATGGTCTGCTGCAATCTGCGTTTAAAACGCGTGTCCAAAAGCATGCTCCAGAGAGCAGCCAGAGCAACGTAACTAAACATCACGTCCCCAAAAAATCGCAATACAAAAAAAAAAAAAGTTTTGCAAGTTGACTTTGGCGTAAACTAGCCAGATTGTCAACAAAAAAAAAAAAAATAAAAGAAAAAAGGAAACGAGAATTTACGCTTTTTTGGCGAGCAAGATGGACTGCACACGATGCTAAAGAAAAGAAGAGTGGTTGTTGGGGCGAGTTGGTTTGACATCTTATACAATCTTGTGCGCAGCAAAGACGAGGACAACAAAAGAGAACGGGACACAACAAGGCAACAATGCGCCTTGTTGTGTCCTGTTCTCTTCTTGTGTCGTCTTTGCTGTGCACAAGATTGTATAAGCTAAAGAAAAAGCGCATGCCTTGAGAGCGCGCGCTGAGAAAGCTTTACGAGACAACTTTGGCACCAGGTGGCCAGATTGTTGGCGACAAAGAACAACACCAAAAAAAGAAAAAAAAAAGTTTGCATTTTTGGGCACGCTTTTCTGGAGCACAAGATGCTACAGAAAAGTGCTTTGAGAGCGCTCGCCGTCTCCGCGCCCGATCACGTGCTATGTTCTCCGCGCTAGTCCCAGCCAGATTGGTTGCACTGGCTCCTGTCATTTGCTACGGTCCATCTCAACGGCGTAGAGGAGCAGACGCATATTTGCGCACGTTCGGCTTTGCAGCAAACGGCCCCTGTTTCGCCGTATGTGGGGGTTTTTCTGCCGTGGTGCCATGCATTGTGAGCCCGCCGCGCGCATTCATTTGCGTCGGATGAATTATCCGATGCAGAGTCTTCCCGAATTCAAACTATCAAACTTTTCCTGCTATAAAAATGAATGGGCGCTCGCCGGGACGTTTGAACACGATAGAATTAAATGAAAAGTCGAATTAACCGAGGTCGAACTAACGAAAGTTTACTGTAGTGCAGTGCATATTTTTTCAGATGTCTAAAATTTTGGGGGTGGGTGCTTAGTGCGAAATGGTCAGACGCACATCATTGTACAGTAGTATAAAACCAGATTTTGAAATATTGTGTCCACGAACCGCAATATTCGTGAAATCCGCAATATTCCTGAAATATTGAGTTGGCCAAAATAAAGTCCTTTACAGTATATTTGCATTACCGTCAACGTCTTGTGCTGATCACGCGGTCAAAATATGGAGGCTGTCTGGTAAACTGAACCGTAAAAAGAGCAAAAGGACTGCCGAAGGCCTCGGATAGCCAACTTTTTGCTTCTGCAGCTTACATGGGTGTCTGACGTAAAATAAATGCCTGACTGATTGATTGACAGACTGAATGTGTGAGCTCACCGGGCTGCCCCAGCATGCTGGTAAACCGGGGATCTGCCCTGATCGTCGGGTACAGCTCCACCCAAAGTGACATGGACGTGAGCTTGCCCTTTTCGTGCAGCTCGGTCAGCAGCATCTGAAAAAAAAAATAATAATACAGCAGAAAATTTGTTGACCTCTGACGCTCCAGCTTTAACGCCAGGCAAACAGATAACCACTGTCTCTTGCTGTCGTAACAAAGAAACATGTTTTGGACTAGGCACACTTACAACTCTATCTTTTATGTGCCACAAACTACACCTCTAATGCAGACTATAATTATTTTTCTTATTTTACTCGTTATTGAATTTCAGCAAGCCTGGAGCCTGGGAAAATTGCTATTGTCATCTGACATGCCAGAAGACCAAATTGCTAATTTAAAACGTATAAAAACGAAACAGAAAATCGGCTTACTAATGGGACAATGCGCATAAGTCTGAAACAATAAGTGCAAAGAACCACAAAGCGCACTCCGAAAACTTTTTTTTGTTCCGGAAAAGTTAAGAATTTTTTTTTTCTTTTTCAGAATTTCTCAACAATAGCTTTGTTCGATTTACCTGCACGCTCTGCACCGGTGCAGAAAAGTGTAGGACGTTGTACTTTCGGCGTATCTCAATCCACATATCAAAAGTACACCGCCCTACACTTTTCTGCACCGGTGCAGGAGGTGCAGGTGAATCGAGCGCAGCTACTGATCGGCCACCTGCCAGATCGTCTGGAACAGGCGCTGACCAAGGGGTTGGAAAGGCACGGTGACCACCGGGACAGCGCCAAAGCTGCCCGAAAATAGCAGCCGCACGACAGGGGACGCTCACCACGAAGGCCTCCCTGTTCTTCCTCTGCTGGCGCTTCTGCCTCCTCCTGGCCCTCTCCTTCTCCTCCTCCTCCTCCTGCTCCAGCTGACGAATGTGGTCCTCGAAGATGATCAGGGCATCCTCCTTGTCCATGTCTGCAAGAAGGCCACACCCACCACCCTTCGGCTGAGCATTCCGAGGTCGGGTCGACGAGAACCGGACGGCCCGCACGTCTCTCCCACCCAGAGAGATGTCCCAGAAGAGCGAGGACAACAAATAACTACACCAAACGCAACAAAGGCGGGATAGCGCTTGATCTGGTTTTCAACGAACAGCACTTCCTCTCGCTGAGCCTCTCAAACTTTTCTAGCTTAGGGAGTGCCTTAACCCCTTTGATTGACAGCCAAAGAACCCCTTTCAGTCTCGGCATTAATGCAATAAAGCGGTGCAGGCGGTACGCCACTGGTCATGCATGCTACGATGTCAAACCAATAGCTGTGCTCCATTCTGACACTCGGTCCCATGGCCTGACTACAGTGCAACCACCACCAACACCAGCACAAGAAAGCAAGGTCTGTGCAAAGTTCCCGTACAAAGCCGTCACTTAAAAAAAAAAAAAAAAGTTACTCATTAATTTAGACAAGACGCCTCGTGTCAGTATCTCTTTGTTCTATTTTGAACTCACATTTTTCCGCTGTTGCTCTTGGTCGTTAAAAACCGTGGCAGAGCCCAAATTATGGTCCTCTTGAGAACCCTCCTTGGAACGCTCTAATGCCGCCAACTCCCAAATGAACACCCACCTCCAAAAAATCGCCCGTGCAGTTTTTCTGGCTAAGCACCTGTGGCGCAAATCTACCTCCTAATCTTTGACTATCCCATCAAACTCGTGAGCTGTTCGATAAGATTCCCCCCAGCCGCGGTGCTACTGGCTACAATGGAAAGTGCTCGAGTTTCCAACCAGCAAGGTGAGAGGAAAATGCTAGCCATCCCCCCGACAAAAGCGCACTTTATTTTACCGCAACATCGAAATGCACGCAAAGTAGAAAGCTGCAGCAAGCAACCGAAAAAGACACGGCCGAAAACATTCGGGGGATTAAAGTCCGACTTGGACACTTGGTCCTCCACTGTCGCCGATGCTTTCTCTCTCCCGCTCTTCGAGGTGCGTGCCGAAACAAGACTCACTGAGCAGCTCGGCGTCCTCTGCGAAGGTGGGGTTGTCCAGCAGCAAGTGCTGTGCCTCCTGCCAGGTGGTGCTGTGCAGGATGCTCGTCATAGAGTCCAAGATGTCGCTCAGCACCTGCATGTTGCGCTTGCGAAGCACCTTGGACTCCTCCTGCAATGTGGCGACGAACGAGAAAAAAAGAGCCCGCATCAGGAACGGGCCTCTTTCCGCCATTCTGGACGACAAAGAGCCCAAAAACGGGCAGAAGGTGCGATCAATACCGACGCGGTGGAAACTTTAGCCACTAACTGGAGCCGCTAAATGAGCTACGCTTAGAGTATCGGCTCTCTGTTCCCGGATATTGTGGCGGGCATTGCCATCTTGGTGCTTGTGCAGAGCAGACGCAACTGTCGACCGCCTTGATTCGAAAGTGCAACTTCCTCGGCATTGGATTCAATGTTGGACAGCTCACGTAACGTTGCTATGCTCCGTCGCGAACCGTTTAAACATTTGGGGAGGACAGAAAAGCATTCCCTGTGATTTCAGATGTAACTTTGGATAACTGGCAACCATGACATTAAGCCCCAAGACGGGTAACTGCCGTTTCTTAGAAGTGTAGCTTATGTATTTAGTGGCGCCACCACCGTTGGGATGAGAACGATGGGGCACCTCTTTTCAATGCTTCCGGCAGATGCTCGTTGCCTTACGCTTCGGCCGCACAAACATGCTTGAGGTCCATGAGGTGCTGAAGGACGTCGCAGTTTTTCTTGTCCTGTCAATAACTACATTTGTAACTAAGGTTTCTGGTCTACAGCGTTTGTTTTTGTAAGAAGCTATCCTTAGGTTGCGTTCGAATTTCAAAGGAGCTTTAGGGACCATCTTTCCACCTCCATACACGAATTTCGAGATATCTGCGGTCTGTCGTGAGAACCTCTCGAGACGATGAGAGCGAGAGAAAGACGCAGCAGCTATGAAGGCTCGTTTCCTGGTGCAAGAGACTTTACAATTACTAAACAATGTTTCGGGATAGTTGATTTAGAGTTATCAAGGGGTTGCTGCTCTACCTGACAAGCTTGCGACAAATGCCGCGCTCTTAGCCAAGAGGTCGGGCCACGCCGCCGGCCACCCTTCCGACAACGCCTCGTGACGCCGGCCTTGCCCTTACCTTCTCCTTCTTTGCCAAGAAGAAGAGGACATCTTCGTAGAGTTCCTTGCGTTCCCTCTCCGGCACCGCCTTCCAGGTGTCCACATCACTGAACATCTGCTCTGCTTTCCTGCACGGCAACCACAAGAAAGGAAGTTTCCTAAAAGGTCCGACAGCCTGTCGAAACAAGTACCTGTTATTTGCACGAGTAAAGAAACAAAAAGATGCCACTTCAAATGTACCTAAGAGCTAAAATGCAAACTATGCCAACCTTACTATTTTTGGAGGGTTATCATCGCTCTACTGATGCTGACCGGTCTAAAACATGTGACATAATGTGGCTGCTTGGAAAACTGACCTTCCCTCATCTTTTCTGTATCGCCACCTTATGCGGGACGCTTTCCGAGAAATCTGACCGCTAGGTTGGTTCTGTACGAAACAGCAACTGAACAATTTGAAGTTGAACCAACGGTGACATTTGGCTATGTGACAAGCGTTGGTTCAGCGCCACAAACTGTCCGGTCGGTCGGAACCTTTGTCACGCTCCGCAGATCTGCCGCAGATGAAGGCGTGACAATGCTGATGTCATACGTGGAACATTGCTCGATTTGCAACAAGTGTGCCTATGCTTCACCAACAAGCTGAGAGCAGCGTTCTGTTTAGATCAACAGCCCTACTTAATATTGCCAGGCTGGATTGACATGAAACATACAGGCTGCAAGTCAATGTTTGCATTGGGGTCGTAGGTCGGGTGGGGGTTATTAAACACTTTCGTCAAGCCTCGCAAACAAGCAGGAGTTAGAAGATAGTAGATCCTGTTGGCTACCTGCTTCGTGATTAAAGAGCGGTCATTCACCCATCAAGAAAATGCTAATGAAAAAAAAATATTAAAAATAGGGTGATTATTACAGATTTTAGAATAAACATCTGACTGAGATCTGTGTCACTCACACGATAGACTGTCTACATCTGACATATACTGCATGAGGCTGCAGCACACCAGTTTGGCAGTTCAGGGACTTCCTAAAGCAGACCCGGCCGAGTTAATGCCGGTGCCAACAACTATCACAGGTCTTTCTTGTCGGTCTTATAAATTGGAAACTGTGACAAATTAAGTGGAAGCTCCTTGATGACCTCCTGCTGGCTTAGATAGTAGTCCACCACATCAAGGTTAACTCACCAGATTCTTTCGTAAGAAGAGCTTGGAAGAAATGACCACATCCTCTTTAAAAACATTATCTGGCATTATACAGCAGCCTTAATAGTACTGGTACAGTCAAACACCTTTATAATGAATGCCTCTACTACGAAAATGCTTGTCTAACGAAGTAAAATAAATTCCCTGCCAATCTCCTATGTGTTCAATGTGTCTCTCCAACTACTGGAACAAATTCCGGTTTAACAAATATTGAGACAAGGTTTTTGCATGTGCTGAGAAATGGACAGAGACAGAATACCAGTCAGTTCAAACATCCATTCTCAGCAAACTCACACCACATGAGTCTCTCTCTTCCATGCTAGGACTTGGGAGCGGGTGCCTAGGTTAAGCCGGGTCAGGTGGTGATGCCGTTTGCGTCGCCGCAACATTACCATTTCACGAAGCAATTACTTGGTCCCATAAAGCAAAAATGACCGGTGCTACCAATTTCTAGGTGAAAATTAAGCGATTTTACGTTAATTGTCGCTCTTAAATGCCGCGCGTAGATAACGAATACTGCGGCGGCGGTCGACACCGCTGCTGCGCCGCTTCCACCGTGCCCCTCTGCTGTTGCCCCGCTGTACGTTCTCGAGTCCAGATAACTTGTTAGTATGCAACCCTGTGTCTAGATGGCGCTACGTGACTACGTTGCTGCAGAAAAAGCCTGTATGCAGCAACATGGTCACGCAGCACCATATAGACACAAGGTTGCACCCTAATAAATTATTTGAATCCCAAACCAAGAATGTGCGGCACGGAGACGGCGGGTGCGGCGGCGGCAGATGCGGCAATAGCGGGTCTGGCACCGCCTCTTCTTATGTTGCAAACATACTTTTGTTTGCCATGCAGAGTGCAAGTTCGTCCTCTTCTTTTGGAGGACTTAAGGGCACAGGGTAAGTCCTATACTCCCCATGCATTTGAGGCCATGTTGAGGAACATTTTTCTCGGTGACTATTAGGAGTATTCTTGTCATGTAAATATCATTTTGTTCGAAATATTGTGTTTTATCCACTGAACTAGAACTATTTGAACCAATCTTAAATAAGCTTTTTTTTATATTTTTTTATTCCAGTACTGAAATTTTAGCTGTTTTCATCTATTAAAAACTTCGTAACTCAAAAACTGCTAGGTGCACATTTTTAATTTTAGTTCAGTATTTTTGAACACCCATGTATGTGGTAGGAATAAAAAATCAACCCTCTATAATGTCAGGTTAAGGAAAAAATGGCACCTATGTACTAAAAAACACTGTTTTGAGATAATTGAGTTTAAAGTAAAAAAACTGGTGAATAACGAATTTCTATTGGCACCAACAGCCTCAGAGTCATTTTTTCAATAGCCGCCAGCTTGAAAGGCATTGCTAAAGTCATGTCTTCGCCTTTAGGCTTATCGCCTTGCTTGCCGGGCCTCTTTTGTGACCTGCTATGTCGATTGGTCCGTAAAGTATATTAGAGTGACGTCAACTTCCCTCAGCCACTTGATGGCTTTCCAAACAGGGTTCCATCCACAAAACTTCAAAACATTGGCTTGTGCAATGCTGCCACCATTGAATAAAGGAACAGCATTCAATGGCGCCATTTTGTCGGTACGAAAACACAAACGCTTGAATGTACACACGGTACACACCTGGGAAAAACGTGCACAGCATCTCGTGATTGTCGTGGTTGAAAAAAGCTATGGAATAGTTGCGAAATAATTTTTTGAGATTATCTGTTACTGGACAAGCTTTTAGGTCTTGTGTTGATTATGTTTTGTTGGAGAATTCATCGATAAACAGGGAGTGTATTCCAAAAGGAGGCGTGGTCACCTGCTACCTGCTTTCGGAAGAAGTGATTTTCAGCCCGAAATATAGCTTTCTAAAAACACTGGGACAATGGAAAATGTGCAGAAAGAACTAAACTTTTCAAATTGCGAAAAAAACTAAAATCGAATTTTTTTCAATTTTACCTTACCCTGTGCCCTTAAGGTGACGTCAGAACACCGAGCTCTGATTGGCTCCGATGGAAGGATGGTAGGTAGACCCAAAGCAAGCTGCTTCGAGGTCTACTCATCATTATACTTCAATCAGAGACAATCGCAGCTCGGCGTGCTGACGTCGCCTCAACCCCTAAAAATGCAGACGAACTTGTGCTCCGCATCGTTTTCCTCACGCCATTGATTGAGTATGCGCCACTCCGCTCCAACGTAAGTTTTTTTTCAACGCTCCGTACGGGAAATACACGCACTAATTTTTTTTATTTCGCACGTATCTTGAAGCATTTGAGAAGACCCGCGTGAACGAGGGTATATAAAAAAAGTATTTTCATGGCCAGTCGCAACCTGTTTGTGCTGTTTTGCCACTTGTTCGAACTGTGCGCTGATATTTGTCAGGATTCAAGGTTCCCAATCTTGCCCAATCCGAGTCCCAAAGTGTTCCGCCTTGGAGCAATAATATGCGGTCGAGGAAACGTGATCTGTTACCCTGCCCGTGGCACCAAAATCGAAGCGAAATCGGCAGAGCTGCACGGAAAAACGCACCCCCTCTCTCTGTGCTGGACAGATGTGGAAAAGTTCCCGGTCGGCTCGGTTGCGCGCCTCCCCCCATCCTCGCACCTCGCCAAGCCGCACGCTGCAGCTGTTGCCGTGCCGAAAGCGCGGTCTACTTTGCCGAGTGGGGGCTGCCACGACTGCCGCGCCCGCTCCTACGAGAGCGGCGCAGTCACTTTGAAAGCCTCCTGCGAGTGACACGTGGCGGCACAAGCCACTGCCCAATTTACAAAAGGCTAAATTTACACAGTCAGCAAATGCCTCTCATCATTCGCCGCGTGGTTGGGGCTCGATGTCACTGGTTTAGTGATTGTTGCAATTCATATTTCAATAATTCAATCAAGATTGTTGCATGGAAGTTTGGATGGCGGGAAATCAGTCTACGGCAAGGAGTGCCTGGTGTCTCGGCTGTAGATGACAAACTTTGCCAGCGGCGGTACTGGTGGTCCGACCGCCAGCCTGGCATCTTTAAATCGCGTCGCGCAGTGGTGAGTACGCGAATGCGTGCCGATACAATTTTTCTTTAGAAAAATAAAATGGTAATCGAGCTTAAGATGCCTGGATACTGTGCAGCGCGAGCTTTCGCCCCACCTGCTCCAAGCTGCGATGCGCCAGCAAGCTTGGCCACCGTTCCCCCTTTTGATGAGTCGATAGACCCTTTTCAAAAGTCCGCACCAATGCCCATCTGCCATTGCTTGCTCACATACCCCGAGCACGTATTGAAAACGAGTGCTGCGTCAGCGTTCGGCGAGGACTCGGACAAAATCACGCACTTCGTGTCCAAGCAGTGGCGACCGCCAATGTTGCTCGATGAACTTTTGAAGAGGGTCTATTGTCAACGTAACAAACCTCGTTTCAGATGTCGCTCATACTATATTTGGTGCTATACTTTCTCCTAAAGACTCCCGAAATGTCGTGCAGGTATGAGCAACTACTACAACAAAGTTACTTATACTACGAAAAATATTTACGGTACCACGGACTTCGTTGTAAAGGCGTATGTAAATAATTTCCACATAAATTTCTGGCTAGCAGCTATGAAATGTGTCACGAGCAATTTTCTAGCTATTGCTTAGTGAAAAATGAGTCCAGCTCACCCATAAACGAACAAACAATCCACTCAAATCTTTAAAAAATGCCAGAAGAGCAAGTTCGCACATTTTCCAGGTGGCCCCATTGCCAGACAGTGCGCAAAGTGTGGTCACTTTGAAAAACCGCAAGTTGTAACTCGCGGCTCTTGAAGGCCGACGGATGGAACGCGGACAAACTGAAACTTTGGTGGCAACGAAAGGGTGACTGGCTTAAAACACCACCTCTAATAGGACAACCCCCACTGCGCGGTGTCATCACCTGTATCGCGTTGTGGACGTCATCTTCTCGTGGCTCTGCAGGAACTGCTCCAGGTCTTCTTTGGCCTTCTTGGCCCTCAGCCTCTGTTCCTCCTGCGTAGATCGTTCACCACACAAATCAGAAATAGCTTTTCTTTGGGTCGGCTTTACCTCTGTTGTCACTGAAGATGTTGGTGGAGTAATGCATTGCCAGCCTACAGTGAAACAAGCTGCCACTTGCCTTTTCCTCTTTTCCCCTCTGCACCTTGTAGGCATTGAACGCCTGCTTCTTTTCGTTGAGCTTCCTGAGAGTTCCATATCGAGGGTCATTGGCAATCAGCTTGAGCGCTTGTTCCCAACTAATGTTGCTGGGCACATCCTGCAAGAAAGACAGTGTCATTCCATTGCATCCTTCCATGTTTCACTTGTCCACGTAACCAAGCACAATAAAGTATTGATTTACTCGCATAATAAACGCACCCCCCCCCCCCCAACAGTCATCAATTTTCTTTTTTCTTTTCATACATTAATGAACACATTTTTATTTTTTTGTTCCACAAGTCTTGAACTGCATCCGACCCAGCCAGCCACCAAGTCGAGTAAGCTGCCAAGCAACCCGGTGAAGCCAAGCTAAGCATGGCAGCAGACGGACTTGTTAGGGCGGCAAGTGGGAAGTTGCAGAAGTGATCAATAGAGTAACCAAGCGGTGCGCACAGCCAACGAAGCTGGGGTCGAGCAATTTCCCAGCCCCCGGAGGTGTTTTGTCTGTCGGATGCATCAATGTCAACAGACACGCCGCCGTCTGCGGTCCGCTTTTGGATAGTGAAGTCGTGGGTTAGGCCTGGGGTGCTTGCGTCACTCTTCGTGCCGAGTGAGTTTCGTTGCGCCTTCTGTCTTTGGCAAAAAGAATGCCCCTTAAAAAGTTTGCAATTTGCAGAGCACGGTCACTGTGGTTCGCCCACGACCAGCTGTGGCTGCGCCTAAAATGACATTTACGCAAAATGTGTTACTGCATAAAACTTCACCTCGCGTAATAAGCGCACCCCCAAATTTGCATCAAGCTTTTGGGGGAAAAAAGTGTGTTTATCATGCGAGTAAATACGATAATGAGTCAATTATAAGTACTCTCAATTAAAGCATTCGACTAGATTACTTAAAGGTGTCACATATAAATTACTAACTTAACTGAATGATTCTCTCCAAAGTAACTCCTACTTTCTGATCACTTTACAGCAGATCGCATGATTATAAAGACTTCTTTTATTTTGCAACATCCTGCGCTTCACTACGGCTCTATAGCGAAATGATTGCGATTAGAGCAGCACATCGCCACCGACAAGCCTCTGGGCATTCTCTCACAATGCTCCGCTTCATCCTGCGGTTAAACGTTGCAGAAGCTACGAGCCATCCCAGCCCACAGAGCGCTACAAGCGTGCCATGGAACTTTGTGTTCCGCACTTTGCTGCGCCCAACTGAAAGGTCACATGGCAGGCTCTCGGCATTGCATTGGCTTTAACAGCGCCCCAATGGCTCGTAGCATCTCCTGCAGTCTATTTTTGAGCGAAACAGGGTGGAGCAGAATCTGTGCACAATATAACTCTTTGTCTGTTAAAACATGAAATACACATTCCTCTGGGTGGCCATGCAGCGAGGTAAGCCCACCTCAAGAGCACGAGGCAAGTAAACTTTCAAGAAAGCAGTTTCAAGGTAAGACCACCTTTCTGTCTAATCTCGGGGAGCAGGACATGCACCCATTTCGAAAGATCAATTAAATTAAGATTGTTTATGTTTGATATCGTCAGAAGAGCTGCACCTCTAACAAACAATTTCACATCACTGTTTCTCTCATTTTTTGTGATCTTGCCTTTCTGAGTAATATGTCCACCTTGCTTCAACTCCCTTCGATCATGTATGTCTGAACCAGAAGGGTTAGAACAGACATCACTTTTTCTGCGTTTGTACCTCCAAAGACCCGTGCTTTTCTTGCCAGGAAGCTCCTGGACATGGAGTCCATCAAGGAAAGGTGCAGGGAACTTACTGGGGTGACATACCTTTTCTTTGAGGAGGTCCTTGAAAGCTTCGATAGCCTCCTTCTTGTCCTTGAAGACAACCGGCTTGGCGACTGCTGCATCCTTGCTGTCTTCCTCATCACTCGACCTGCACCAACATCAAACTGAGTTCACGAGCACTGGTCTGGCGCCTGAGCAAGATTGTGAACTTGGTCGTAAAATGAATCGGGTGGGCATGTGCAAATAGCAGATTTTGAGTTCAAAGCAAAGACTAAGCCAATGGTGGTTTTGGCCGAATATTTTAGAATCGAATGTCGAATAGTTTCTTCGAGTCTTTCACGAATGTGCATTACGGTATGCTTGAACAAACATTTAGCTGGACTCGTGCAGGTTGTTTGCTACCTTTCACTGGTCCACTTCTAAGCTCAGTAAATTTTAGATAACTACATGAACTGTGGCATGTGAACATTTCTTGCAGTTACCCTAATCGAGGGGATTTATAAATATCCTAGCTATAAGCAAATATTCTTACCTCTACTTCAAAATTGAAAAAAAAAACAAAAAAAAAAAAACACAAATGATGAATGCAGGCTGTCAAGAGATAGCTGCCTAACATCTACTCTTGCATAATTGGGGTGGGTTAGCCCTGTCGAGTACATTCCCCACAGAGTGCCTGTGCACTGGTGCTCAGCGAGAAGCGCCCTCAACTAAACTAACCCGCTGCGATCAACGCTTCGACAAGTATGAACATCGCAGTTCACATCTCGAAGCGGATATCGAATAGAATATTATTCGAGACTATGTATATTATTAAAAAAATTTAATATTCACGCAACACTAGAATCAGGGATATGAATTGAACCGTGCAGATAGGGCTATGGATAATTAACTGACATTTGAGACGTTAGGCCAGCAGTTGCAACTTGTGGCAATACTTCGCTCATGCTTAAGATTCACACAGCATAAGCAATCCACCCAACTTCAGACCAGATGCCAAGGCATTTTCGTGCTATGGCACGAAATGGCAATTCAATCCTGGTGCATAAAGCAGCCCCAATAATAATCTAACTTTTCACTGTCTGCATGTGGATTAAAGGCAACACTGTTGACACACTTAAGCTTACTTGTGGCTGCTGGAATAGTATGTTCTTCTTTATGAACCGCCGGACCTGAGTGCGGTATTGTGCACAAAACTTATGGCTAGTTCTTGGATTTAAGGGGGGGGGGGGGGGGGGGGGGGGGCTGGTCTTTAACTTTTTGTTTTTTAATTTCCATTTATCGTACTGAAATTTAGTATACTAATGTATTTCTCACTGGTGATTTCAAATATGCGATTTGTTTTCAGATAGCTTTACTAGATCCAGACTTATTAATAAATTTGTAATCTTAATTAGGTCCTCCTTACGGGCCGTTACCATAAAGTTGTTCAAAATATATCAGAACTTTTTATAGAATTGCATTCACCAAGACATGTTTTGTGCGGTGATGCTATTTTAAGACTGATTTAATGATATTACATCGGTAAAAAACATTTGCAATCAAGTTGCATAAAACGGGAGGCTATATCTTTTTGAGACTAATTTATTAAAATTATTTTATGAGATATAAAGCAGCAAAAATAGCATCACCACACAAAACATGACGTTGTGAATGCAATTCTATAAATATTTGTGATATATTCTGAAAACTTTTATGCTAACGACCCGTAAAGAGGACCTAATTAAATGACAAATTTATCGGTAACTCAGGATCTAGTAGAGCTATCTGAAAACAAATTGCATATTTGAAATCACCAGTGAGAAATACATTAGTATAGTAGATTTCAGTTTGACAAATGAAAATTAAAAAAACAAAAAGTTAAAGACCAGCAGCCTCCCCCCTTAAATTATTGCTGCTCACTTGTAAGAACCTTGACGTACCAGTTTTTTTTTTTTTTTTTTTTTGATCGTGGAAATTATTGCATCATTAAATATACCTAGGGTACGGAGCTTTCGGTTTCAACTGATGAAAACCGAGAAAAGTACGCCGAATCCATTTTTGGAAATTCGGTTTTAACCAAAAAAGGTCAGTTTATTAGTGTTGCGTCGAGGTGGGTGGGGGAGGGGAGGGAGAGAGAGAGAGGGGGCTTTGCAAGATTCGACATTGTGTGACATCTTCGTGATTGCCTCTTCCAAGGTTCAACATGCAACAAAAGAGGTCTTGGATTGGCTTTCGCGGGACATCTGTGTCCTTCCTGCGGTCCTAAAAAAAGAAGTTCGGATGTGGGCTAGTATAAGGTTTTTCGCTTCATGCACTTCAGAGGACATGGAGGAAAGCCGTCAATACCTTTCTCGACACCCTCACTCAAACTTCCATGTGATTGAGAACATAAATACAATGGATTTTTTATTTTTTTTTGTCATTCCGCTGGTTTCTGTATGATCATCACCTCAAACGGTCCATCAGAATGGGAAGTAAAAAGATGCGCTCTGAAGATTATGCTGCGAATTCCGCGATTTTGAGCTGTGTCCTGACGGAAGTTGTAGCGAAGACCACGTATGTACATGTGCCGTTATTCTTCGAGTGATCAAAAATATCACAGCTACAAGGATCATCTGATCCGGTGTCCGACGGTGTTTCTTTCATATTCACCGAAAAAAAAGGTAAACTTTTTCAAAAATAAATATACACCGAAAAAAAAAAAAAAAAAAAAATTGAAGTTTGAAATAAACATCGAAAAAAGAACTCAGAATTTTTAAAAAATGAAAACCGAAAACGAGGAACCCTAATTATATCCTGGTCCCAGGGAAGCATCCAAAGTACATGTAAAGTCACCTCACATGCACAAGTTCAGATCCAGGCCAACGCCAACATTTCCAAAACCAGATTCGACATTCTACGCACACTCGCAGTGCCACTTGTCACGTGAACAGCGGCATCTTAAAATGGAGGCAACAACAGTCGGCTACAGATTATGTTCGTTTGATTTACTCATACTGCCCTCCACTAACACTAAATGTGTAGGCTCATCTCGGAGAACCTGCAAGTGCAGATGTCCCGAAAAAGCCACCGTAAACACACCACGCCACACTGAACGCTCTACTTATTCGCACCTCCCTGGAAGCCCACATCAGCAACACGACACCCAATACCGGCTCCATAATCGTTACAGCGGGTCAGAGCAGAGTGCGGGCGAATCGAACATGCCTGACATAAAGCTACTACAGTAGATAAGCTACGCCAAGAGTATTGACACTCCATTCCCTATTGTCTTGTGGCTGCTGCCATTTTGCTGCCTAGTGCAGAGTGGGTGCAACTGGCAGTTACAATTCGAAAACGAGACTCCCTGGGCTTCAGCTACGCTGTCGGGAAGATCGGGCAACGCCGGTTTGCTCTGTCGCAGATTACATTTCCGAAGGAGTGGAAAGCGTTCTCTGCAATTTCGGACGAAGCTTCGGATAACTGGCAACAACAATCTTAATTAAGCACCACCATGACTCCGCAGAGTAGTTTTAGCAGCTCTGGCCCAACACATTCTTTGCCTTCAAAGGTGCCACGAAGGGGCACCGGAAGTTGAGCAGACGGTCCTGTAATGTCACTTGTGAATTGCGCACAAACAGAAGTGGGGGCATGACCGGGGGGGGGGGATGTGGGGGGACAAAGCGGGAGGGTAGGCACCTGTCGTCGAGGTTCTCGTCCGGCTGGTTTGGGGTGCCCACGGGCGCGTCGCTGGGGGGGCCCGCGGGGGTCGGGATGCTGCTCGGAAGCTGAATGTTGGCCACACTGTTGGCGTCCGCCGTCACCTCCGCTGCCCCTTCCTCTCTGAAACGGTGCCTCGTCAACGACGGGAGGACTCCCAAAGGGGTCCCGAAACGACCCGCCCCATGTACCGGAAGGCCGGTTCGGATATCGGCATTTGAGAGTGACTGCACGTGTTATCTCTGCGTTTTACCACGATGCAACGTGTGGACGGTCTCGTCGTAAATGGTGACAAGCAGCCATTACGCAGTCGATCGCACTCAAAAGGTAAGTGTCAGAACTGGCCTTCAAACTAGCCATAGGCATCCGAGATTGTAGGTATGGCTTAGAGTGCTCGGATGCTAAGATTGGCTCAGATTGCTCGGAACTCTCTTACGCAACAAATAACTGCTTTAATATTCTCCGTGCCACGTGGTCAGTAATGACTTCACCTTCACAGAAAGTTTGGGACCACTTATAAAACTTGGTGCATTTCTAATTGCTTGTTAGAAGCAATTGGAAATGTCCTGATTCTTTAGATGGAATGCCTAGAATTTTGCTCGAAGAAGCGAAAACGCTTGTACCCGCGTCAACATTTCCCAATTTTAATTAACCTTTTCTGGAATTACCAGTACCTCTAAAGCTCCCACAATTCCAGCTTTAATTTGTGCTGATTGATGCTAGCCTTGCAAATAAGATATTGTGAGAACCTTAATTTCTTTACCCCTTTCTCAATTTGAAATATGTTACCAGTAGAATAGCACAAGCAATCTCACCCACTGTGACAAATCAACAAGTGACGTTTAACAAACAGCCTCACAATTTTAAGTGAAGTAGAAAGCCTCGAACACTATTTTTCCCTCACAAGCACGAGAATGAATAAATTTGATCTGGGTTGCATTTAGTTCTCATAAATGGTAGTTTACTAGACAATTAAGCTTCGAGTGAGAGGACTTACCTTACATCCCCCTTTGTGGCGATTGTTGCTAAAGGGAGAAAAAAAAGAAGAAAATATCAGATTAAGTTTGGACTTCAGAAAACTGTCCAGAAAAATTGCTTTGTTTCCTTGCTCACGGCTGACTGGAGACTTTCATTCCTATGGAAGAAATAAAATATCTGACAAGCACAAAACTAAGCAAGATTTTCTAAGTAATCCCCATGCACGTCCAATCACCACCGCCCGTTGTGGCGGCTCCCTGATTTCCTTGGCGTAGAAAGGACTGCGCTGCGTGACATCGGTCTGACGAACGTGTCCGTGCGGTTTCTCCGCCGAACTGCCGACATCATTTGCATGCTTTTGCCTGTGACATAGGTAGTTTGTTCCCCATACTGTGTTTGCAACCTTCTCAAAATTTCAGCTGGTTAAACTTTCTTCTTTCCCAGAAATTTTATTAATGCACCACTGCTCCAAAGCTATGGACAGATTGGTTGCTGCCGTGATAGATTGAACTGCTGCGCATGCAACAATTATGTCATTCTGGGGGCAAAATATTTGAGAAAGATTTCATTCAATCCCTCCGCCAGTTTCATTATGCAACACTCGTTCAGAAATTTCTTTTGGGCAAAAGTTCTGGTCAGCCTTTAAGGACACTTGTACGGTCGCGGATGACATGAAAAGGCCCAGGCGAGCGAGTGGCTTAAAAGGACTGCAGCACTGTGTTTCAGAAGACATGTCAATCAATTGTTGAGGCTGTTGCTGAGTTAATGCCGACTTCAGAGCCCGTTGTAGAGGCGTTCTGCAACAAAAGGCAAAATCAAGCGTGGCTGAAACTATCGGGTCCGCAAGTTGAGTGATTCGTTTTTGGGTGTTTGATAGTAACCTAGTCAAATAAAAAACACTTGTTTTTTTATGAGCATGCAAGCATAATTTAGGAACAGAATAGAAGTTTGTGCTGACACGGCAATTTTTTCCGACAAAGTGGGGAGTAACGACAAAACTCAAACGGCCGCCGAAATGCCGCTCCCGCACACCATAGCCTCGACGATAGCCCAGTTTTCTTCTGTTAGATAGCACTGGAGGTCTTCGGAGCCATGCACTCGCCTAGGCTTTTTCCTATCGCCGGCGACTGTACGTACGATATAATGGAGTGTTCTCACCTTTGAGTTCCTCTAGCTCTTTTGGAATAGTCCACCTGGACTCCTTCGTCACAACGTTATGGAAGTAAGTGCGTCCCGCGTCGGACTTGTACTCTTTCCACGGACACTGGGACAACAAAAGCTGCAGGAAAAAAAAAAAGTTGTGTTCACCACACACACTAGCAATACAGGCACCTGGTGTTCAGTAAAGTATGTGTAAAAGGTATTATCAGTGATGTGATTGGCCTAAGTCGTTTTGGAGCACGCAGTGATGTGATTGGCCTAAGCCATTTTGGAGCACCTTTTGGAGCAGCCAAAACAGTGTTTTGGAGCAGCAAAAGTGGCCTTTTGAGCAGCCAGGATAGTGTTTTGGAGCAGCAAAAGTGGCTTTTGGAGCAGCCAAAACAGTGTTTCGGAGCAGAAAAAGTGGCTTTTGGAGGAAATATTCTTACAAAAATAAAAATATTTGTTTTAAGTGCTGGACAAACGAAGGGCACTTTGTGCTGTGTTATGACGGAACTCGCTGTTTCTGTTTTTACTGCCGAGACATCCCACAAGTGTACAGTGTTGTAGGCGTTGCCGAGAAATTTAGAAAAGAACGCTCGCCACCGTTTTACTGGTTCCTGACGTGCCAGATTTTCGTTAAAAGTAAGCGAACACAAAACAATGGATCGCAAGCGCCCCGGCTGGTGCTCTGTCGTGCCGTCATGTTCACATGCACTTGAGGGCAACTTCAGCAAGCTTGCAGTGGCACGTGCTTTGTCGCGCTAGCAGAGACAACGGCTGTTCATTCGAAACCGAAACAATGCCACTCCGCTCCCTCGCCAACTGAATCCCAAAATAGTGTGCAAAATACAACTGTCCAGCATTCAACAAAAAAAAAAAAAAAAAAAATAAAACAGTCCATTGGCGCGTGCTTGCCAGGCCGGCAAACGAGGTGCAAGCTAAATAGAAAGAAAAATAGAACCTAAGCGCATCGATGCATGACATCGTGAGCCAGTGCCAAAAGTTTTTTGGAGCGCTCTGAGCAAGGACTGAACTCGAGACAAACAAGCGCGCTGTGTGGGTTCAGCGTGCAGACATTGCCTTCTTTGCTTCAGCTCATTTCTCCTCACCAATGTTTTTTTGGCGGCAGATTTTTCACGTAGCGGGGTCTCTCTCGAAAGATAGCCCGCCGAGAGAAATCTAGGTAATAAATATTTTGACGAGCAGTCTTTGAGTTAAAGATGGATTTTTTAGAAGAAGAGGAATGTCGATGAACAAGTTTAGAAAGCGCCATATCTGTAGCGACGTGGGGATGGCAACACCCGACGTCGCACGACCACGGTGACCCAGTGGTCGCGCGAGCGTTTCAGCTCACAAAGTAACTCTCGCCGCGCAAAAACATGGTTTTGTTTCACAGCATGATGGCATAGCTGGCACCCGGCACACTAGCGACGGAGCGTCCGCACATTCCCGCGAAAAAAAATGTAAAAAGAAGACGCGAGATGAGATTCCCGTGACGGCGAGGGCGGCGAGGGCGCGAAACGCGAGACGGTGGCAAAAACCATGCAAGACCGGATGGAGGATTGATGCCGGGTACTTTCTGTCGGGCGGCCGCTTGCGCCACCTATAGCTCACGCATGCTCAATTACGGTTCTCAGTTTAGTTTCGGTTTTGAAAGGCGACCGAAATTGGACCTTTGGCGCAGGCTTGGCGAAGATTAGCCATATATTGGCAAAATGTAGCAAGATGTAGCAGGGTTAGCCCCTTGGCGCAGTTTGGCGCAATTGGTGCAGCAATCACATCACTGAGCACCTTTTGGAGCAGCCAAAACAGTGTTTTGGAGCAGCAAAAGTGCCCTTTGGAGCAGCCAAAACAGTGTTTTGAAGCAGAAAAAGTGGTTTTTTGAGCAGCCAAAACAGTGTTTCGGAGCAGCAAAAAGTGGCTTTTGAACCAGATTTTTTTTCTTATAAAAATAAAATTATTTGTTTTAAGTGCTGGAAAAAGGAAGGGCACTTTGCTCGCCACAATAAACAAATTATGGTCAAGTTAGACGACTTGGGAGTCTTTCAAGTTGTTAACTGAAATGCCAATGACACAACATATTTTGCAATGCTTCAGTTAAATGATACATATATATATGTACCCGCTATAGATAAGAACCAAATTGCACATATTAAATTTATTTGAAAATGACCAGCTTAGCAGTAAATATGAAAGCATAAACTTTACTAGTTATATAATATAATAAATTGAAGCAGTATCCAACTGATGAAACACGTAACTACTGCAATGCAATACGAAACTGTACATATGAAAAAGGTGCAGTACGACTGGTGGGTCCTTTTCCTTTTGCTTGTTGAAACTTTCTGCAAGGCTGCTGCAAGCCTCGCTTAGCTTTCGGCAAGTAATGAATGTCCACTTTCAATGTCTCCAAAGAGACGCTGAGACATCCTACAAGTGTACAGTGCTGTAGGCGTTGCCGAGCAATTCCAAAACGTCCCCCACCGTTCTACTGGTTCCCGACATGCCAGATTTTCGTCAGAAGCGAGCAAATGTAAAGCAATGGATTGCAAGCGTCCCGGCTGGTACCTCTGTCGTGCAACCATGTTCGCGTGCACGTGAGGGCAACTTCGGCAGCTTGCAGTTGCACGCGCTTCGTTATGCGAACGGAGACGGCTGTTCGATCGAAACTGAAACTCTGCCACTCCGCTCCGTCGCCATCTGGTCCCCAAAATTGTATGCAAAATGTAGCAATCCAGCATAAAAAAAGAAAAAAGAAAAACAGTCCAGCGGCGCGTGCTTGCCAGGCCAGTATGCGAGGCACAACCTAATTTAAAAGGTTAAAAAGCGCAAACAAAACAAGGACAATAAAGCTAATAATAAAAAAAAAAAAAGAAAGAAAGAAAAAAGAACCTGAGCGCATTAATGCAAGACATCGCGAGTCAGGGTCAAAAAGTTCTTGGAGCGCTTTGTGCAACAACTGAACTCAAGATAAACAAGCGCGCTGTGCGGGTTCAGCGTGCAGACATTGCCTTTTTTGCTCTAGCTAACTTGTCTTAAACTTTTTTTTGCGACAGACTTTTCACGTACCGGGGTCCCTCTCAAAAGAAATCCCACAGAGAGAAACCTAGGTAAACAGTACTTCGACACAACAGTCTTTGAGCTAGAGGGATTTTCGTAGTAGCGTTTAATTTAAACAAGGACAGGATTGCTGGTTACACTGCAGCGGTCCTTACGTTTCATTTCAGAAAGCGCCATATCTGCAGCAATGTGTGGACGGGAACACCCGACGTGATAACCACGGCGAGTGGTAGGCAGGGACCAAAAATAGTTTTGCCACGGCCGTCTCTTTCAGAAGCGAGTGCTTCAGATCACAAGTAACTCCCAATGTGCAAAAACGTGCTTTCGTTTTACAACATGACGGCATGGCTGGTACCCGGCAAGCTAGCGTCGGGGCGTCCATATACGCTTGCATCTATCGTTAAAATATTTTCAACAGGATGCGAGACGAGACCCACGAGAGCGCGAAATGAGGAACGGCGGGAAAAACCATGCGAGACCGGATGGACGATTGATGCAGCATACTTTCTGTCGGGGGGTCGCTCGCGCCACCTAGCTCACGCATGCTCAATTACGGTACTCAGTTTAGTTTCGGTTTTGAAAGGCGACCAAAATTGGTCCTTTGGCGCAGATTACCCATATTTCGGCAAAATGTAGCAGGATGTAGCAGGGTTTGCCCCTTGGCGCAGTTTGGCGCAATTGGCGCAGCAATCACATCAGTGTATTATGGTATTCAAAGTGAAGAAAAAAAAAAAGAACTAGTAGGATTTGTGCTTCGAGAGAAGAAGTACACCAAGTGCAATGCATTTGAGGTAGACAGAATGTACACATCGCGACACTGTTAGTGCGAATACGACATCGGCGCATTTTCGCATTTTACTTCTATATAGTATTAGCGAGCACGAAATGTTATCGCTTACATTATAGAACTAAATGAGCTCTTTCCGTACCAATAATAACTTGGATGACATCCCTTGGTTTTAGTGAGAAAAACTGGAAAAAGCGGCGATCGCTTGTTCGCGCTAACAGTGTCGTGCTCTGTACTTCCAGCTTCTTTGGTACGATTTTTCTTGGTACCCGCTCATTCCCAGCAGGCACATTGTGCGACCGAGATCAATGGCACAAAGCTTGATTGCGTTATCTAGCGAGGAAAGATCCAAAATAAAACAACTTGGCTTTAAGACCCAGAAGCAAAGAACAGCGACCAAAATCAGCAAAATGTTCCCGTCAATAGTCTCAACCCCTTGTCCAAAAAGGATGTGAAAAATGTAATCAACTACAGGACATCCCTCGGAAGGTAGAGGAAAAGCATGCTCCAAGTGGAGCACAAGAACATGCTCAGCAAATGCACTCGGCGTAAAGCGCAAGTACACTCAAACGAGACTCGAAGCATTGCCAAATGCACAGCGCAAGGAACCTGACAAACGACACCGGAAGAAAGTCCTCTTCCGAACCTCGGTGTGAGTCTTGAGCTCGTCCGGCTTTTCCCAGCTCGACTGCTTGGTCACGTGGTTGTAGAAGTAGACCCTTCCGTCCGGGGCTTTGTGCTCCGTCCAGTTGCTTTTCTGAAAACAAAAAAAGACGAGAACAATTGGAACAGATCCCAAATTTTATCTCATATCTTCAGCCAATCACCAGCGGCTGCTGTGAAATCGGGTGCTCGGGTTCGCGATTGTTAGGATTCGTGAATGTTTCCTTCTGCCGAGTCGGTTTACGCATGCCCCGCAAACCTGACAGCACTGGGCAAGTACTTTTGAACTGTCACTTGTGCCCCAGAGCGCGGCCGATGTGCAAAGGGTTGCGAACACGGTGTCAACAAGATCTGTATACGCTGCTGGACAAAGTATGCGGTCCTGGGGCGGGCTTGCCGGTATGCTGCAGCCGCTCGACGTCGGCGTCGAAACGGACGTCGAGGTAAAATTCAGTAGAATAAACGGCCGACGCAAGCTCCAAAAAGGCGATTGCTGGACGGCTCAAAAGAGCAGCTCCGGACAACTGTTGACGCCGGTCAGACTCAAGCGCCGAGGATGTTGCAGTTACGACGATTGAGACTGAGATAAAGGCACTAGAGACCACTGCATGCAACCGTGGGCACATCCATTTTTTTATACAGATCCAAAAGCATTGTTTTTATTTGCATATGGGACACACCTAAAAGTCAGCCTTGAAATGTGAAAAAAAAAGAAAAAAAAATGCAGCCCTTACACGCATTTATATGGTAAGTCGCGGCTTGTTCCAAAATGTCCGTAGGTGCGATCTCTATGCATTCTTTTTCATAAGTAGTATGGTCACCATGGAGGTTATATTTCTCGTTCGATTCGTCAACGAGAATATCAGAACTCGCTCGCGCTTGTTCATATATTGTGATCATAATACACATGTGCGTGCTTTTCAATGCAGCTTTGCCGCATTGACAGTACAAGTATATAGGCGCGACTTATACAAAAATGCAACTTATATTTAAACTTTCTTTTTTTTCTGAAAACAGGCAGTTTAGGCGCTGCGACTTATAGACCGGAAATTGTGGTACTTTGGCTGGTGCGAAGCGCTGTCAGATTGCTCTTTCCCTGTGCAATTTGGTGATCTGCCTGTTTCTTAACTGTAATTTACTGCATAAAGCTGTAACTGCAATTTAACTGTAAAGCTGTAGAGATTGACCAAGGTAATGCAGCCTTAGACCCTAATCCCCTCACAACGCAAACACATATAATTTCACTTCTGAAGCAGGTACGACGTCAAGACATCAACCAAATAACTTTGTGCCAAAGATTGGTATTTGAGGAGAGAAAAAAAACCAGACACCGAACCAAAACCAGGGGATCAGTGTGGGGAAATGTCACCTTAGACACTTTAAGAGCCACTTGACCTGTTTCACTTTCAACGACAAAGCAGTCTTCTCCACATCAACCTATTGTTGTTGCTCTGGTGGTCACAAAACTTACGTTTTGGTTGGTGGATAGAATTTATTTTTACTAAAAAAACAAAATTTTGTGAGCAAAAAAAAAAAAAGATTATGTTGCATTTCTTTTTTTTGTGATTGTTAGTTTATTGTAGGTCATGCTTCCACTAAAATTTGGGCCCGTATAAATGCCTCGTCAAAGGCCCTAACCTATACTCGGCCTCAACCTCTTCACGCTACATTGTCAAGGCTGGCATAGTTTCCGCAGTGCAGCAGCCTCACACCGATACACAAGCATGTGGCTTCGTCTAGCGCCTCCTTTGCACGCGCACGCTCAACTCGACACCATGGAAGCTATTTATCTATTTATTTATTAGAATACCACCGTCGCCTCCAGAGGCATCGTAGCAGCCTCGAGAGGGTAGCACAAAAACATCAACGCTGGGTACGACGCCCTCGGCACTTTGTGGTCTCCGTCCAACCTCTCCCAACGTCGGCGTGCCTGGGCGGCGGACAAGAAATGGGACTCACGGGAAGCGCAGCCGTGGTGGGCGACGCGGTGGCATTCTCGTTGGGGGTGGTGGGAGTCGGGGCGTCGGACTGCTTGGCGGCGCCGGCGGGCGTGGAAGGCGGGGCCGACCCCGGCACGGGAGGGTTCGGAGTCCCCGAGGCCGACGTCGTGGGGGCGGCCGAGACGACGGGAGGGGGAATGGAGGCCACCGGTGGCGCCGGCATCTCTGGCGCCGGAATGGACGCCACGGGAACTGCGGCCGGGCGCAGCGGACGTTTGAAACACGTTCCCAGGTTCAAATGTTTTAAAGTGGAAAGCTTTTGTAAGGTAGTTTCTAAGCCACCCCATAAGGTGTCATACGGTTGGTGCCACTAAGGGACACGTGGTCGGGTGGTTGGTGCTGCCACGGACTGAGGACCGTTTACACGCTTGCAACCAGCTACAACTGAGTGAGACGAGACCGGTTTTTAAGCCTCTTGCGACAGCTTAAAGGGATACTGAACCGAAATTTCGAGCTCGCAAAACAAGGCTGGACAGATAGGTAGGATGCTGCAAAACACAAAAACATCACTCATACATTGGTATCTCTAATGGTTCGCCATACTCTTAGAAAAGAAGTGTGCGACTGAACACGGCCGACGAGACAAGTCACGTCACGATTCCCATTCCCTCTCCTCCTCGCTACGTCCTGTCGAACTGGTGAACCGAAGCGAGGAGGAGAGAAGCGAGGCCGCTTCCTCTCATTCTCAAATTCTCTCGGGTAACAATGACATCAAAGACCATGCGTGATTGCGTCCTTGTTCTCCAAAAGCACAGCCATCCGTTTGAGATATCGATGCACGAGTGATGTTTCGTAGTTCATAGCGTCCCGTTCAACGCTTCTGCAGCCTTATTTTGCAAAGTCCAAATTTCGGTTCAGTATCTGTTTGAAGTGGAGCACCTTTAGGAGGTGGTTTCTAAGCCCCACCATAAAATGCCACGCGGTTGGTGCCACTATGGCAGACGTGGTCGAGCGGTTGGTGCTGCTATGGGTTGAGGCCCGTTCGCACACTTGCAATCGACTACGACTGACTGAGACGAGACCGCTTTTTAAGCCTCTTGCAACAACTTAATACAGGATGCGCTGCCGCGGAGCCGGTCTAAGTCGTCGCAAGAGGCTCAAAACTAGTGTTGTCCGAGTCAATCATAATCAAATGTCGGTGTGTCAACGGGCCTTTACTTAGCCATGTAACTTGACGGCACGGTGTAATTTGACTGTGTTACTTGATGTCGAAATTTCATGTGACCATCTAACTTGATGTCAGTTTCACATCAGCAAGTAACTTGACGTCACGGCACCACATAACCACGTGAGCTACTGTCGCAGTGTCACAGGACCTGCGGTGTCAATCTGACATAACATCACTTAATCTCATGTGACGTGATCATGGGATTCGTGTCACGCGACTACCATCCGCTAAATTTAGCGAGAAAATATTGTGTTGTGCCATAACGGCCCCTCTAGTCCGCCTTCTGCAAAATTACGATTAACGAATAGGATCAAAGTGATTAGTTTGTTTTCTTTGAGGTTTGCTACTTAAAGTTTGCTACTTAAGGTTTCCCGTAGCGAGTGCAAGATGCAAGTGGATGCCGGGCTTACCGTTGGGCGGCATCTGTGGTAGCGGAGGGGGCACCATGCCCGGGTACATGGGATATGCCCCCGGTGGGTAGTGGGGAGGCATGGGTATCCCGGGGGGCAGCAGCATGTGGTGGGGTGGCCGCCCAGGCTCCATCGGGGGAGGGTGTGGGGGCATGAAGCCCGGGGGCATCGGTGGCGGCGTCAGCTGGCAGACGAAAAACACAGGTCAGACTACAGGGACTGGCTATGGCGGGGGTAGGAGGTCGAGCATGCTAATGAATGTTGTATAACTCCATGTACACGAAGCGACGACCTGCACTGCATACATGGTCCTCGTCGCTGCATGAGCGGGTGTGATCTAATGTGCACCATCATGTGATCAATACTGTGCGATGCTTCCCGAAGACCCCAAAGCAGTGGTAGCACAGCACTAGCCAAACCGCCTCCGTAGAGTGGCACAGCAAGGTACCTCCACTTAAGAAAGGTTGACCTAATGATGCGGAAAAAAGAAAGATTTCAAAAAAGAAATTCTACGGAGAGGATCTGAACAAGCCCAAATGATTTTAGGGTCCTTCGAATCTGCTAATTTCTAATCTTGTTTAAGCAAGAAATGCAATATGTATTAACATGTAAAGAAGCAATTGTAAAACTTAATTTTCACATTAATTTTATGGAATAAAATGTCTGCAATATTTACCAAACTTCCAAACCCTGTATCTATAGTGATGGTAACTAAGACTTACATTTTGTCTTTCAGTGAAACTTTCTTTTTTGCGGTACTATTATAGCAGTGCATATTCAAAATGAACGGCCTTTTTTCACCCTGTGACATCCTGCATTTTATAATTACCATTATATCACGAGAGATGACCCAACCCCCAAAGTATACCCCTGGATGGATGGATGGTAATGGCTATACCCTTTGTAACGGGCGGCAGCTTGCGCCCCCTAGCCCCACATTTCGTCACCCCTTCTTTTTTTTTTTAAACTTGTATAAATTTTGTTTTAACACCCCCCCCCCCCCCCCCCCCCCCCCGCCCTTTTCAAAGTGTTTCCATCGCTTATTTTTATCTGTATTTTTACCCCTCCCTAAATCTTTTCCGCCAATCTTCCAATCTCCTCTTAGTTACCACAATTCTTTCCCTATCCGTTCCTCCATCCATGTCCGGAAAACCCAGTGGCCCCTCTAGATCCGTAGTCATCATCCCCAAGAGGGTGGGACGAAGCCCCGTGCACCTTTAAATTACATGTTCTACAGCTTCCCTTTCTCGTTTGCATATGCCACATAGAGTGTCTATTTCTTGAATTCTTAGCACCCCCTTCTAGCTTCAAACAGCAATGAGCTCCCCAATGAATTATGGTACAACTGTTCCTTCGTTATTTCTTGTTTTTGTGCCCTGCATATTGTCAAAGCTAATTTCCCTTGCACGCATTTACCACCACCATTAGTCTTTAATTGCAAAAAGACACTTCCGAGCAAATCGTACTGCATCATCACCAAAGCAGGGCACTGACAGTGTAGCAAGCAAGCACAGCAGCACCCGACAGCTGACAGGAATAGATAATATGTATCCAGCATGCATAAAACACAAACTCCTTATGCACCGGATACTACCAGATTTATTAGTATATGGTTCAATGTTCAATAGTGCTGTGAACATATGTTTGAATGGGATTGATTGTACATATAGTGAGATATGTACATTTCTCTAGGACTCTAGGACTCAACTCAGGGAGGCAAAAGAAAAGGATTTTTTTACCACAGCAGCAGCTGCAACCATGAGTAAAAAAATATCTTAGTAGATAGCTTCTTTGCTTCGAGACAATTTCAAATTGCTTCCAATGCTGCCCGTCACTGATGCTGAAAAAAAAAGGCAGACATCTGCCAGCGGCAAGCCGTGTTGCCCAACTTCCGTGGAGTGGCATTTTACTACCCCAAAGACAATCAAATTATTGCTAAAGAGTGCCTGAGCACATGGGAACAAAAGGGCACGCAAACGAACGATGAGGCTGGGGCATTGTTCTCGTCCCAGACAACACAAAAACCCAGTAAAACAAAGGGGAAAGAGACGACTTGGTACGAGATCGAAGCGTTAATTGCCGGAGATTCCATGAAGACAGCTTGAGGCAGTGAACGAAACTATGGACAGACTGCACGTGACTCACCCCAAATGGAGGCGCAGGGGGCATCATGAGAGGTAGCGATGGCATCGGGGGAAGACTGTTAATGTTGGGACTCCCATCCTATGAACAAAGAAACGGTTAATTAGACATCGCTGGTTACGCAACTCCGACAAAAAGGAAGCATGTAAACGATTGACGAAACAGTGATTACACAAGTAATCTAATGTAGAATGAGCATAGTAAAAAAAAGAAAAGAAAGAAAACTTTTAACAGTGACATGTTTTACACATTTCACTGTTAAAAAAAACGCTTTGCGTTAACAGAATTAAAATAGTAGTGAACTCCATTGCAGTTCCATTAATGACCAAAACTGGGGTAACCCCATATAATGATGTTGCAGTATGCATAAATAAATAAACTACTGAGGAGAAACTCGTCGAGAGAGATACGGTCACAATTAAGTTGCGATAATCACTAGGTAATATGCAGAGTCTTACTTTTTGCTTACCCCTGAACTGTCAGGAAATATTGATGGCTATTCGCAATGATGCCGGTGGATGCCAAGAATAAAGAATTGTGTGAGTAGGGGACTAAAATCAGAGTGTCCCATGAATACAGGCTGGACGCAATTTCTAGGGCTTGCATGTCGGGTAAAAAGACAGTTATACCATACATTAGTTCATTCACGTCTTAACTACTGTCTTGTATGGGAAACCACTGCCAAGACAAATATAGAAATCCTGCGGATACCACTAAGAAAGGCCTTGTGACAAAGACAAAAATGCGCCGTACCAAAGTCAGTCTGCCTTAGAAAACACCAGGTATTAACCATTCAAAATGCAATGAAAAAGAAATAATTTAGAATAAGGCCATAGACTTTCCAGTTTTAACCAAAAAAACGTAAATAAACATCCGTTGATGCCGAAAGTACACAATTGGTTAAAAAACAAAAAAACGCTGGTATGAAAAATACAGAATTAGTTAAAACCAAAAAACACAGATTTACGAAAACTTTTGTGCAAGCAAGGACTGGTTTTGTCAAAACCCTCCCCTCTTAGAGTTGAACTCTTAGTTTTTCGTTAAATATATGCACGATAATCACCGTTTCTAGCTTCGGTCCGAAAGAGATCACCAAAATACACCAATATTGAAAAATAGAAAAAAACAGAAGAAAAAATCTACTCCCTATTTATAATCGAAAGAAATTCGATAAAACTGCCTTCTTTAAGAATATCTTTGGAAAGATCATCCACACAATTTTCGGCACACAAATTACACAAAGGAAAAAATATGCCCTAGGTATGGAATACAAAAATTAGGTTATCAAATACCTGACCTTCAGACTAAAGCTTTACGGAAAAACATGAATGTACAAACGTAAGTGCTGTACAAAAAATAAATGATGTACAAAAAGTAAGTTGGTGTAAATTGACCATATCTAAAAAGAACTCCAAGCCCAGGGTAACATAAGCGACAGCACAAACCAGTGTCGAACTGGGACTGAACCAAACCGAAATCTTTGCCGCCATCTTGAATCTGAACCGGAACTGAACCAGAAAAAAATATAACGGTAACCGATTCAAAACTGTTCACGGTCATTTTTTTTTTGTAACTTTTTTTGTTAGCATTATTAATTAAATATTTGAGAATAAAAAATTGGCAGCTGTATTTTTATATATTGATCAAATCGTCATTAACAGAATCGGGCGGATCGGTGGCTGAGTGGTCACCGATCCGCCCGCACACCCAGCTCGACGCGTGTGGAGCGAAAGCTCGCGTTGCAGAACCCAGGGATCCTGGGTTCGAGCCCCACCCCTGCCCGTTTCGATCTGGATGAGCATCGTACTGGCGTGCGGTTGTGTATCACTACTGCGTGAGCACGTTAAAAACCCACGGTTAGCAACCGTACTGCAATGGCAAAATTGCTCATCTACACTATAAATTAGTGTCGCCCCATCCTGGCAGACCGACCTTACGCTGTAAGTCGGTCTGCCAGCGTCAAGTTTCAAAAAGCATTGCAAAGGACTAAATGTGGCATCAACCCGACGTTCCATAAAGCTACAAGTCTGTACAGAAGTCTGTACAGAAGTCTGTACAGAAGTCTGTACAGAAGTCTGTACACAAGTCTGTACACAAGTCTGTACAAAAGAAAGATTCTAACATAAAATACCGGGCAAGTGCCCAGTCACAATTTAGAGATAATCGCAAAAAAATGGGGGATGGGCGCTTGTCCGATCATCAATTTTACATATAAATGTACTGTGCACATTCTTTCATATCTTAGAAATTTAGATATGGGCGCTTAATGTGGAATGGGCGAATACGCGGTATTCTACGGTAGTGGCCTCAGAGGGACAGCCGAACGTTGGGGGCCACTCCAACGGAGTGTCGTTCTCAAGTTCTCCCCAAGCTTCAACCACCTCCGTATTTTGTTTAAATTTCACACTTTTTGGGTGCAAAACAAAGCAATGGAGGATTACTGTTAACAAGGCACACTAATATAATTGTGGAATTAAACACCCCCCAAAAAATCCTTCAGGAATAAAAATTTTAAAAAGTGTGTGTGGGGGGGGGGGGGGGGGGGTAGTTTAAAAAATGTCAGAACTTCAGCTTGGGCGAGTTGGTTATTCATGATACTGCTTCTCAGCGCACATCGGTTTTTTGTTTCACTGCCATTTGCATCGGAGTGAAGGAAGATGAAGATGATGCATAATACACTTGAGTTGTCAGTCAGCGCTGCGTGAGTGTTCTTCCTGTGTATGCGTGAAATTTCTTTTAAGTGTGTCTGATCTTGTGCGCTGAGAAGCAGTATCTTAAAAAATGTATTGTGTTGTAAAGGTTCATCAGCCCCCCATTTACGGCACAAACCAGAAAGCGTGGCCCCAGAGACTATTTACTCTGTTTGCAAAAGCACTCATGCCAGAAAGCACATTTTCGCGCTGCAAGACGCTCGCACCGTTTCTTACGACGCAGCGCCAGACAAGAATAATTTGTGTGTCTCAAATACATGGCTTGCACTGAGCGTGAACCTTTTGCAGCGTGCACTTTGTACCACCGAATTTGATTTTCTCAGCAAGAACAAACCACAATGACTGCGAGCACATAGTGCTATGACGTCACATGCAAACCAAATTATACAGTTCAGTTTTCTGGCAAAATGCGATGTTTCCAACACTAGCAATAGATGTCCAAATTGTACAGTCATGCAGTATACACAGCAGTTTCGCGATGATCATTGGCAGCCTAATAAAATGTTAGAGAGCATGATTGATAAAGCACAGCGTTGTAAAGGGAGGGCCCCAAACAACTGTATGTAAAATCAAATTTAACATTAGCCTCCCAAGGCACTATATTTTAGCAAAGCTTCGAGTTCATGCAAGCCGACGACCAAATGCTGTTTATGTTAGAATTATAAGAATCTTTGTCCGCCCTTTGCGCTATTTATGTGCTATTAGGAATATTATTACATCTCTATTCCTTTTTGCAGTAAGGCATTGTGTGTCGGATTCTTTTAAATAGTATTGTATATTATCACTCTCTTCACAGTTTGTGTATTTGCCTTCAGATCTATCATGTGAGCACAAAGTCCTTTTTGGCATGCCCCGTGATCCGGTGTTTCACACTGCCAAACAGCGAACAAAGAACAAAACAAAAAATATGTTTCCGCAGGTTGGCTCAACAGCAGGCGTATTTTCGAGCATTGTCCTCCCATGTCGGTCTCAAGCGGTTATGTGAACTTCATACAGTAAAATTTATTGAAGATAATAAATACATATCTAAATACTTACTGAAATTTTGACGACATAAATAAAGGATTTATCGTATTAAAGATATACATCATAAGTAAATGTATCCCATAATTATCTGAAAAATGCTCTCCAAATATTTCACCAACGTTTTGATCCTCGATAAGCACGTGCATAAGTGATTTCAGAGAGCCTTAAACAACTTTATGATTTTGAAGCTGATTTAAGTAACTATGCGTTCCTTATACAGTATACCGTAAAATACTGGGCAAGTGTCCACTCAAACTTTAGAGATAATCGTGAAAAAATGGGGGATGGGCACCTCTCCGAGAACTTGAGTCGTTATCCCATTGTTGTCTTTTTGCTTCGACTTAAAAGTCCCTTCACACACTCGCTGTTATTTCGTTATTCGTCCCCGAAGCAGGCTCATTTACTTTCTCCTATGGATCTCCGGTCATTAATTTTACATATCAATGTAATGTGCATATTTTCTCAGATCTTACAAATTTGGGAATGGGCGCTTAGTGTGGAATGGGCAGACGTGCGGTATTCTATGGTATATATACCTTCTAAAACATATAGATGTCTGTCATTGCCTTTCTTTGTGATAAGCAATTTTATGTGTCTGTGGGCTGGATCAAAAAAAAAATTACACAGAGGCGCGTGGCGGAACTATGACAATTATGCACGCAGACCGTCAGAAAGTGATTAGTTAAAGGGATACTGAACCAAAATTTCGAGCTCACCACACAAGGCCGGGCGGATAAGCGGGAAGCTGCAAAACCAAAAAATATCACTCATACGGCGATATATCTAACGGATCGCCATATTTTTTGGAAAAGAAGTGCACGTTTGAACCCGGCCGACGAGGCCGACGAGACAAGGCACGTCACGATTCCCATTCTCTCTCCTCCCCACTACGTCCCGTCAAGCTGGTGAACCAAAGTGAGGAGGAGAGAAGCGAGGTCGCTTCTCCCCATTCTCAAATTCTCCCGGAGGACAGTTACGTCAAAGAACTCGCTTGATCGCGCCCTTCTTTTCCAAAGGTATGGCCATCCGTTTGAGATATCAATGTACGAGTGATGTTTTGGAGTTTGTAGCGTCCTGTTCCAACACTTCTGCAGCCTTACTTTGTGAAATCCAAATTTCGGTTCAGTATCCCTTTAAAGGGGCGATGCAACAATTTTTGTCCTTTGCGCAAATACCGCTTAGAACGGAACCCTGGCATTAATGACCTATGAAACACGCGTTCGTTTTTCACTCCACGCAATAAAAGTCCCAGAAAAAAAAAAATTAAAGAAAAACGAGCAGCGTTCACCCCCTCAACTCGCAGCCAGAACAAGCGGCCACGTGATCTGGAGCCGATTATATGCC